TCAGCCATGGCCTGTACGTATATCGCACCTGCATTAAGCACCTGAACAACAACACTACCAAAAACGCCACAACGCACACACAAACAAGCTCAGTCACCAACTGGCACTGGTTGCATTGTGTCGTAAAACACGAGTCGAGAGTCGATTGGAATGAGTGGATACAGACTTACAGAGTACGAATACAGTACAGATGGTTTCCACAATAACTTGGTAGCTTGAACGACCGACCGACGCCGACATTAACCGAGTTATACAGAACTAGACGGTATACGGTTTTAGACGAGTTTTAAAATGACATCACTAAAACTTCTAAAATTAGTATTGGCTATTCAACTCAAAGGGGACTCTAGACTAAAGAAAGCCAAAAATTATCTTATTCATTCTACTCTGAATGAAAGCGGTGAAAATAACAAATTTGCCAATTTTTAAACAAACTACGCTATTGGGCATAGTGAAAGTAAACATCATCAGAATTATTTTCTGCCATAAAATAGAAAAGAAAGTTCTAAACTATAACACTACAAACAATGATAATCAAGAATTCTGCTGCTGTTCTAATTAGTAAATATTACATTCGTTTGAGTAACTGGCATGCAATATACTACTTTTGACTTCAGATTTATTCATCCATGGAACGCTCAATTTCATCCACAAATTTGTAGCCAAAGTCTATGTGTTCAAAAAAACCGTGCAATTTAAAAAGCGTGTTCAATATCACAAGGGTCAATACTGCTTTTATCAACCGGTTTATGTACTTTCCATAATTATTAAATATGTTTCTTGGCCAAAACCGTTATGGCCCAAATTGGCAAAAAAGAATCCACGCAAAACATAAGTGTTTCCTCTATTCTTACGACTACAGGTCGCTGCCTGACACTGACTCGTTTTGGCGAGTTTTTAATTTTTGTATCGTTAGTCGTGATCATCAAGGTGACACAATGATACCTAATTTTATCTTATATTTACTACACCTGGTTTTCCAATTCAAAACAAAATGCAATAAAATATCGACACTTTTTGCTGTATTGGTTTCCATGTCAATTGAATCAGATCGAATAATTAAAGTAATTGAAGTTATAATTCGAGTTTTTGTTTGTCGGTAATTCGTTACACTACTCTTAATGTAACACCATTTATTCTCGTAAGTGCAATTATGAATCTAAATTAGTTGTAGAACTATATTGAATGGACTATTCACTTCTAGATTTTATCGATTTATTACACCTAATAATTCAGCTCTGGTTAGAATTTCTCATATAGGTGTCTAATAGCAAATTTCATTACAACAAATGACTTGTTTATTTTATTATATGGAAGAAATCGAAGCAATCGCAACTCCAATCAATTTCAAACAGTAGCGTTTTCATAAAATAAGATCAAACTAATTACGATGATTACAAAAAGTGCGACCACAATTAAACTAAATCAACATTAGCCCGATGGTAATTATTTATAACAGATATCCGTGAGTGAAAGCATAACAAAATGTGAAATACGATCTACAATTCAATTTTGTACCATGACTATTAAAATGGCGAAAAATAAAGCATGGAAACGTTCTGAGTTCAAAGATAAGCCTAATTGCAGGAAAAGTATCGATGCGTCATTGTTACAACAATTTGCTTGAGAACCATTTGGTTGCATACATTTCTAAGGAAGCAATTTGGTTTACAGCAATCACTTGTATTTGTACTGTTGACCTTTGTTATCCAACTCAACTCTACTGGAAAACTGACAACTATTTTAGCAGCTTTTACCGTTGCACCCTACAAACGTTTTAAATCTGATATGATTTTCCGGTAGTTGCCAAGTGTTCACTTTCTCATCGTGCGTTCCTAGCAATTTCGCATTTTTTCGATAGGGTGAAAACAGTTTTCCCAAAAAAATCTAAGTGGAACAAGTAGATCCGTTACCAACGATCCTCGAATGTTATATCCAATGTGCCCAAAGGTATACTCTACTTAATACGTTTACCGGATCAAGGAGCAGCTGTCTTATTATATACCACGTTGAAGAATACCTTATTTCGATTACTAATAGCACGCACGCGTAAGTACAGTGAACCATCAATTTAGAAGATTCACTTTGTTGTTAATATGCCGCTACTTCCTTTTAATTTCGGTCTCATGTTTGAACAAATAAGTTGAAGAGGGCCATTCATTCTAATTTAGCCTTGAATACCAACGAAATGACTATTAAATAATAATAATAATAATAATAATTAATAGACTAGAGAGTTCAAAACCTTTTGAAAGCGCGTTTGCTATTCTGACTAATCGATAATCAATTCTCTGTGATATTGATATGTGACATATTAAAGTTTTTAACGGAAGTACAAATACCATTTATGTCAATCGATCATTAATGGGTGACTTCCTGTTCAATATAGAGGGTGTTTTTACGTTCAGGTGTGTGTAACGGATATTTAAAAGTAACACCCCTTTCCCTAAATTACTAAAATTGAGGAAACGCGTGTTTCGTGTCATGGAATGAAGGAAACAGACATTGAAAGAAATGTCAGTTCAAATAAGTAGGTTTGCCAACAGACCATAAAAGGTATTTAACTACCAAATACCAATGGCTAAATAGCTCCTTTTCAGAAAAGTTGTAAAACAGAACTAAACATTCAAACAAGAATTATAATCCGCAAAGTAAGTCAACTGTAATTACTAATTACAGTAAAACCCCAAAACGAGATAATACACGTCATAATTATTACAATGATAATATTCAAATGTTTTTCCTGTATGAATCATGATAAAAAAAGGTATAACTTTAGTTACCAGCCGGTCCAAACAAAATAACCTTCAACCCCCCTCAAAAGTAATAGTAATACCACTGAATAATCCCTTTTGCACGTGAATAAAACCACTCCTTTCAATACTGGTTTTTGGTACTTTTGTTTTAAACACTTTAAGGAAATCAGTATAAGTAGTTTGCACTCGTTTCAATTTAAGTTTTAAGTCTACGTTTTAAATTGCTTTTCAAACAAAGACAATTTTGAAAAATATGTGGTTACTCATTTGTTACAATCGTTCGGGTAAATGCCAAGGAAGAACGAACTCTCAAGTAATTAAAACAACGAGAGAGTAAATTACGAAAACGATATGATATGTGGTGGAAATAATGTTCACAAACAGTTGGTTTTATATGCATGCGTAACAATTTTCAATTAAATTTAAATCAATACAATGCATGGAACTTTCTAATGCTTTTTTAATTTTTGGTGGAGTCAATTAGGTATGACAACGTTCTGCAAATGCAGTTCCTAGTACTCCGGGGATATTATAAATAATTTCCTTTAAAAACCTTGTAAGAAAATAATTACTGTGTTAAATAAACGCAAGAAATGTCAATAAAATATATTTTTTTAATATTATGCACCTTGAACAAGCGCAACCAATGTCACACAATTACTTAGAAACTGTCTAAAATAAGATCTAGTTATCTAGTGTTGCTGCGTAATTCTGCAATCACACAAATTAATTTGTTTTCTCAATTATAGGCAATGTAAAAAATATGACATTGCTGTAGTTTGACAATAATGTTGCAACTTTACATTTATGCAAATTCCCATCCCATTTACTAGAACATTACGATGTTAAAAGCTCTTCAAAAAATTATGGCGTCAGAACAATCATAAAACGCCTCAACATTTACATATTTGGCCATATAAAAAACCAATTTGAGAGAAGAGAAAACATTTTTGAATACAAAGTTACCGTTCTACAAGCGCTTTAGAAATCTTTTTACGTTTAATTTCACAATTAATTTTATTACAATTACAATTTTTACATTCCATTTTAAACAATGTAGTGCATTTGATGAAACTTTCCACGATTTAATTATAACTTTTTCTTGAAAATTAAGATAAATGACCAGGCTTAAGAAGTCTCACAAAAATTACATTATAGACGCCTGAAATCCGACTTTGTCATTGTTATTTTCGGTGAACACATTCCAAACTAAATCTAATGCACATTTCTAGATTCAAATATCCCCATTACCTAACACATGCATATCTTTAGACTGGAAACATCTCGTATTTTTTCAGTTTTCATTAAAGCAAGCTAAATCTACACAATCCTATTTTCAAAAACAACAAAAGCAATATAAAATAAGTTTTTTGAAAGTCAAATTAAAATACAATCATACATGTAGTTGTAATTTTAAAAATAATTGATTTATGGCATCGTTATATTGTGTTTTGATTTAGAGTTGTTGAACTCCCACACAACCCACGACAAACTCCACCTACCTACCGCGCGCTACTACTATTTCTTATTTAAAAATAACAAAACATTTTTTTTTAAAGAATACACCAAAATATCAGATTGATTGAAAAAATATGCTAAGTATTCCATTACCATCATCAAGACTAAGATATTCGAAAAAATAAATGAGTCAAGCGTTAACCGATCGTGTAAAAATGTACGTACTGATTATATGCAAATTTCAAATCGTCAATAAATAAAAATTTGAGATAAGTAGAGTTCTCACATTACAATAATCTAGACAGTGTACCATTTCTCATTACTCAAATATTACGTAATTTTATATAAAAAAAACACAAAATAAAATACAATTGAAATGGTATAGATTGATAGATTAAAAATCACCACAGAAGAACCACAAAATAGCAAATTTAAAAGAATTTCTCATATAAATAAAAGTTCATTAAACAAACACTCAACTATCACTAAAGAAATGGTATGTGGCCATAAACACAACTGATAAATTTTAGACTTTCAGGTAAACAATGCTAGAATTGTATTGGTTATGTTTAGCGATTCATTGCAAAAACATTGAAACTGCATCCACTCAAACGTAAAACGGGACTTTTGCGAAAGTTTAAAAAACCATTCACTTGGTCATTAATAATAGGTTATTTTATTTTCAATTAGCAAGATACATGATTTAGTTAGCAGCCCTGAAAATCATAAACTTTAAAGAGTTGAGACATAAATATCAAAACCGTGAAAGCCACTGTAAAGTCCAGTTTTATTAGTTCATAAATCTTTACATCATCATTATTCCTTAGATCTCTCCAATTCAATTGCGTTTTACTGGTTGCCGATAAATTTAACATGACGCCTATTTATTGAAGAGAACCATACATTTTTTTATTAAATTTATTATCGCCATTATACGATTAATTCGATTAGGCATAATAATGCCAAATTATAGACTTGTGTCAATGTACTCGGTGACGCTTTAAATTATATTTATTTGTAGGCACTAGGGAGCAGGAAAAAAGTAAAAAATACATTTCTTGTTTTCACCTATCTAGTCAGTATGCCAAACATGAAGTAAATAAAGTAAGTTAAGTACATTTTCAAAAAAATGTTAAAAAAGCCAAAAATATATTTTCCGAAATAAATTACTTTCTAACTATTCCCTGTATATCCAATGAAGTAAAATTATTACGATCGATTGGTCAGCTTCAGTCACTGCACACTCTTACGGATAAAATTTCAACTCCTTATTGTGTGATAAACGTGCCACGTGTGTCGTACTTTTTGTAAACCAGGAACGAAATGGCAACTCCAAACAACGAAAAAAAATATAGCAGAATGTACTGCTGCGTACCTGGTTGCAAAACATTTTACAGTGTTGGTAGTAATATTTCGTTTCACAGTTTTCCCCGTTTCGAAAAAATACGTTTACAATGGGGAAATGCTGTGCGAAGAAATAGAATAACTGAATATATGCGGGTATGTAGCAAACATTTCCGCGATGAAGATTTCTTTTTTAACAGACGTAATTATAAATAATGCTGAAGTTTTCCCTTTATTTTTTATATGTGCCGTAGGACATGTTAATAAAAATTATAGACTGAAAAGGGGGGCGATCCCGTCACAAAATTTGCCACAAGAGAATATTAAAATAAAAAATAAACGTTTTAGTCCTGTTGTAAACATAAATGAGGCAAGATTGACAACTGAACAAATGGAAGAAAACGCAATTATTCCAGTTGTCACACTTGAACCAAATGAGTAAATTAAAATCCCTAGCACTTCATGAAACTAAAATTTAAAAATTACAGATCACATAATGAACAAGAGATGGAGGTGGCAAACATATTGACAAACCTACCAAAAGGGGAAATAAAAGAGAAACCACCTCAATATATATGACCACAAAAAATAGAAAAATATGTATAGTAATAATTTTAAATTAATTTAACTTAAACAGTATCATTTAAAAATATATTGTTGCATATTAAATGTATTGTTCCATGTAAAATTCTTCTTATTCTTACTGTAAATTTTTGTATTTTAAGTCCCTAAAACGACTGAATAACTAATTGCAATTGCAATTGATTTAATTATTTACCATTTTACTTAAACATTCGAAAATTTTCCCCTTACGAGCGACTACCAGCAATACAACTTTTCACATCTACACGCTTCTTTTTATAAAATCTATAAGTCATTATTTAATAAACTAAATCTCTGATACAATTAAATTTAAATCTGAAACAAAACAAAAAATGAAAATATTATTTGGTAAATGAACTTTAAATGATGTGATGTTTTATTATATTGTGATAATTACTGCTACAACGCAATATGTGTTCGTCTGCAGAAAAAGATTGTAATCATTACACCTTAATTTCTGTGAAAAAGAAATATTCTTGTAACCAAATTAACCTCAGATAACTAAATAAAAAAGTAAAAACATAATAAATCCTCTGACATAGGCAACCAATATTACTTTCCTAAAAAAAATATTTTATATTTAAATGTTCTCAATATGCGGCAACCAGTAATACATCTTACCGTTTTCACGACTCAACACTTCTTTTTTTTTACAATATTACATAATTCCAAACACAAGACATAAAATTCCTAATTTCTTTTCTGTTATAAAAAACAATAATAATTAATAATTAAACAAACAAGAAATAAACATTACCAGAGTTAGAGTTCATAGAAACCAAAAAGGATATCCATGGAAAGGATGCGCAGAGACGAAAACTCGTCGCGGATGAATCCATTCATAAATATAGAGGAGTTCTGAAATTAGCTGAGAGCAGTGGCGCGTATTCGCACTTATTTATTTGAAGAAAACAAATAATCCATATACTGTAATGAAAATATTTTATTACTTTATTAAAAAATAACATTTTTAAGGCATTTGTTCTTTTATAAATTGCAATACTCAGTAACCATTTGAGAAAGTTATTAGAAATTGTTCAACAAGGTTCAAATTATTATCAAAATAAAGTCCATTTCCAAACCACAAGTGTTTAATCATTATTTGCAGTGTACAAGTTGAGCTGCAGACCTATATTTTTTATTACATAATACATTATATTGTAGTATAATGAAAAAAAAAATTAATTTTAACATAGTTATCAAAATGTAAGTACTTATACTTACCATTGCATAAACATTAACTATAAGAATAATAAATATATTTTATTAGTTTTATAGTAAAAAAATTCCACTTTGACTTACGAATATAAAGTGACAATTTGAAATTACTATAAATTACTAAAAATTTGAGAGTTCATCTTCTTACATCTTATTGACTAGGTATGAAAACAAAACATCACTAAAAAATGTTTAATATACCAAGTAGGTATAACAGGGACATCTTATAAATGTTAACTTTGAAAAATTAATTAAAATTAATTATGAAACAAAAATTGTTTTTTAATATCTTTACATTTTTAATAAACGAATCTATTTGTTACTATTTGTTCGTATTTTATTTATACAGAAATTAATATTACCGTATATTTGAAATAATCGTGAAGCATCGTATGAAATTTTTATATTTAATATCTCAGTCAATAAATATACGAAAAAAAATGCAACTCTACAATTCCCTTTTTATCACAGAATGGTCCTGTGTTACGCCACTGCTCAAGTTTCCCCACTACACCCAGTACGCATTGGCTCCGCCTATCGATATCCTTCTTGGTTTCTATGAACTCTAACAGATAACTATTGTGTACCTTGACGTATGCAAACAATATTGGTTCCTACAAAGCACGCAATCTATGCAACTTACACTTTTACATCAGTTATGTTTTCTATTCATTCGGCTTCTTATTCACTATTAATACAAAGAATTTGTCTGCTCTATGAGCAATTGCTATTGTGTTGGTCTTACATTAAAAAATGGTAAAAGTCTGTGCTGATTATACAAACGATCAGTCTATTTTACTTTTATTTAAATACTGATAAAAACGCTTTATCACACAATAAAAAACGACTAGATATTATTTGTTATTGCAAAAATACTTATTTATTATCTTGACTCATACAAATGAGGTAATAAGAATACTTCAGCTGTTACAGTAACTGATAAAATTTAAAAACACACAAAACTATGTTACAAACGTTTATATTATTGTTTATATTATTTAAAATATTTTAGATATAAATGAAAACCATTTTAACCTTTAGGATAAGCATATTGTTAAAATTTAAACAAATAACTTACCTTTAGTTCTAACGCTTTAGCTTCAATTTCAGTCTTTGTATATTTGGTTCTGAAGTTAAGTGGCTGTAAACATTCTTCCATCATCTTAAACCATTTTCTCAAACATTTGATCTCGTGATCAATGTCTACAAAATAAGACATTACAATTTAAAAAAAAATAATAGTAATTAACTACCGAGACATTTTTCTTGTTCACAAAGTCCACATTCTGAAGGTCCTAAAATACTCAAAATTGAGTCCCATTTTGAATTTAGGTGTGTTACTCGCCAGTTAACTTCTTCTTGTACTTTTGGATGCAATTGCACCAGTTGACTAGCTTGATCATTAAATAATGTAAGCATCGAGCTTTTTTCACGAACCACATTAACGCAATGCTATAAAAACCAACGTAATGTCACAAACCATAAACTCAAATTTGACTTACTGCTCGTAAAGCCTTGTCTCTTATATTTTCTTCTTTGCCATATATCGTCTCCTGAACGCTATTCAACCACAAATAGAGTTCGGAGAATTGTGCGTAAAATTCTTTCAAAGACCAGGTTCCAGTATCCATGCATAAATCACTATTTGCTTCCTGTAACCCTCATTATAGAACCTCATAAAATATTGAAAAAATCATTACTTGGCACTTATCAATCAACTGGTTATCCATTATATAATTATAATTTGCCTGAAGTGCTGACCAAAACTCATCTCGGTGTTCGCTGGCAGTACTCCCCCATGAACGTCTAACTGCTGTCGCTTTTACACGATTTTTGGTCAAACTACTATAAAGCCGAGGTTTCACAACCCCCTTGTCGGGGGTTGTATCTGTCGCTGGTAGGGAAGACAACGAAAAGCAGGTTTTCATCGCAGAATTTTCAAAACCTAAAAACAATTAACACAAATTAACACTAACATTTTTTCAGAACGGAATCACCTACAGAAAATCAACACACTATATTAAATACAGTAATTAATACATTGGTTCGATACTGACTGATAATGGGTTGATAAACTAATTAATATTCATATGCAGACTACCACAAAGCAAAAAAACTAAAATCACAAAACATTTTACGATTTAAATTAAATATTTTCAAAAAATAATACAAAATCAAATTAGAAAAAATTAGTTCTGACTACAAGATGTAAAGATTAAAAGTGGAGACAGTAAATATGTATATTTCAATTCATTTGATAATAAGAACATCAAACATTTCATCATTTCAAAGGTTATCTGATTACACATATACATATTTAGGTTGTAAAATATAAATTCTTGAATCTCCAAATTAAATATTTTTGTATAACTTAAACAATACCGGTAATTAATTTTTTGTGTAAAAGAGAAACCCCAAAAATTATTGAACCTTTTACCCCACTTTTTAGGTTTATTTTCTTAATAAACATGCAAGAAACGTCATATAAACCGGTATTGCATGCAGCTAACAGGAAATATATAGTGATGAAATAGAGGTAACAATTTCTTTGCATCTGGTTGTACTTACTCGTTCCGACAGGCATGTTTGCGTCTATAGTTGGTTTTTTGACATTAGGCAGTTTTATGTTCTGAAACAAAAAAAAAAAACATTTGCATAAGACAAGCATTCAAAACCCCCGAATTATGAATAAAATTGCGGAAGTTAATTAATGAGTCAAATAAATTAGAAATTAAAACCAGAAATATTTTCATTTAATTAATTACTGAAAGGTTTATAAGTGATTTTACTTTAAATAAATTCAAATCTAAATCGAACATGGTAAATAGAAAATGTAATTAAGAAAGAACAAGATAAGGCAAGTACACACTTTCTATTGCAGATCGCGGTTTATTCTGCGATATCAAATGCCCCTTTAGTCTTAAAAAAAAACGAATTAAAAATAATCATCTTTTGAAAGATTCGCTGACACTTTAATAACGGTGATGTCCATGGACTTTACATAAAACACAAAGTACGATAATTGACGAGGTACTAAACACACCCATTAAACGCAACCTGTTTCTATTACCCACCTCTGCTAGGTCATCTTTCATAATGGAACGGACTCACACATCACATTCTTGTAGTAGTATAAATGAAAACTAACTAATAAGTTGATTCCCATAATTTATATGCCAGGTTACGTGTATTTGATTTTTCTTTTTGTACTACATTATTCGCCGTCATGTTTGCGTTTAAGCGCATGATTGAATAACGAATCTACAGTCTATAGAATATCACACGACATCAAATAATCTGTACGAAATCCAATGCAAATAAAAAGTTACCAAATTAGTGTGTGTATAGAAACGTCAGTAAGTATTGTTAATTTGGAGTTTTCCTTATTGAAAATTAACATACATTATCCATTTTCGCTGATAAAAATGACGCAATCAATCCATTATTACGACTTTCACTACTTCTCACCAAAAATATTGATTTCGTTCGTGAAAAAAACGAATATTTTGACGCAGTTTGATCGATGTGCTTCTTCATGTGTATTATTTTAAACTGATGGCCGCTTAAATTCTTGAGAGGTTGTTTTGGTTCTTCTCAACTCTGGCTCGGTTCAATTGGGATCCGAAGAGTACACATAATTAGAATTAAAAAGGATAAATAAAACGGAACTGAAGTTATTATTTTTAGAATAGATCATTACAGGATGTGGACCTACACTTCATTATGCGATCGTCGACAGAGGCGTGGAACTCGTTTACATTTAAATTCGTAAGATACCGAAAGTTACTGTATATTTTTAGCAAACCGTGTGAAACAAGTCCGATTTTTTTACACGAAAAAGATGAAAAAAGATGAAACGCGTCAAAATAACAACAAAAGTCCGAGGATGTAATTAATTAAAAACGCAGCTTGAGAAGTCAAGAAATTCCCGAGAAGTTATGTTTAGAATAAAACATTTTTACACAAAAGTAAGTTGTCATTGACTTATTTAGACTGACACATATGACCAAATTTAGAAGAACAATCCCATATTATTGAAAGTCATTCCAAATCGGATCCTTATTCAAGTGACACAAAAAAATACGATTTCGAGATGAAATATCGCACTAGAACAAACTGTAGTAATTAATATTTTTCTACCACAGCAATATTAAATTTCAACGATTTGAATCTCCGGTATAAAAATCACTATAAACCACAAGTGGTGAGTGTTCACCTACTTAATTAGAAACTGTCTCCAAATTTGGAAGTACATAATTACAACGAAAGGGAATTAAAACAAACAATTTTATATTGTTTATTCATTAAATCTAACGGTATTCACTAATTATATATTAATAATAAGCTAATGATAGACTCAGTAACTGAGTTAAGCGAGAAACAAATCAAACGAAAAAAAATCAAATTATTAACATAATATATGTACCACTTACACTTCAGAGAAATTTACTGCTTACACACGATAAAATATTTATTAGTTACTATAAGTGCAAATGTGTGGGTAAACCAGGTTCAAATTTGAATTTACCTTCTATGAAGGACAAACATCTCAAAGATCATAACAACACTGGACAAGGTTTGTGTCACAGATGCCTGCTGCAATTGCAAATTTTATGCTGATATCTTTGTTTAAACAGAAAGTGTTAAATCACATATGTGTAAGTAATATGCACGTAACTGTTCTGATTAATTTGTTGTCTCTAAAAAAATCCAAAATCGAAATTCCTGTGAAAATCTGATCTTTGGCACTTACCAAACAGTACTTTCGTGATTATGTTAGTAACACATGCGTAAATTAAACACCATACAACTATAAAGTACTAATTATAACACACGCAATAAAACGTGTACACAGTACACGCCAATATAACTTTATCAAGTTTGACCGTGATTTGAAGTTGCATTAGAAAACTAGCATGTCACTGGTGCACCTACTTCCTAAAACTACCTGAAAGAATAAAAAAATCAATTTTTGAGTAACTTAGCTCAATTAAAAATTCACGTTGCGTAGCCGTTTTAGAATGTATGTGTGACTGGGTCCTCCTTCCAGTGAATCGAAATTTATTAACGCCGTTCTCTCAGAAAAGCTTTGCATAACCCTAATTCATTCGAATGGCTTTACGATAACCTATTTGAGAAGTTGGTCGCGTGAAAGATGGCACGAAATATTTCTCATTTGAATAAATCCAATATCCGTTAAAATATTGTTCAAGGTATATATTACATAACATACTGTTGATTTGAAACACCTGGAGTAGCTTGGGTGTTGATCACCGGTAAATATCTGTCACATATCATCGTGATTTCCATTAGAAATATTCGAATAATTCAAGAAGTATCAGGAAGTCTGTAAACTACGAAACGATAGGAAGCCATTATGTCCGGTACCTGCTTGCTCTCTGCACTTTAAATATTACGTGATGAACTATGAAAAATACACAAGATTAAAATCGAAAACAGTTTTCCTCCACTGACTCGATGTTTTTGCTATTTGACAGAAAATCGTCCACAAATTGTTATGGTTTTTTTACTTTTGTTGTAGGTGGCGCAGTTTCCGAAAAAAAGGCATTAGAAACGTTCCAGAAAATCGACAACTGTTGGAATAATTGAAAAAGTCATAATAATTGAAACATATTCACTTTGGGTGTTGCGAAAGGATCCAAAATTATCTCTCCCAAAATCTAAACTACTTACTTTAGGTCGAGTATTTTCTGATAGTTCGTCGATTTCCCTTCGTTTTCGTACAGGTAAATTAACCAGAGCCAAAAATACACTAAAGTAAAAAATGTTATTTTAACAAAAATCCTTCCCTAATCACTAGTTTTAACGGAAGTACCTCAAACTTGAAAATAGAACAACGATATATTTTTAGTATGATCGTTATATCGGATGTTTTAAAATGTGATTTATTAAATTTAACTATAAATAGAATTCGTTTATAAGATAAGCCAATTTCTGTAAAGCATTATCTACAATTGTGAAAAATTTAATTGTGAAACTTATTGAAGAGGAAACCAATACTTGTTTATTTTGTAGTGTCACAAGTTGAACAATTTTTCAGTTCGTAATTATTATTCTTTTAAGAAATCTTGTAAATTACAATTAACAAGCCTTTGAGCTTATCTCGCGATATGAACAATCAATAAAACATTCAACATGACCACATATTTAATAATAATTTAGTCTGTTTAAACAGCTTTCTACAAAGGTTTATATAGTCTAGTAAGTTTTTGAAATGCCGATCACAATATTTGCTAATTATATCCCTTAAATTCATTTAGTCAAACACGGTATCAAATAACATGAAACAACGCCCTACATCAAGTAATACTTTAAGACCGCACCTTATACGTACAATTTCACTCAAATTCAAAAATCAAATACCATACATTGTCAAGTTAAACACGTTCTGAATTTAATGTTTCTGAAGACCTTATCAACCATTTCTTAAGACCAAATATAGAAGTAACATTGTTAAATCACTCCTTTAATGAATCATTGTTAATTATTCGAGCGATCTGACGCAACAGCATCTAATCCACCTATAACATTTTTCTCTTTTTAACCCACACTCAACTAGATAATTTTTTGCTGAAAATTATTGTTGCTTTCCTCAGTTTCACTTAAAAAAAGTTTCTTCTCGGAGTGTTTTTATACTAATTTCTGAACAATAAATGGTCCAAATTACTGAGATTTCTTCTCTATTAAATCTCTTTTTAATTAATGGTATTTACTGAATTATAGTGGTTCAGTAGGGAAATCACAGGGTAATAAAAACCATACGTCTTTCATCACCTTTCAAACAACAAAAATGTTGCATAGAATTTAGAGAATCTAAATATTCATCAAGAACACTAAGTAGGTGTCACTATAAAAAATAATATAAAAAATGGGCTTTACATATAAAAATTCCGTTAACGTAATTATATATATTTATCTGTAGGTCAACGTTTAATTTTTCATATGTGTAATAACTAATAACCGAAGATCGTAAAAAATAAACTAAATCGCAATTACTATAATAATAATCATTATTTATTAAAAAGGTTAGTACACATCCAAAATATAAACTTTCATAGTTTTTCACCTACTTCCCACTACGTTGTTATTATTTCGAGTGTGGTTAATTTTATGCCTTTATTAACTATTAAAAATTATTAATAGAAACTTTCAAAATATGAAAACATAGTATCTTCTTATCTACCAAACAAAGCGCAATAAAATCTTTGGTTTTTATGAGTCTGCTAGCAAAAAACAGTTTAGAGAAGTAATAAACATCTAAAAAGTTTACCGCAGCGTTTCCCAAACTTTTTCGACCGCAGAACACGGCCCCTATTGCGTAAAAAATATAGTACATACGGAGTTCCCAACTAAATTAGCGTCCAAGTTTGAAAAAAATGCTGAAACAGGTCAATTTTAACTAACAAGAGGGGTCGAGTGTCACATTATTTTCAGGATATTTTGAGCAGTATATTCCTTAAATTGAATTTCATAACCACTTTTGTTTACTTTCACTGTAGTAATTAAAAAAAAATCGTTAAAAATTGAAAAAATAAATGGTTGCATTGATAATGAAAGCAACTTCAAAATTATATCACTCGACCCCTCTTGCTATTTATTTTTTTTTAAAGAGTGGGTCTGAGCGTTAGAGTGATGCAGAAATAACTTTGAAACTTTAATAAAATTTGGTCTCCGTTTAAGTTACAATTGACCTCTTTCGGCATCTTTTCCAAGCTTGGTCGAAATCGGCAATTGTAGGGGGTGCAAATTTTAGTTGCGGCAGCCTGTTATATACAGGTGCGCCAGAACTCGCGCCCCAGAGAAAAATGCCATATAAGGTAAGATACCAGGAACATGGAAAAATGTTTAAAAAATTTTTATCTATAAAAATTTCGAAGTTATGAGGGTTTAAAGTTTGCACTTTGACTTTATTTATTTCTGTTGGAAAAATAATTTTCCAAGTTTTTTTGCTATAGGCTATTAAAAGAGGAAACAAGTAAGCTGTACCCTAAATTGTAACTCTGTTCAATGTTATTTGTGGCTTTTATTGTCAAAATTTTTGTCCTTTTACTAAGTAATTGTAAAAAAACATATACAAGATCATCAGTATCATTAAATAGACATAAAAAAATGTCAAATGTCAAAAATTAAATGTCAAAATTTTTTGTCAGATAGAATTTTTTAAACATTTTTTTCATGTTCCTGGTATCTTATCTTACTTGAAAATTTTCTTTGGGGCGCGAGTTCTGGCGCATCATGTATATACATACATACTACTCGTATATGTATTGCAAATTTTATTTTTATGAATAAATAAAAAATCAGGTTATTAATTTTAAATGTGCTTTATTAAGCTCAATAATTGCTCATTTCAATATTTTAAATAATTTTTAACATATATGTGATGGCTGCAGACCACAGTTTGGGAAACGCTGGTCCACCGCATTGTGAGATAAAATTGAGTCAACTCCCATCCCAGTTTTTACCCAAAAATTGCTCTATCATAAAACAACAAATTATGTGATTAGTTGCGAACAAAACGTTTGTTTTAGTTCACTTGCATGTCTGGATTCCATTCACAAATACAGAGAAAATATGTTGCTGTCAGTCTCAGTAGACGGTTAAATTAGTCAAATGTTTTTTTAATTTGAATTAAAAATATCTACTTGGGAAGTGCTTCAAGATCTGAAATTTTCCAAATTTCGGGTATCGTATTTCAAGTTATGTAAATTTATTTGAGAAGTAACTTCCGGCCAGTGCTTATTGATCTGTTCAAGAGCTTCAAACAGCTTGTGAACCTGTGGTTTCGGTTTATACTCTAGTTAATTCTACTAGGAGTCTTTATTTAGAACCACATTACAAAAACTATTTTATTCTATTTCTGTAACTGTAGAAGTTGAAAACTTTCTCGTTATTTACGACAAGATTTACTTTTGTCCTTTTTTCCATTTACTGTCTGGAAGACACCGCCTGGCAAAAACATCTAACAAAGAAAAAATCAATTTGTAAATTACAATAATTAATAATTAACAGAATGTCGCACCTTTCACTTAACTTTATAGTGTTCATTAACCACACCAGCAATGACAATTTTACTTAATTCCAAACCTTTATTAAATTAATGATATAATAGATTTTTAGTTGAAGGAGTTCTCGAAGCTAATTAAATTTTATTGCAGTGTAAACGGCTTTAGTTTTCTTTAAATCGCAAAATCGAACATTTACTCATGTTTCATTCAATTCCGTTAGTAAATGTGAAACTCGCTAACAAGCAATTTTTTAATTAAACTTATAATAAATAATTTTACGGTTAATTGACACAAAACTGTATACAACCGTCAGAAAGTGCTTCCCTTGTACCTACACTTCACAAGGGCAGGTAAATATACAAAAAGGGGGGCAACACTTTGACAGTATGTCAATATTCAAAATTTACAACTTCCTTGCACGTAGGTAAATAAAAGGGGCGTTACTAATATCAGTCTAGAGACCTTTAATTTCATTCATAAATTAGTACTTTATCTCCCTCCATTCACTTCACTTGAAAAATCGAAATCGAACCAAATTCACAACTGAAATCAAAATTTCGAATATCTATAGAGTTATGACCACTTGCGCGAAGAAATAATTTCGAAAGTTGAAGCGCAACTTGGAAAATGCCAAACTCACCTTAACACGTTAGAATTTCCTTGGGGTTTTCACTGCATCTCCTTTTCACTGAACATATTAAAATTACGAATCACCTGTAGTTGTGAATCACTTGTTAAACAGGAATAATAATGAAGTTGAAGACCAAAGTTTGGTTATGTTGTAATAGTAGACACTGTTCATGACTTTTATTCTGTAACCTATGACACTACACTTACAAAATAAATGCTTCTTGACTTCGTTTCGTATGTACGTTAGCGTAATGTTTGCACGTGTTATTGACTTAATTATTTAAAACATGTTACGTTACACTTTTTTACAAAACCTTGTCAAACTCCATTCTGTTCTGCTGTTTCGGTTCGTTCTCTTCCTTGGAAGCACTAGGCCGACTTACAGTGCTACCAACAGTACGACGTTCACAGCCCTATGATTGGCCAACGAGACGACATATCGCCTTGGATTTGTCCGTTTAATCTCAAATTTAATCCTTTCCGTTGTTCTAATAAACGTTAATGTAATAACTAATGAGACGATTCAAGTATTTAAAAATGCCCCACTTAATTCTAACGTATCGCTTGTTTAGAAGCATAGTTAAGCCACAGAATTTTTAATCCAATAATAATGTGTAACATTAGACACATTTTCAAGGATTAACCACTGGCTTAGCACTAGCACATAAAGGTAACATAAAAATGTTAAAAATTCAAAATGTTATATAATCCAAAAAATTGTCACAAACATGTAACAGGCAAATATTCCTTAAATTTTGAATAATTATTAATTAAAACTTTGTTTCTGTTACTGAAATACTAAGTAATAATGCTTTTTTAAATTGAGAACAATGCTAACTTACTTAACCACTTTTTGTATTACCTATTATACTATATATTACAATTTTTCTTGGTAAATAAAATTACATACTACACTCAATATTTTGCTTATTTTTTGTGATGATTCAGCTTTTCTATTTTAACTGTTTTAATTAACTAATAAATAATATTTTACTGACATTTGTATAGTGGGTACCAAGATTAACTGTCGAACAAACTTTTTTTCTCTCTAATAATTTTTTTGTATATCGAACAGTGTTATTTATTACACAGAGCATTCAAAAGTTGCGTATAGATTTTGTAGTACGTTGAGAAGCATTATATGCAGACTATAAGAAAAATTTTGAAACAATTTGTACCTACCTATTTAACAAAATCTGAAGCTCAATAAACTTATTTTTATAAGTTCTTTAGTTCAGTTCACAATATTTTCTTAAGTTTTCCATACTTTACGTCGCAACTGTGTTTTTTTAAAGTGAAATAAATAAGTATAGTGTATAAACGAAGAATCTGTGTTACAACTAAACCCTACTGACAAGTAGTTCCATTATTTCATACAGAAAAAAAAACATTGTGAAAAGTGACAACACTTTTTATTCGAGTTGCCGCGGGACTTTTTAAAGCTCAGTATGTATTGTTTAATAGAAGTTTTCATTAGTTAACATTATCCATAAATTTAGTCAATAGAACTGAACTTGGTTTTTAAATTGTTATGATTTTGGGTTATACAAAATACACCTACAGAATTAATTATTTAAATTTGAAAATATATTCGCGCTTTTCGACGCCACAGTACTAAAAAGAACTCACTTTTATAACACAACTAAAAATTTTTATTTGTTTTATTGTCTGTGTTATTCATAAAGGAGTGAATATTTTTTTTTATTAATAAATATCATATTATTAAATCTTATTTTGACACGTTTTAAAATACATTCATAATATAGTTTATTGTATATTTAATCAAGATAAATTTAATTTGTTTAATAGATATAAATAGAAATTCTGAGCTAGACAACCAAAAATACAGACAAACATTTTCTTTGCGCACTCGCGATAAATGACGTCAATTGACGTAATGACAGCTGTCAGTGCGGAAATGTTGATTCAGATTGAGCGATAATTATGGGTATGGTGTTATCATAATAGATAATTTAATGGGTTTAATAGCATGGTTTTAGTGTAATATCACCATGACACAGTTAAATTACCCCAAATTGTAAGAAATGCAAATACAACACAAGTAACAGGGAGCATATGCGTAAATAAAGAACGTATGAAGATGTTTTAACAAAAAAAAAAACTAATAGTATGGATGGACCAAGACCTGAAACATACCTGGAAGAACCAACCGGCGAACGATGGGACCCACTTGGTGCTCCCAACGATCAAGAAGAAGAAAAATGCGGGGATAAACTCGAACTTGATTATTGTGATAACCAGTAAGTTAAAATTTTGTAACAATTTTTATTTATTTGAATTTTGTTACTAACAGACTAACATATGAAAAATTAAGAAACTTAGAGGAGGAACAAGAGTTACTTAATTCATCATTATTCGCACTAACTACACATTTTGCCCAGGTTGTACTCATTTTGTTTCTAATTATTGAACATCAGATAATTATGTGGTTGTAGGTCCAGTTCCGTTTACGCCAAGTCGTTAATGCACCAACTGAAGAAAGAGAAGAGTTGCTTAAGTCTTTAGAGGAGTTCGCTTTTCGCGGAATCCCTGATATTAGTCTAGTCAAAGAACGAATGGATGAGGCTAGTCTTGCTGAAGCAGTGCGTTTACGACGGTCTCAACAGAAAGAATTGATTGACCGTTTAAAGTCCCAATTAAGAGAGTTAGAACAGTATGCTTTTGAAAATGGGGAAGCTGGAGTACCACAAGATGTTGTTCTTGAGCGTCAGAGAGTCATTCTAAATGAATTAAAAACACGAATGAATCTTGAAATTGACGAGCGGAATTATCACCAGGTTTAGAACCAAATTTTAGCTAAGTAAGTGAGCCTATAAGTATGTTTTAGATGACTTCAGCTGATGTTAAGCAACAAATAAATATTGCATTGGATCAACTCATAAGTCCTCTCCGAGTTAAAGAACATTTGGTGGCTCAGCTTAAAACACAAGTTGCCGATTTGGAACGCTTTATAAACTATTTACAAAGTGACACAAAACATGACAAATGTTCATGTGGATGTGCTTATCATTCGTTGAAAAAACCGTACAAATCAGACACTATAGGTTTAATCCAAAGAACTGCCACTTTATTACAGATGTTCGCTGTGCTTCAACTAGGATGCGGTAGTCATGCCTTTAGAAGAAACGATCTTAAAAATAGCATGAAAATTAATCACTGGGGGTCAGTTTTTCCCACGTTGTTGTGTTATCAGTAATTGATAAATTTTTAGCGATTTGAGGGCAAAGCTAGAAATGGCAATTTTTCGCATACGCGAACTCTTAAACGAGGAACAAAATTATTTTCAAAATGACTATAATAGTGACTCTGAATCGGTCACATACAACAGTCAGTTAACAACCACTGTACGAAAATATCTCGCTACAAGCATACGAGATTTGATGCAACATGGGGCAACCTCTTATATAAATAATTCAAGTCTTGTTCCTTTTATTGGATGCTTTCCTAGAAGAAATTCGACGTCAAATACTCACATACATGCGTGGGAAATCATTCTTGAGTATTACCATTTGAAAAATGGTGAAAAGTTCAATTCAACTCCAGCAAGAAAATTGTCACAAAGTTTCAACTTGGATATTGCTGGTGCATCTCCTACTAGCAATAAACATAATATGCTTTGTACGATTGGGAATATCATCTCAACACACACCCCATACAAAAGGAGTTACGATTCTCACTTTAAGGCATTTGTTTGCGCGGCTCTAAAGTACTACTTTCCTCTTTTGCTTCTTTTTATAATATTGTTTTTTCAGCTCGAATAAATTGGTGTCTTGGTTGAGCCTAATTTTCCAGTGCAACCAAATTGTGAAATTGCATTATTTTTCCTGGAGCTATGTTGCAAAAACTGGTAAATGTTGTTTGTTCTATTTGTTTGCAATCTTATGTGACTTCTTCTAGGGTTTCAAGACAGTCTAAAAAGTTTAGATTCTTTGACTGGTTACAAGTTTGATCTCCCGGTTGATCTCGCTGTACGACAGTTTCAAAATATAAAAGACGTGTTTACTTAACTATTTAAACCAGTCATTTTTAATGTTATTGTACATTTTCGTTAAGTATTACTAAACTTAGATCTTCACTTTGTTGATTGCTGTGTCTATAACTATAAATGTTAAATTGTGTTTGCCGATTTAAATAAATTATTTGTCAGGTTTTATGCTTCTTAATTATTAAACCTTCAACTTACAGCTCGCTTCTTTCATTAAAATAAGATGTGTTTAATTTATCCAAAATTTCAATTTATACTATAGGGTTTTAATTTTATACGGTTGGCAACAACTGTCACTAACATTAAGCGGGAAAGCGGTCTTCCACCATGCGAATTTGTTAGTTTTTGTGAAGGATGGTTACTCGTCGGTTTCAACGTGTTTTGTGTGAATTAAAGTTTGTGATTTCTAACATTTGTTTGTATTCGTATTTTAAAGTTTTAGTTAAGTGTCATCGTTTGTCATATCAGTAACATGAGTCGTGTAGCTCGATTACCATCCATCAGGAATCGTACAAAAAGGGGCTTAAAGACCTCTGAAACCATTACTAGTCATGATAAACCTGATTTGAGTTATGCTTCTGACACGGAGAACAGATCCGTCAATGCTAATAAATCGACTCCTGAAAAGAAAAAGCGAGTGTCTCCTGTCCAACGTCCCTCTAGAAAACGCATCCTACCTTCCGTGTCTGATGATTCAGTTGACAATAAAAAACAAAAAGTTAGTGAAAATAATTTAGAAAGACCAACTACCGAGGAACATGTGGAGCGTGATGTAACAGATGAACATTGTTACGATATTTCAATAACAAAACCAAAAAGAATAATTTTAAATGCTGAAGAGCAAAAGCAGAGACGTGACAAACAAATGCAGTATTTGCAACGTTTCGTTAATATTTCTAAGTCTTACTCGCAATATCTTCAATCGAAAATTGCCAAGAGAACACCCAGGTAAGCTATTTGTATTTTTTTGCATTGTTAAACTCTAAATATTACCTACAGCACAAGTGCTGATTCAGATTCAGAAGATGAATTTGCTCCTAAGAAGTGTAATCCTAACGCTTTGAAATATTTTCAAGGGACTTTACGCCCCTATCAAGTTGAAGGAGTGATCTGGTTATCTGTAAGTCGAATAATTTTTCATTGAATAAATAACCAAAGTTTTATTTAGGTCCTCTATGAGAATTCCATCAATGGCATTTTGGGCGATGACATGGGCCTTGGTAAAACAATCCAAGTCATCGCTTTATTTGCCTATTTGTATGAACGAAATATACCTGGACCATTTCTAATTGTTGCTCCGCTTTCAACCATTGGAAATTGGATGGCGGAATTTAAGAGATTCGCCCCAAAAATACCATGCATCCATTTTCAGTCAAACTGGAGCAAAGCAGAACAAACAAAATTCATAAAGAAACAATATCAACTAGAAGGCAAATGGGTTAAGTCCGTCATTATTTGCTCTTATCAAACCCCCATTCGGACAAGTTGTCATTTAAGAGACTACAAATGGCAATATATTGTCGTTGATGAAGGCCAACGGCTCAAAAATGCCAATTCGAAGCTGTCTCAGTAAGTCTAACTTGTTTGTAAACAATTTTATTTTCGACATTTTACAGAGAACTACGCGGTTTTCTTACTACAAATAAACTTCTCTTAACTGGAACCCCTCTACAAAACGATATTGGCGAACTATGGGCGTTATTCAGTTTCTTAATGCCCGATCTTTTTATGGATATGGAGGACTTCTCAACACTTTTTGATTTGGAAGAACTGAGGGTAATAGAAAATATTCATTTGTGATTTTAGAAACTATATAGTTTTTTATAGGACACCCGCAAATTGTTACAAAACGAAGCCGAAACTGAAATGATTTCAAAAATTCACAAAGTTTTAGTTCCCTTCATGTTACGACGCGAAAAAAAGCTTGTTTTGCATGATCTCGTTCCGAAGAGAGAAATGATCATTTACTGCTCTCTAACTCCTCTACAGAAATATCTATATCGAGCTATTTTAGACAAAGACTCATGGGCGTTATTCATGCAGAAAAAACCTTTAGAGAAGGAGAAGGTAAAAACTTTATTAGGACTAAGAACAGTTTTTCTATTAAAATAATACATTTCCAAAAATTATACTCATTTTATGTTCAGCTTGTAGAGGCCCCGAAAGGAAAAAGACAATGTGTTGCAAAAATCAAAACCTACGCTCAAGAAAAGTTCGATCTTTCCGAAGTTGATTATTTTACAACGAAAGAAGTTACGTCAACAAGTTATAACACTGCGAGTGTGCTTCACTACAATACCCATGTGCCGCTTAAAATTCCTGATCGTCCTTACATGATTAGATTAACAATGGCAAACCCCATGATGATGTTGAAGAAAGCAGTAAACCACCCGTACTTAATTTGGACTCCTGTTGTCGTTGAAGAGAACAGGAACGAGCTTTATGTCAGTAAAGACATGGTGAAGTTAAGTGGCAAGCTTCTAGTTTTGGACGCTATGTTGCCGAAATTGAAAGCGGGAGGACACAAGATTTTATTATTCAGTACTTTGACTATGATGTTGGATTTGGTTGAGGAATTATTAATAATGCGAAACTATACATATAGAAGACTTGATGGCTCTTTGGATCTTGACTCCAGAAATGACAACATCAATGACTTTAAGAGTGATGACGTGTTTGTGTTCTTACTCTCTACTAGAGCAGGCGGTTTAGGATTAAATTTAACATCTGCCGATACTGTTATCTTTATAGATAAAGATTGGGTAAGTTGAAATATGTTAGCAAATGTTTTTGATATCTATTTTATCTGATTAGAATCCCATGGTCGATTCACAAGCACAAGACAGGTGCCACAGGATTGGACAAACCAAACCTGTTATGATCTACAGCTTGGTAACCAAAGGAACAATTGATGAAATTATTCTAAACCGTGGAGAAGTTAAAAAGAGATTAGAAAAAATGGTCATAAAAGAAGGTAATTTGATGCAATGTCATTGGTTTCATTCATTCCTTAATTTTTCTTTAGGGCAATTTAAAGGCAAGCAGTTAGATGATGCTGACCTCAAATCGTTAAAAGATCTACTAGATGAAGAAGAAACTACGGTCAAAATAAATCCCAACGGTTTTTATTACACTGAGGAAGAGTTTGATAAAATACTAGACCGAAGTGATTTAATTAAAGAAATGAAGGAGAAATCTCCCAAAAAACAATAAAAGCCCTGGAAGGTTTAAACATTTTCAAAATGTATGTGTTACCCGTTAAAATGTTTCTGCGAATGCATATTACTTTTATTTATTTAAGTCTGTTTATTGAATCGTTCATATTTTTTTAAATAAAGTTCATAAAAAAAATAGGACTCAAATAACTTCTAATAACTTTTTTTGAACAACAAACGATTGTTCCTTAATTTATCTGCAAACATCTAAACTATTTGAAACAAAACACAATTAGGAAAAACAACATTAAAAATATTTAACTAGTTTTTTTCACACTCTTACTTAATTTTTGGTCAACATCGGACTGTTTTATAATAGTGAACACTTCAGCAAACAATAAGGTCCCCAAGAAAACTAAAGCTGTACCAAACCAGTGATAAATAGTGAACGGATTTTGGAAATAAACAATAGAAAATATCAAAGATAAGAATTTCCTTAAAGTGATCACTAAAGTAACAGTCAACGAAGTACACTCAGTTGTTAAAACATAAACCGAACTAATACATAAATATTGCGTAACAACATTTAAAATAATCCACAACCATAACATCGGTACTATCACGTTAGTAAAAGGAATTTCATAGGGCTCGGACTGAGAAGCGATCTGCATATGTTCCCAAATACTTGGAGAGTACATTAGAAATCCTGGGAGGGAATACAAGTGCTGAAAGACATGAGTTACATAAAAAAAATAAGACGTAATTTTTTACCGTATAGTATAAGGCTTCCTGAGGGTGCTTCCCATGGTGTTTATAAATTGATTCCTGATAAATACCCATTCGAGCTGATAATAACAGGGCTCCAGTCAGTAATAAAATTCCTATAATCCACCAGAAAAAGTGATCGGCGGCCTGTTTCTTCTCCATCTGAATATCACAATCAACACAAGCCTACAATTAGTTTCATTAATAATAAATATATTCTTTCAAGCTTTTCACTTACTTCAGCTTTCTTATTACCACTAGACATCAAAGTACAAATAATAATCCCAATAGTGATCATAGCAACAGATACGTATTTCTCCAAAGTGTATCTCTTTTTCAGTATTAAGATTCCCATAATCATATTTGCAATAAGTGAGCCCTAAAACAGCCCTTTATCATTTCTAACAAATAAACTGTCACTTACAGCTCTAAAAATCATGTGCAGCGGCACCGGAATGTTAAAATTAAAGGCCCAGTTGTTTATAACACTTGTCAGAAAAAAGAACACAACTAAATTTAAGTAAGTTTGGAAGGGAATCTTTGGTTTGACTGTTCCAAATTTTGAAGTCATTATGAATCCATGAATGGCAATAAATAAAAACTGGGCGAATGTGATGAGATGGCCACACCCTGGGTCTTGCCTAAAATACAATTACGTACAATTGGTAAAAATGTATCGTTGCTTACTTTATTATATATTCCAGGAAAACATTATTTAATCCACAACCTAAAAGTGTGGTTGCAATCGCTGCAACTGCCTTGGAGTTCATTTTGACCCACTAACAACTATTACATAAGTGAATTTAAAAAAAATACTTGTAGTTATTATTATCACTGATAAATGGCAAGTCACTCTAATTTAATAGTGCGATGATATGCTCAAATTTCATTTTGCTCTGATTAATACAATCTTCAATAACAACAAAAAAGGAGTTAGTAAATAATTTATGCTTACAATCATAATCACTTACCATTACTGTCAACAAAATATTTATATTTCCGTGTAACAACTAAAACGTCATTAATAACAAACAACAATAATACTAATTTACTGCAATTATTATTATTTTTGTGGTTATGTTTTGTGTTCAGCTCAGTCGGTTATTGGATTATTTTTTATTACTTATTCGTGATTCTGGGAGATAGCGCCACCGGCGCTTACGTAACACTTACGTCATCACAGTGTATTTGTAATGGATTTTTTGTTATGACTTTTAGGTTATGGTGCATAAAATTAAGGACTATTATGTGTGGTGTGCGTAATTTGAATTCGTAAAGTCGGAACGTGTTTAAATATATGATGGAAAATTCGCTCGAAGATGGCAAATGTAACAAAGACCACATCAAAGACTTAGGTACGTCTCAGACAAGTCTCAAAAGTACAAAAAGCTTAGATAAGAGCAGCACTAGTGGTTCAGTTAAAAACGAAAAAATCCATTTCAAAGAAGAGAATCATGAACATGACAATCAAAAAAATACTGATGCTTCGTTAAAAGTGCCTCATAAATTTATAGCGAATTGGAGACAGGCATGTGACAAAACTAAAGACAAGACGAAGGATTTGTTAAAGCGGTGGAGGACTTTGCCGGAAATTGAAACGGAAAATACGAAGAAGAATGAAGAGATTGTGGAGAAGGACGAACACAGCGATAGTGGATGGAGTGTTCATGTCTGGAGTGGGTTTTTAATTAATTTCGGTTTCCCCAAATATGTAGGCAATTTTTGCAGCCACTTGGGTTGACAGGTTTAGCATAGAATCAGAAGCTGAAAACAGGGAAGATTGCCAATTGACACCAACACAGAACAATAAGTTTTCACACTTCTTCTCATGTTTACTTGACCACGACCAAGATAATTTAATAAGTGAACAAGATTTTGAAACATTAATTGAGGTAACTAAAATGTGTTTTCAATAAATGACCAGTCTAATGAGTATTTTTACATAATTTTTATTTTTTACGAATTAAAAACAAATTACTCATTAATCAAATTAGGAACGACACTGATGAGCTGTTAAAACTACAACTTACATTATAAATTACGTGCCACTAATGGCTCATTAGTCACGCACTTTTGTTTTGTCTCTCATACCAAAAATTGATTTATTGTTACCGAAAAATACTCGATGTGCTTTAAATGTGCTGTGCTTTTTTTGTAGCGTTTTTTGTGGAACCCTCACTCAAAAAATATTGATGTTACGATTATCTAAAAATACTCATTGATCCCCTGATAAAAAATTCATTTTCCAAATATAAATAACAACTTGACCACATGCATGCACCGCAACTTGTGGTAAATCGATTTATAATTTTTACCGAAAATTTTTGCATGCTTTCTTGGATGTATAGAGATTGCGACATTTTGCTGACTGGTCGATAAATTCTCCGGAATTTAATATTCTTCGAGAGGTGGAACGTGGTTTCATTGAAACTTTTTTATCTGACATATCTGACGAAAAATTGGGTACAGTATTTTTGAACTAGAGTAGATGTGTATTGGTGTTTTTTTTTTGTATTTTAAAAAAATGTGAAAAACGGTCGCTTTTTACGTAAATGCAATGCACTTTTAATGTTGAGCACTATTGATTTTTTCCTTAGTATTATTTATTTTTATCGTTTGCTTGGTGGAGTATTAAAAGTGAGAATCATTAGTTGGACAATAGTCATTGATTTTCGCCATTTAGTGTTGCAAAAATGATTGATTCCGATTTGTTTAGGCTTCACCCTGAACGGGGAAGTGTATTTAACAAAAGATGGATGGTTACATAAATGGTCACAATTGACTTTTGGCTCAAAAAACCTGTGTGACTTTCCCATATGGTTGCAATTTTTCGTTAAAGTTTTATTTCAAGTCATCAATCGTTGTGGTGGGTAAGAATAAATTTTTATAATTTTTTGACAAAAAAATATTTAAGGATCGGGGATGATCACAAGGGATGAGTTAAGTGCATTTTATTCGTCTGTTTTGGGTTTAGACACTGTGAAAGTGGGAGAAATTTTAGATATTGCCTATCAGGCTATGACTTCGGTAAGTTGTTAATTTCTTCTTCGTTTGTTATATGTTTTTTACAGAACGGCGATCATCCACTGATATACAAAGCGTATCGATTATGCTTTGCGAACTATTTGTTGGGGAGATATCCGAACGGACCAGGACAATACATTTTGGGTGCTCCACCAAATGCACTCTCGTCAGCAATGTTTCCTGTTGATTATTCAGCACTGAATACACAACCCGAGGACTTGGAACAATATGCACCGGATCAAAAAACAAACAGACGTAGTGTCATAGTATGATTAAATTTTTATAGATTATCGCAATATTAGTATTGCCACGGCGCACATAAAACTAGTCATTTTACATTTTTACAATTTAATAATAATCTGTAATAAAATAGTGCAATGAATTAAACCTTTAATTTCGGTGCTTCTTAATTAGTACAAAGTTTTAAATTGTGATTTTGTAAAATGATCAAATAAATAGCATTTTACACAAGTGCACCTTCCCAAAATAAAATTCTAAAATCTATGTGATATTTAAAAATTATAATTGATAACAATAGAACCACATTTGTTATACAGGTGTCCTAGAATGTGGTATTTTACACGAATATTGAGAATTTTGCTCGGTTCTGCCCTTAATTGGAATTCTTAATATACATCAGTTGTAAATAAAATGGTTGCGCTGTTGGTAATGTTCTGTATTGTATCGTATCGTAGGATATGCTAGAATTTATCATAATACATTGTATGTATTCATTCTAGGACCGTGTGTAACTTTAAATTCAGTTGCATATTATCATAATCATCGTTTGTGATAGACTATTCTCTCAAGGCCATAATCAAATCTATTGTTAACGAATTTTTTTTATATTGTATACAAGGAAATGCAGTGTTTATCTTCAAGTTACTTTGCTGTTATTTTGTTTACTTAGCAAAGAGTGTGCATATCATGTAAAAATGAATCAAAAGGGCACAACGTTTTGACAGAAATGCACTTAGGATAATGTGTTGTTAAAAGTAATAAACATTATTACTCAAAATAGTTTTATTTTCTATTACCTTGTTACACTGGCAAGACAAAACTCAATCATGTTGAACATTAAACAACATAAACGAACGCCAAATATTCAAAAAAACTTTTATCAAACAATTTTAATAAATACAATGATTGGCTAATTTTTTGGAGGACATTGGGGAGGTGCAGATGGACTAGTGGTTGGAGGAGTATTACTAGAGGAAGGTCCACTTATAGGAAATGCAATTCTTTTGTTAGTTATACGCGATTTAGGGGGTGGGTTTGTGGCGCTATAATTTAACATTGGAGGGTCATTCCAACCTGGATCCACTACAAAGAATTGCATAAATCATTTAGGATATGAAATAAATTACTTACTTTTCTTTTTCTCGTCTATTTTTGGTGGAGGTGCTTCTTCTGAACTCATTTTGGTTTATTCGTTGGAAAGGTGAGACATAACCTCAATCTTTTTTTCAATCATTTAAAACACTGAACTCTAATGAAATCAATAACTAAATTGAAAAATGGTTGAAACTGAGCATTAATCCATTGTTTTATAAATGGAGTTCTTGTTTTTTTTTTTTTAGATTTTTTTGGTATTTTCTATAGAACTACATAGAATAGGAGAAACACTAAAAGTACTCAGGTGGGCGGAGCTTAAAGGAGAAATAAAGAGTGATATAAAAGCCTTTACTGTTCTATGTAATAACTCACCTTCTTTAGAAAATTTATTTTTGTTACGAATTTACTTTTAAAAATCTATCACAAAAACATGACTTCTTTTCTATTTCTAAAACGAGATTTTTATTGTAACAACAGATGCGGATAATAAAATGGTGCTATTAATAAAAGACATCCTTTTTCTACATAAAAATGTTATTTCTACATCCTTTTTCATTTCCCCGCGCATTTTTACAAATTCTTTTTTATCTCTACTTGAAATTTATATAACGCCTGGACTTAGTCAACCAAGAATACATAACCTAATTAAAGAAAACAAGATGTCAATACCTGCGAACTAAAATTTTCAAATTATTTATATTAATTAGAATGAAGAAATAAATTAACTTTAAATGGTGATTGTTCTTTTGCGAATACCTACCTGATGATTTTTTATTCATCACAGTTCAGGCAACCAGTAATATATGTGGTTATTTGCCTAAATTTTATTGTTTCTAAATTCATATTGTAATTAGGTACTGTTGTATCTTAATGAAGAGATACATATTTTGTTCAGCCTTGATGATTAATTCTCATTTATGAATTCACAAATTTAATTAATTTTTTCTTTGAGAAAATTAAAATTTAAACAGGAAAAAACACTCGTCTTTTTGATGTGAACGTAAAGATAATATGTACCAAATATAGCAATAGTATGTCATTCATCATTTCCGAAATCTTTCAGACTATAGAGAAAATACTTACCCATTTAATTGGTCAAATTGGTCTAATCTACTGATGCAAACGAATTTTAGAAAAAGACTATTTTATTTTGTAAATACATTATTTATAAACTACTATGTACAAAATTTACATAACTATTATTTTACCATGTTTGTACCACATTTTGTATGAAGTCGTAAGCCAACACATTTTCATTTGGTAATTTTCAAGGCGAAATTGAGTATTTTTTGCATATCATCTTTTCTACAAAAACTACTTTAATGGCCTTTGTTCCATTCACGGAATATAAACCGAGAGCACTTTTTTAAAAGAGGTGAATAGTTTAAATATAGAGTTTTATTCGCTTAAAGTGAATTTAATTTTTAATTCTTTGGTGTGTATATAAAAAATATACGTTTATCTATTTCAGTTTTGTAGTAAAAACTATAAATCGGAAAAAAATTATACAATCTGTTATACATAAACTATAAATGCTTTGGACGAATGCATGAAAGAAAAACAAAAAAGTATTAATATGCAGCATTTCTAGTAAATGTATCTACTGTATAATATGCATCCACTTGTGATGTATATAACAACAGACATTTTGTTTTCTGTGAAAAAAAAATACATATATACATAATTGCAATCATTTGTCATACACACCACGCATAGCACTAAGTACGATAATCATTGAACACAAGAACGGTTGAGATTGTTTCTACTAATTAATAAAATTATAACAATAATGAAGGAAGGCATCGGTCAAGTTCCAAGCACGACAGGTCCCCTTGCTTTAGTGCCTGTTCCCAGGACTAAAACTAAAGACTACATCCCTGAGGGTTGCCGAGCTACATTACAATTACGCATTATGTTCATAGGAAAGGCACTATTGGGATTATATCAATTAATTATATCACAATTCAACGAATCGAAATTGATGTGGTCGTTCTATAACCATCATGTACGACCTCATGCAATCGGTAAATGGAATGTTATTTAAGCTCGTGCATGTTTTTACTTAGAAGTAAGTTATTGTGTGGTCCTGACAAATGCCTAATTAATTCGGGTAAAGATTCAAACGACAACGGACAGAAACAACAATTAAAACGTCCAGAATTCCCATCATTTGATGATATAACGTTCCTATGCACCGAACACAAATGTTTCAATAAATGTGCTTTCTGTTTGAACATCGCGACACACAACCGACACGCGAATGGTTTCTCTCCTGTGTGAACTCGCAAGTGCGTCTTCAAATTCCACGACATCCCAAACTGTTTCCCACAGTACTCACACCGATATTCCCGAACTTGCACTGTCGGAAGTACTTGCTTCGTGGTGATAGAAGCATGTGACGAACTTTCCGCAGTATCGCCACCACCGGCACTAGAAACTCCACCGCCACCACTACCACTACCGCCACCACCAACTGAAAATGACGCGGGTGGATCGCGAGAATCTTCATTACTCGAAGACGGATTCACTTGAGTTTGGCACAGCGACCAAGCGCCCCAAGTGTGTTCAAAATTCTGGTACGCCTCAGAAGTAACGCCTTGATCCGCACTAGGGGGCCTGTATTTGACAACGACGTTGTCCGGGGGCCCCACGGTATCGGAGTGCTGTCCCGGCGTTGGAGTATGGATTCTGTCCACTAGAAACGGAGGCGCGGACAGCGATAAAGGATGGTGAGCTGCTATTAAAGGTGGTAAGTTCTTGTATCTGTGATGCTGGTGATGGACGGCATCGTCGATATAAGACGGCGAAAAAGGAACAAATGGTGGATTTTGTGCCGGAGAATTATGGAAACCAGGTCTGCGTTTGCGGTGAGGGGTGACAACGTAATTGTCTGGACTTTGCACCAACGAGATCAGTTTTTGGTCAGCTATTGGTGGTTTCAATTGGGAAAGTTCTTCTTGATTTTTCAAGTCGATGGGTTCAATATACATACTTTTGCGTTTCATTCGGTGGTGGTGAAACTGGGACAATTCGTGGACTTTTGGAGCTATTTTTACAGTTGTTTGTCCGATTTTTAACACATCAGAATTCTTCTTTTCTAGTTGCTATCGAAAAATTATATAACTGTCTTTCATTCACAATCAACTTACCTCCGAACTGTTATCGTCATCGATATCTTTTTCTTCATCGGTATTTTTTGTGTTCAAAGATAGATTCACTGGGTTTGGTGACGAGCCGTCTTCTTCCGAAATATTATTTTCGTCCAAAGTGTCATCTTCATCGTCTTTAATTTCGCCTTCTTCTTTTTCATCATCATCCGTTTCTCTTTTAACTACCATCAAGTCTGGATTGTCGTAACTGTTGTCGGGTTCGGATTGACATTTGGCCTCTTCGGTCGACGAAGACTGCCACATGTCCGATTTAATTTGCAATAGTTCGAACAACTCCTGTATACTATCCAATTCGCTAGACTGAAAGTTTGGCTAATAAAATCGATTTTTTTTCCGCCATCAATTACCTTAACGCAAGCTTGCCCGTTGTATAAAAAATCGAGCAAGTGTCGGAGGTGGCAGCTTTTTATTCCTGGGATGAGCACAACGCTGGGCCCGTGAGCATGGGCGCTCTCTCCAAGAATGCGTCGCACTAAAGGACTCGCTGCCGCCATTATTAATTTATGAGCGCTTAAAGTTGTTTTATCGTCACATACGAATGTCATATCGGCAAAGTTCTCAGAGGCAAAACAAGTTTTAATTTCGTCCACTATAGTTGCATGATGTTTGCCATAATGCAAGGTTAATAAGCCGTGGGAATCCTGTTCCTCAGAGTACATGGCGATTTTAGTAATTTTGTCAAGGACAACCTAAAATCAGATTAGAATTTCAAGTGATTCGCTCAAAAAATTACTTTTAAAGGTAAACAACATTCTTATGTGCAGACGCGAACTTTATTGAATTTGCGAGGGCACGCCTAAGTGTACAGGTGTTCATTTATTGTATCCACAATCGCTTTTTGATTATACTTTCAACAATTTCATTCCGCAATACGGGGAAAATCTCAATAGATCATGTAAAAATGAAAACATATCAAATAAAGACGTGTGATTCTAACAAAGGGTGTTTGGATAAAAAATCTTTACAAATAGCATTGAAGTTTCTATGAATGAACTGAAGCAGAATAAGCAACTATATTTTTATAAATAAAATTGGCCCTTCACAAAATTTCTCCCATTGTGATTGAAGTTTAAGATCACCGACGACAGTCCAAGTTCATGGGCGCAAAAGCCTAAACGGCATTTAGCTGTCAAATTTTTCTGTTTTTTGAAACCCATTGGACCAGTTCAGACTTTCAAATTATAAGCGGGAGTAACAAATTTTTTCCAACTTCTAACTCTTAAATTAGTTAAAATAAAAACGATTTTTTGTTTGCGACTTTATATTAATTAATAAAGAAAGAATTTAACCAAAAATTTTAATTTTTGTAACTGTTACCGGTTTCCTTTCAGCTTAATTTCCGACACCTCTTTACATCATAATATGCTAATAACGCATATCTATTTTTGTATTTTGATGGGATAATGTAATACTTTTAACACTTCTGTAGCCATGAAACTGGGTGCTCGTCTTTCTTCTACCTCTATCACACAATAGTCACGGTCGGTCCGAGCTATAGCTATAGCAATTTCTCTCAAGACCACTTTGGCCTTACACAAACAGCTTTCACACTAATTTGATCGATTTTCATCCCTTATTTCGAATTTTTATTCAAACACCCGTGTTGATAGTTGAAACAATACAATTAACAATATTCAACTAAATTATTGTGTAAAATTTTTCTGCAAATAGCCAATTTGCGTCAAGTATCTAAATTAAAATCCCGTTAAAATGATCTTTAATTTCTTTTCTTTGCATAATTAATGACTATACAATTATTGTATCATTCTGCAACAGTAAAATATGTGCAACGTTTAGTGGCCGAAATTCCGTACTTAGCAAGTTTGATTTGAATTATAAAGTAAGAGTTCTAAGATCAAAAAGTGTAGTTTAGCTGTTAAAAAATTTTGAATTTGTGATCACAGCGGAAGAGGGGAATGAAGATTATTGTGTTGAGTTCTTGTAGTTGGATTTTTAGTGTCAGTTAGTAGTTAGTTATTATATTTGTTGTAGCTGCGGTGAAGCGGCAATGAAATCTATGGTGTAATTGAAATGAATAGAAAAGTACATTGCATAATTCGAAAATTGAAAGTAGTTATCGTTTTATTCGTTTAGTTGGAAAACAGCACGAGGCGCGCTGAAACAATGCGCGTGTATATGTTTAAGTCAGCGTATGGAGTAGCAAGAGCAACAGGTTGCGCGTGAGGATTTCCCCTAGAGTTGAATGGAAAAGATAAATAATGGAAATAGATGCGTGACTTACCCAGAGAATAAATAGTCCTAAAAGGCACTCGCGACTGTGGTCGCCGTAGGGCAGTCGCGAGCACCAGAAGATGTGCAATCACACCGCACCATAATTCGAACGTTCCATGCACATTAAAATTGTTCCACCGTGTTTGATCGGTCGCCAGCCTTCGCGTTGAGTGAATTATATTTTTGGGACACGACTCTCAAACACTGTGTTGCGCCACAAATGAAAGTAAAAGTGAACGAACACGAGCCTTCACAACACCACAACACAACGGTGCTTATTGAAGCAAGTTTCCTCAAGCCCTAAAATAGCTTTTGGTGTTTGCGCGACGCTATTTGATCACTGCCACCCTCAAAAAGTTGCGCTTTGATGCGAAAAAGTTATTACCATCAGCTTTGCTCACGGGTTGGGTTCAAACGTAATACTACTAACTCTTAATTTCTCCCTTTACTTTCCCCTCTTTTCTCTTGGCTCCCCACTACATCACAAGTTTTTTCCTATTGCTAGCTCACTTGTAACTTCTCTTTCTCATTTTCAAGGTCGTAAGCTGTAGACATTAGACATGCGACTGCGCGTAATTTAGCGCATTTTTGCTCTCCCGGACTATTTCGAATCTTTGGCAAAGTGACACGAAATTTCGCCATAGAAGCTATTTTAGTTACAGAATAGGTACGCTAGAAACGGATGGTGTAATTCTGCATTCGTCACTTCGACTGTTGCAGAGACCGTTTCAATTGCTTTCACCGGCTTCGCCAAGGAGACTCGTCGCGAGCGGGGCCCAAACAGGGGCCACAACCGGACTTTCACAATACCGACTGCCGAGAGCCGAGGGGGGGAACGGTTGTATAATATCGATGAAATAGCAGCCGCTAGAAATAGAAAGACCTATTGCTTTTTTTCATCTTTTTGCCCAATTTTTGGTCACTAATCACAACTAAATCGCCTCGTTTTGTCCCATTGACTCATCCCTCATTTATCTCAATCAAACATACCCACCAAAATGTCTAGGAGAAGAAAGACAAACATAATTCAAGCGCCATGGCATTCCTGTAATAGGCATCTATTGTTATGTTAGTATTACGTTATGTGAGCGAGGGAAAGTAGGCATAGCGTAGCACTTTCACTATCGCGTAATGTCTGTCTGAAACTGGACCTTAAATGTAGAATTCGACCTCCAAAGACTTTATGACACATCACAATGAATAATGACATAAAACCAGTCCCATCGACCAACTAATTACCAACTACAATAAGCAAAATCCGTGCTTCTTCAATCATTCAAATTACCGGCATCATTTTTGCATTCTCATTTCTAATAACCCGGAGATAGGTACGTTAAATTGTACATTATTCATGTATGTTTAGCGTTATTAAGTAATGAATCTTTTTGTGTAGTTGGTTCGGTTGTCCTCGAGACTGATTTTACCTGTTTAAACCTTCAAGGTCTCCGCTTTGTAGGGAAGTGAAAGTGGTCTTGGTTGAACTGACACGGCTACAAACAACATCAAAAACAGCGCAACACAACATCTTTAGGGACAATTAGCAGACAGACAGACACCAATATATTGTTATAGTATTGATATCAATTATTGTACCTATATGAGAAAGCTAATTTTTTAAGGACCATTAATACATAATATAAACTTGGAGGTTGGAGGTTTTACATAATTGGATATGGGTCGGTAGTCACATGGTAATTGTTAACTAGAACCGCGCACATAAGTCGAGTCGAGACTGCAGGATAAAGCATCCTTGAAACTTTGAACATCCGCTCTCCTCGCCTCAAATCACTTTGTACTTACTTGATCCTCTCAGGTAAAAATTATAATTATAATCGCCAAGCAACATTATAATAATGTCCGAACAACAATTTGTGCTGCGACCTTGTCGCAACAATTCTACTTAATTACCTATTATATCACTTAAAAAATCGAATAGATGTGGTGTGGATACGTGGTCTCATGTCTTTTCTAAAATTGTTGCAATAATGTAATCCTTGCATTGTTTAATTATGTTTTGCTTATTCGATTACAAATTTTCATAAAAAGTGAAATGGATCGTCGTATCGAAGATAACAGGTGTATCTGGTGCAACATTACACTTCGCTTCGTCATTGTTTCTCATTGCAAACATTGTCCATTTGTTAAAAAATAGAAAAACAAAGTTTCTGCTGGGATATTACTATTATTTTTTTGTAAATTAAAGTACCTATAAGATCAAAACTATTTTCTCGTTGTACACACACCTGTTATATAATACTGTAACGTCTTTGGTTTGGGTGAAAGTATCTGTGAACAGGTATTATGTATGCGTTCATACAGAGTAAAGCGAGTTTCAAAAATTAAACCAAATTTTATAATTATGTCATAATTTTATTTCACTATTGAAACTTTCTCACATCAATTTAACCTCCACCAAGTCGAAAAAATCATAAAATTTGCTAGTTTTGGCTTTTAGTGCAATTGTTCACTTTCTCTGAAATGCTATTTGGTATCTGTAGTAATTACGTAATCTTTATTATATACCTGTTTTAAATTTAAATAATAAGGTGAAGTTTAACATACAGATTAGTTACACTGGAAGTCTTGGGATTGTCAGCGAGTCATCCATTTGTTCCCCTCATCTACACCTAGACCTTTTGCTTTATTAGTTCCTATTTACTATTTAGCTTCGAAATTTAAACTTTGCTCCCGTTTTTATCTCAGATCAGTTAGTGTTCAGTAGTTCAGTGTCCTTTGCCTAAAAAATTAAACTAAACTAAAAGAAATTCATTGGAAGAAGAAATCAGAACTATTTTTACCTAAAATTTCCATACTTCTGTACAAACGCACCGCGCTCAATTAATACAATAAAAAGTTTGATTAATATCTTAAGATAAAAATCATCAGGTTTTAATTAAGTGTTTGCACTTTGTATAAATTTGATTTTTGATTAATTTAAATATTTTTTAAGTTTGAGGCTGTTAGGATAGTTTTTAGCAAAATTTACTGTTTTTATTAATTTTGATACGATTACATTGCCGGGCAAGCTGCACACACACTTGCATGTTATTTGTTATTTAGTATTACGTGACTAATAAAATAATTCTGAGTAAGTAAATATGTTTACTAAATGTGTAATTAAAGTGAGATTTTCATTGAATTAGTTTTATCCTGCATAAACAGCACCTATTTAGCTTAGCACCATAATCCAATTCACATTTAGTGTAAATGTTTTTTTAGCCCACATCAACTTCCTTTTTTTAATATTGTGTGTGATGTATGTACATATATGTACAGTGCACAATATATTAATATACATATAATGTGAATTTTTGATTAAGTTGTACGTGATTAAGTATTTTCCGTTCCTTTACGTTTAATTATCTGAAAAATTGATAGAATTATTATCGGATTGCGAATATTTGTGATTAATATGCAGGCTAATTATTAAAATGATTAAGCTATACAAAATGTAGAATGTTGAAAAGATAATAGTCTGCGGTAATCGTCAAAGCAAATATTGAATAAAACAGCAAAACATCTAGTACGCTGTCTTTTAAACTATATATAATTTCATCAAGGTAGTAAGTGAATGTTTAGTTTACACTTTTGTTTAGAAAGAACCTTGAGCCATGTTTGGATTCCGTTCAAAAAAGTTCAAGTTATTTTTACTGAATCTTGTCAGCATTCTCTTTTATTTAAATATTTATTAGCAACAATTTAAATATTTGAGTCTTATGAGCTGTTGGCACCTAATGTAAAATTGTAGCAGAAAATGGAAGCAGAATAGATAATGTGTTATTGTATTACTATTACCTCATAATAATGAAGGTTACAATGTGTTTTGGTGTCAGCATACTCCAAGTATTTTATCTCTGTGGATGTAACATGTCTACTTGGTGCGCCATTTTTTAATTATTGCACTCAATAAATACATACGAAATTAACGAAATGACTCCTACAGAATACATTTGAGGAAGTCGTTAACTATACTTTTACAAATAACAACGCATTCTTCATTTTTTTACTCAGGAAATATTTAATATTTATTTAAGAAACAACTGCTGTTTTTCATTTCATAATACCTATCAAAAAAGCTTTCAATGTCACATTTGAAATTATAAATTTCTCTAAATTTAAATTTCAACCTTGAATAAACAAGATTTGTGAGTGTTCTCGCTTTATAAATAATAAGAATCCGAAACAATTTATAAACGATCAAATTATTAATTTTATAATACAAAATGAAAAAAATAGTGGTTCAATGCTAAGTATATCCGCAGGTATTTTTACTGAATTTTACAGTACCTACCTATTTACTTACATGGTCCATTTCTTTTTTTCTTAAACCTTGTTACGCGCTTTTTGTTTTGTTTGAATTACATCTTTTGGTAAAGTTTGGTAATAATTATCAGGCTGTAAATATTATCTTGGAACAACCTAAATAAAAACTCGTTCAACAAACGACATAACTGATGGTTACGTAAATAGATCAAAATGAAAATTTTCAGATTATTTTTAAATCTGCAGAAAATAAATATAATGTACTATTGGCTACTCATATTTTTGGATCACACATCTTTCTGATGAACAAAATCATAAAAACAACTTTTACATATTTTAACATTTTTTTTTATTTTTTGTATAAATAAATTGCATTTTTAGTCTTATAGGAGATTATAATTTTGAATTTATTATTTATTACATTAACTAATACATTCGCCAAGTAATTTACTGTAAAATTCATAATATTTTTGCACTTATTTGAATGTTTAAAAATTATTTGCTTTTTCAATTTGAGCGACCTCTTATGTATCCGCTTTGTATTAACAAAACATTTAATGAAATAACCACTAGAGTTCGCACTACAAGCACGCGCATTTTGTGTTGCCTACACTAAAAGTGTGCCAATGGTATTCAGGTTGTGGGAAGCCCATAAAATAATATTTGCGTTTTTATTATTATGAATATTGAAAGTAGCTTTTGGAAATTTAGTTTAAGTAGCTAATTAAAAATTATTTTTTTAGCATATTTTTAAATTTAGGTTATTGTATTATGGAGCAAGAGTGAAAGTTCAAATATGTACATACCTATATGTATAATTTATAAATTATAACTGTGCTAAAAGATCCGTAATATTTTATCATTTGATATGTTGATATAAATTCTGAGAAAAAAAAAACAAAATTTTAGTTTGAAATTGTTTTTATGAGTCCTCATCAATACATACAATATTTTATATCTAGTACTAAAATAAATATTTTTCTATTAAAAAGTAGAATTCAGCGGCCACATTTAATTTGTCCCTGTCCTTGAAAATCATTTCTCTTTTTTTTGTGGTTTTAATTAAAAAGAAATGTTTTCTTTTTGCGATAAAGAACCTATATTTACATTTTTTAACAAACCTTTACATTTAAATGGTGTTAAATGTTACTTTAAGCATTTGTAGTTTTAAAATGTGGGTGTCATGATGTCTTAATTTGATTTTTATATGAATCTAAAAATTTCATTTTGAATAATTAAATTTGTTTACTTTTATTCTGAGTATTTTGATACAAATATGTATTTACATGAAGACTATGTTCTAACTACAAGACTAGTTTCTGCACCTGTTGATGTAGTATGTCTGGGGCAGTGGAAACAGTTGCTCTAACATGAGCAAAATAAACTTAGAAATATTAATAAATAATTAATATGTTTTTCAAACAAATATCTTACAATCATACTCTCAAGTAGTACATTATACAGTGTTAAATTACACTTATTCTGGTTTATAAATGACAAAACCTAAGTACTTAATAAAAAAATAACCTAAGTATTATATAAATAATAACAAACATTAGGTCATGCTGACAACGGCGTCAAGCGCCGCTTGTGAGCACAAGTGTTTAATGAGATAATAAATAATTAACGAAATATCTTTAAATGATAAAGAAACGTCATGTTGAAAACAGTTCGAGAAAGGGGGTGAGAGGGAAGGGTGAAAAAATGACCGCACATTGGCCGGTAGATTCATACGCACAATCACTGGATTGACCTGAACATCTTTGGAATCTTCGGAATGTACCTTTGCTGATTTGTTATATAGATTGTCAATTAGCCACTTTCACAAACTCGGCGTTATCATATGCCCGAGCTCCTGCAAAGACCGTTGCTATGCCTTTTCGATCAATAGCCCGAACGCGAACAAATAAAAATGCAGCTACTAAACTAGCAACAATTAGTACCAAAAGAAGCATAACTAATCCAGCTACAAAGCTTGGAACAGACATACAAATTGTCTCTGGGTCTGACGACGAAGCCGATTGAATGACTACAGTTTCGTTACTTTGTGATGGGTTTAGTGCGAAATTGACATCACCGGGGGCGACTACTTGAATCGTTCGACTAGTATTAACGTCAGTCATTTCTTGAGCTTCTCGTTTATAAACATGGTTAACAACAATGTTTATAGATTCAAGACTGCGTCTTTTTCTTGCACCTTGCAATTCGGCCGGAATGTTTTCAACAGACCGGGGCCTTCCTCCGAGAGTTGCTAAATTTCCTTCAAACTCTTCAGGAACACTACTTTTTCGTTTCACTGTGTTGTACACTCCGTGGTGTCCCGGAGGCGGTGGAGGTGGCAAATGAATATCACTGCTACTTTGTGCGGAAATTTGCGGAGCTGGTGATGACAAGTTTGGTGGATTTGATGTTGAAGATGATGAGATTTGAGACTGTGGTGCAGGTACAACATCAGGATTGTTATCAGAGTAAGCGCCAGTTGGACCTGAGGGGTGTCTAGGGTCTGGAAATGCCGGAGGAACGCCGTATTCGGAAAGAGACTGAGAAGCGTATTCGGCGTTAATGTTACCGCCGTGACCACCGAAGTCTCCACTACCAAGAGAATTTCCTAGTGGAGGAGGTCCATATTCACTGCTCAGACTTAGACCGTGATTTCCGCATTTGGGCTCAGGACAATTGTATCGACAGACTTGGATGACACATTGGAAATGTACATTCATGGAATCGGGGAATTTGAAAGCTTGGAAATATGCAAATGACACAACGGAAGCCGATGGTCCGAAGTTCTTAATTTTCTGGAATTTGCTCATAATTTTCGGTCTCACAACGCATCCGTATTGGTCGACTAATTGAATAGGGGCTCGTTTTCCATCATGAGCCACACAGTTGCGTACTAACATGTCAAATTTGTTTTCATCATCTTTGATGGCTAAAACCATAGTCATTGTTTGGCCGATTTTGACGATTCCGGAGACTTCCGAAGCCCAAGGTCCTTTTCCAACTTGGATTTGCATCCAACATTGCAAATTATCACCTAAGAAGTTAGCTGTGACCGCATGCAACATGTCCACTTGGAATGGTCGGAACGTGACCGCCTTTTCGTAAAAATCGTACCAAGTGCAACGTAGTTTGCGAGCTTGATCCCACACTTCTTGTACATAAGGATCATATTGGATAATAATGGTGTTTTCCACGTAACTACCACTAGGTGTTGGACCTCCATAATTACCCGCATTGTGATTTGCGGATGAGGACATCCCACAACTGTTTAGAAATATTTCGAACGTTGCACTCAAATGTCCAGTGCCTGGTTTGAGGTGAACACAGTGTGGGTCACTGTAAAATCCTTTCGAAAAAATCATTCCGTAAAACGGACGATCAAATTCAATGTTGACACGCATATGTGTCTTTTCACACTGCACTTGTAAATGTTTTATTTGAGGCATGTCAGGAGTTGCTAGAGGCCAAGGATCATCCGAGGATCCTCCTCCACCGCCTTGTAATATCGCCGGTGGCGCATACCCCGGACCTGATAAAGGGGGCCCATACACACCTCTATGCTCTAAAGGTAAAGACGCCGAATCGGAAAGTGGAGCATCACACCGTATCTCCTGTATAACAAAATTTACATAATTACCGACACAAGTGAAAACATTCACTCACCGTCCAAATCAGTCCGGTTAATATCCCAAAGGTGAAAAGTTTTAATGACACAGTCATCGTATTCGGTGTGCCAGTTCTGAAACCAATAAACTACCCGTCAAAACATATCTATCCTCTTAATAGCAATTTATTTTACAAAATACGGAGCGTTTCAAAGCTGTTCGCTTCAACTGCTGCCTCACCACTTCCTCCGCACCTGACAGATTATGACCTACTGACATACTCTGCAAGCACAGTTTAGCATCCCGCATCATACATCCGAAGACCATCTTCGATCATTTATTATCCCACCCTTCCCTTCAACGAATTATTATTACCATTTATTATCAATTATGTATTATCAAAAAAAAAAATTAAGTATCATCAATAACAAAAAGCATTGACACTGTGTTACTCAATCTTGAGACACGCGACATTGGGTTACATCTATTTTATAATAAGTATGTTCTAATAAACAGCAAGAGAAATGCAAATACCGATGTACCGGAGCAAGGAATTATCTATTTCTCATCATCAGCGACCACCGACGACCGACATTTCTCTAAACTCTTAGAAAGTGGCATACGCATTCGCGCCGTTCTAATTTGGTATGTATGTATGTACATGATGATACAACCTGTTCTTTTCATCAAATGTAAAATTATAATTTCTGTCATTAGCTAAAGTCTGAAACAATGTTCTGAATTGAAAAAAATGTATGAAAGAAACTTTCGGAATAATCGTTATGGTTGACGCTATTGTTTATTCTGTATACTTAATTAAATGGTTTTCTCTTTTTTATTGTTTTTCGGCAAAGAGTTGAACGGTGGTTCAAAACACTTGAAAATTACTGAAAGTTTCAAAATTGTTCTTTCGTGACGATAACAATACTACAAAGTGTGGATTTTTCATCAAGTAAGCAATTATGTGAAATAACAAATAGTAATAATAATCGATGAATAATTAGCATGTTTACGATGGCATCTATTCGTGTCGTCAGTGTTAAGCTAAGTCTGCGGCTGGCAAGTCCATTGACATACTGCCTTGCTTTCATTTCCACTGTGTGCTCAATAAAGCATCATTTACACAGAGAGATATTATAGCAACCTAAGCAATCATAATTTGTTACATTTTTAATTAGCTCAATACTAACTCACTTATGTCATTATCACTTGCAGGGGTTGTTGCGCTCATATCAAAAAATCCTTTCACCAATACATGCAGTTTCATTAAAATCCGGAAACAACATTTCCAGAAAAACTCATCCACTGCACTTTTTACGTAAATTTACTTTTCATTACTTACTTTATTAATCCGAAATTGTCGATCAGATTAACACAAAAATAAAAAAGTCATAAATCCTAATCACTGATCACTAAACACTAACACTGCAATCCCTCTCAAGTCCACAATTTTTCTCAACACATTAACTACAACAGTTGGGTGAAAAGTAATACACTTTAAATTCTTCCGTTGGTTTTATATTGACGTGAAAGTTGGTCCCCACTCTCATGAAGAACCACTAGTGGAGCATTGCTGAGGCTTTCTGAAGAACTTAGTTGTTCAGTTTCTGTGAAAACACCTGGATATTATTTGTAAACGGATTCCAAAATTTGACGCCGATGACGCCACATGCAAATCACTTTCGTTCGGCCTGCCGGACGCCGGCTTCACCCGGAATTTAGCAATTACTCTTTCGAATTTTCCCAAAATTCGTCCCTAGAGATATTCTATTATTGAATAACTAGAATTTAATTAAAAAAAGTACTTAATAAATATTTGCACAATTTGGAGATACATTCGAAATATCTTCAGTTATTTAGCCGCGTCTTATGGATATGTATATAGTAGCGTTACACCCCAAAAACCACCGACAACCAATGCTCTATGAAAATCAGAGCAATATGAACTAATTAATACCGTAACGGAACTTCTTAGATTTTACTCAAACGGAACTAAATTCACTTAAATATTAAAGACAAAAATGACCGATATAATTATCTTTTCGTAAAATATATGAGTAATTACATTCGAATATGAATGAAATGTGTTTCATTATTTAATAACAGTACTCCCGGTCCAAATTAACTGTTTTTGCAATCAAATATTTTTCACCAGTTTAAAAAAATATTGCGTGTTTTGGTCTAAATGTAGTTGTGTATGTTTGTCTTTAAAGATATTAGCAGTAAAAACTTGAAATCTATTATCACCAGTTATGAATAGCACGCCAACCTGCATTTAGTGATAGTGTAATAGCTATTGCTTAATGAAATTTTATTTACCCATATGACAAATATTACGCATATTGTCGGGATTCTATCCTTATGGAAAATTGAATGACGCAAATTTTGTCTTACTCATATAGCTTTCACTCGTGGTACAATCGGGGACCCATATCAATGCACCCGGATATGAGAAAATAGTGATATTATGCTGTGAAAGAAATGAATTAATTCACACATGTGAAATTTAAACACGGTGATGCATATTACACGTACATTGATATATACTATTTTAAAATTTCTAGTTAGTCGACCATTCTTATACAATAACCAATTCCGGCACTTCCTGAGCTGCGGTTTAAATTTAATACAATACACAATAGAAAAAGTGGTTAATTGTCTATTTCTGGAGGTATAATATGTAGAAAATAATTGGTTTGACTCATGCTAGTGTCCTAGATGCCTTCATGATTTTTCCAACATTGAATTTATTTTATTTCGAAGCGAAAAACAGATTCAGAAAAATATTGGGCGAAACGCAAGTTTCAAACAATACTCCAGCGTTTTACATAATGAGGCTTCAATTAAACTTTACCTAGTTTTTCTTGAGATTTTTTAAATACAATTATCTATAGTCGTCCATTGCTTAACCCACTTAATAACTAGGCAATTATTAATTAAAAATGTTTTGTTGCATTTCTATTTTTTGAGCCAGATTGAAAAATGGGCAGGGTTATTTTTATGAAAATTGCAAATGTTATCAATAAAATAAAAAAGATGTTAATAACAAATAAGTATGAAAATTGATTTATTATTGTGTTGATAAATCAAAAATTCGGAACACAATGTTTTATTATGTTTATGTTATGCTGAACTATATTTACGGCGGTTTGAACTAAAGACAGTAGAAAGTCGGTGAAAAATCCGTCAAAAATCGATCTAGTAAGCAATTTCAAGGTCGGTGGACAGTGCATAGAATCCGGATGCGGACGTGGCCCAGATTTCTCTAAAACTGTGTGTATTAGTTCTTCCACAGTCGTAGAATTGTACAAGTGTAACGAACTATCGAAAGGGGTTCGAAAATAGAAAAATACCCACAGAAATACCCACATCTTCTTTAAATGTAACGAAAAAATACAAATCATTATCCTTATTAGTTTCTGATTTTTTTTTGACTTAACTCGAGGATGAGATTAAAAAAATAGTAAGTCTGAGATTTTGTAACGGTTTAGTCAGTTTTGAATGAAATTTGTTTTCGTTGCTACCCATTTTGCTCAAAATTAAATAATAACATGTAAGTAAGTTATTTCCTGTTTTTTTAGAGCAGGCTTATGACGGTTAAAGATGAAAGAGCAGCCGTCAAAAACAACAGGTAGGTAGAAGCTCATGTGTACGTATGTACGTGTTTGTGGAACACATTTTGACAACCGCTATTGGTGTTTCTGGTGCGCTGGTTGCGTTCAGTGTCAAGGCATGACCTACATCTCGCTTCCTTTTGAGAGAAAGTTTCAGCAGTCATACAAGCATAATGGGACATTCTTTTTCCCTTTTATCGTACTTAAAAACTCACTTATATTATGTGGAAAAATAATTACTCTACAGGGAATAGGGGGTTTAGGAACCTACTGGTGATTTGAGTTGTCTTTTTACAAAAAAATCGGGGTTAAACCTTTAGAATACATTTTACTTTCGTATTCGCCAAACCCAACAATTGTTCTAAAAATTTTCTCTTCATTGATCGTTTGTAAATCATCCAGGAATATAATTAATATCTAGGTGTGTATCTTAATCTTATCTTAAATACTAATTAATAGGTAAGTACCTTAAATTTGGATTAAGGCGATAGCATATTTTAAGCCTAATGGTTTTTCCTGAAATAAATAAAATACAGTGGCGTCATTTTTCGTAATACTTAAATAATCGGTGAAATATTATTGAAATTTTATTTGCAATAACCGAGAAAATTATTGTTTGCGGTGTCCAAAACAGTTACGAAGATGAAGGTTGCATACTTACCTGTTTCATCGTTTTTTTTGCTCTCGTTTAAACCTATAAAAAAGAAACGAAAACACCTTCGTGGGCGTTCAAGCAGAACTCCACAATGAAATTGAGATAATTAACATTTCAATTTTAAAATTTCTTGATTTAAACAGTTCAAATAAAAACGTATTTAGATTAGTCTTGTATGTGTAACTTTTTGACTCAGATTAAGCCTAGTTTTCTTAGTCGTTTTCCTATTTTCTATGGATTAGTTTTTAACAAAAACCCGTATTTCAACTAAAACATCAAAAAACAACGTTGAGTTTGACTTTTTACGCTAACTCTTTTTTTCTAACTCAGATTTTCCTAAAAACATCAATTTTTAGAAAAATGAGTCAATTTTCAAGTTTTAGTCGTTGAATTTTGTTGAGTTTGAAGAACAGCCTTTTGAGGCCTGTTTAAAAACACAAATCATTGTAAAAAATGACCTGTTTTTAAGCCAATTTTGTATCTATTGAAACTTCAATTTTTTATGGAAACTACTCTATTTTTTAAAAATGTGAGCCAGACGTAACTGAATCTGTGGTTTTTGTTGAAAAAAATGCATAGAAAATACGAAAATGACTAAAAAAAATTGGCATAATAATCTGAGGTTAAGAGTTACGCATATTAGACTACTATTTAGTATAAACATATTTGTTCATACGATGATGCCATTACCGTTTATAGTATAATGGCTACGTTATTAATTATTGTGGTATTGTCAAAAATTTTAAAATGGCTTTACAACTTTATTATTGGAAAGGAAAAAAAAAAAGAAAATGGCTCAATTTCTGCTTGAACGTCGATGATATACTATAGCAAATGATTGAAGGAAAATGCAACGATTATCCTCAATTGATTATACCAGTAGACAAGAGGAAAAAGAAAATATAATCTAATTATTGTAATGATGGTTTATTACCATTTACAAAAAATACATTCAACAAAACACTTTACAGAAATAGACAACTAATACAAAAGTAATAATGTAAATACAAGCGACATATTATCTCCATCCCGTGCGTATGGATCAGCCATAGGGATCAGCATAGAAGCTTCCATAAGGAAACGTGCTTCTCACTCAATCAACCTTGCAACCCTTGCAGTAATTCTTATTATAAATTCAAGTTAGGACACACGCATTTCAGTCTTAGTCTGGTCTTAGTCTGGTGTTAGCCATTCGTAATATTGTAAATTTATTGAAATAATTGTAAAAGTGAAGTTAAAAAAATTAAAATAAGTGTAATAATAATTTTAAGTGAAATAAAATATTTAAAAAAATGCTCTCACGTTAACTGACACTATAGGTAGTAAAATACCAAAGTGTGTTACAAATAATAAAAAAGTTAATTTTAATTAAGTTTAAGGAAAATAAAAAGCATATTTGCGTTACTGAATTAGAAAGTGTTTAACATACTTATTCCATGTATAAAAATAAAGCACACACGCAATTAAGCTTGCTTCTTGTGTAAATTTTTTTTTGTTTTATTCACCACTCTGTATATCACAACAAATTTTGAATCTCCCGTTTTTTCGTATGTTGTAACTACAAAACGGTAAAAAATGTCAAAACGGCCATGTTTTGACTATAACATTATACAACCGGCATTGAATATGTTACACAGTGTAACTTATTCAATGCAACCGGTAAAAAAACATCAAAATTGTATGTCAAAACCGCTAGAAATTTGTTTATTATTGTTAGATCAGATCAGGTCCGGTCATTATAATAAAATAATACAATATTAACAATAATAAAAAAGTTAATATACATAAAGTAAGGAAAATACATTGGATTAGAAAATGCTGAACATAATTATTTTGTGTATAAAAATAAAACAGGCACGCATCTAATTTTGCTTCTTGTAGTGTTATTTTTTTCTCATTTGCCACACTGTATATCACAACAAATGTTGAATCTCGCGCTTTTTTCTCAATAATAATTACGCATTTTGGCAACACTGAATACATTTTTGACAGGCGCGTTTACAGAGTGTAAGAATTTGAAATGTTGTAAATACAAAACAGGAAAAAATGCCAAAACGGTCATGTCCTGACTATGACATTATACAGCCGATAAAGAAACAACTAAATAGTATATCAAAATCGCGAAAAATCCGCTCGTCATCGTCAGGTAATTACATTTGAGGTTATGTTAGTTTTTTATTTACTGTTTTCAGAGCGGACTCTACAATTATTATATCAAGGGGCTTCAAAACGCGAAAAGAATGAGGTAGAATATTATTCGGTGGCAATCATTTTTGTAATGTCTTTTGTAGGAAACAAACTCGCTGTGTACAGTGTGCTCAAAAGAAGCCCCCACGGATGTGATGTGTAATTACTGTGAACACACGTTATGTTTGCAATGCACAAATATGTGCTATAAATGCAGTAGTGGGTTTTGTAATAACTGCTCATTTCCTACGTGAGTAGCTTGATTTTTCCCCATTGTCAAAAATTAAAAAAACTCGTTTTTTTAGGTATGATCAGAATATCTCAGTTTGTTATTCCTGCAGTTAGTTCGATATTATTTATTTTCTATTAATTTATTGTGTAAATTGTACTTTCAAATGGCATGGAATAGATACCTTAGATTTGTTTAATTCCACTTCTTTATTCATGGATGTAGGACCCCAAATAATATAACTATGAAACATGATAATATTTATTGATAACAAAAACTGTGTTGATATAAAATATATATTAATCCATTAATATTAAATGAACTAATCATCCCAGTCTTCATCTTCAGCATTATTCTCGTTGCTCTCAGTTCGAATGGGAGGCGGAATCATAGCTGAAATTTTTTCCAAAGCACTACTCGCATCCACAGTCTCTTGTTTTTTAGTGCCTGAGATGCCTTTCCTACGCATTGATAACTTCGCATGTAAATCGGCCATCAGGTCGCCTCCACTCTGCAAAAACAATATGAAATGAACAAAAACCAGTAATTGTTAAACTAACCACGGGTTTTGCCGTTGTGTGGCTCCGCTCCGTACTTGTTGATTTCAAGTTTTTCGCCCCTCCTGCTTTTCTGATAGCTTCCATCAGACTTGCACGCACATCCAGCTGCGGTAATTCGGTTATTTTCGGAGGTTCTTCAAGCTGTTCAGGGGGCGGAGTTGGCGGTTTAGGTGTCTCGACCTTGTCAGGAATTCTTTGTTCAATTTTCTCGATGGGTATTGAGGGCGGAGGGGGTGGTGGAAGTTCCACTTCGGGGGAATCTTCCTTCAGTTGGGTGTTGGCCTGCTCAATTACTGGCAAATCGGGAATATTTGGAGTCGTGGTTACTGAGGGGGCGATCCCTGGGCCGAGTTCAGTGTCGTATCTCAGGTCGTCAGCAATGTTGGGTAAATCAGGCAGATCTAATGGGACATCGAGAGCTGGTACTTCCCCCAAATTGGGGGTGTAGAAGTAATTCTGGGTGGATGAGCGAGTCAGGGTGGACCTTTCGCTGATAGAGTAAGGGGCTGCTCCTATACTTGAACTGTCATTATGTTCTTGTTCTTTGATTTGCTGAGAGTTTTCCAATGGGTCGGACATGACAAAGTTCGTGTATAGGTTTTTTCCGGAATTGTAAAGTAATAAATCATTCACACATTCGGAATCTTTGGGGATTTCCCCTAAACCTCCAAAGGTCTCTTTATTCTCATTTTTTTTTAGTTTCACGTGGTAGATATACAGCTTATCTACATGTTCATCGTTAAATACAACTTTTTTCTGTTTCACTTTATGCCTTGTTAATTCAGGAGGCTTAACGTCACTAAATATTGAAATATAGGGCTGATTTGTATCAGACGCTGGGTATTTACAACTTGAAAATACTTGAGTTGCTTTCTTCGCACCATTTAATTTGTTTATTTTCATTTTCACTTTATCGACTCTTTCGGATATGTTTGATAGCTTTTTGCTACTAGATTCAATTCTGTTATTAATATGTTTTAATATGTCATCTGTTACGTTAGTTAAATGATTTAATACTTCAGCTACCTGAACGATTGTTTCCTGTTTATTCAAGTTTTGAGGGATTACAGGTACTTTGTAAACATGATTCATTTTAAATATAAGACTAACTACATTAATTAATTAAAAAAATGACAACTACACTCTACACTGCTTTTTGTAGGTTATGTTTATCTCTGTTCTTCTGTGGGGTTATGTTTTATTACGTCATTTTAGAGTCTATGCAATACAGTCGTCCAGCTAAATCTTGATTACGATAAAATTGATTTAGGAATAAAAATAAAACAGTTTCACGTAGTAATTTCTATATTTCACGGCATAAAAAGTGACTCAAAAGTCGCTCCATTGTGAATGACGTGATTTGTGGATTTAAAATTAAATTTTGAAAAAAGACATAGATTCTAAAGATAATTTGTATACAGTAGGTACGTTTAAAAATGTGAAAGTTCTGTGTTTGAAAGATGTAAGTCAAAAAAAAAACAACAAATGAATACTTTTAATACAGCCTTCAAAAACAGAATGACAATTCCGGTCTATTAACAAGAGTTGTTGATTGCTCTGCTGTAAGTTGAAAAAGGCAAGTTATTGTGAGTATAATTGCTTCAGTAATTTCTTCAAGTAGAGCAATTAACTTGTAACAATTTGTCGTAATATTGACAATAACAATAATAATTTAAAATGTGGAGGATCGTAAAAAATCCTCATTATAAAATAATACTTTCCAAAATCACTAACGTCAAAACGGCTAAACAAACTGGTTGCATATAAATTATTTTTACTATGTGCTAGTGGATGTTGGCACTACTAATAAAAAAGCGTATTAATTCAACTGGACTAGTGTTTGGGATGAGATTAATAAACAAACCATTGAACTCGTCGCAAATTCACTTACAATTAATTCATTAATAAAATCTAAATGAGTCAAGTAAGTAACTTAATCCAACTAAAACATGATATATTAGACCTGCTGAAGTGATTACATATGCACGAGTTTTGTATATTAGTGAAACGCAGTTTCAAACTGTAAAAAGCACAAATCAGGAGCAATTTTACATGTAAGTAATGTATTTTCATAAAATCTTTTAATTCATGGGAAGGCGTTTTAACGTTGCGTCAATCTTTATTAAAATTAAATAAAATCAGATGCCTTAGCCATGAATCAACAGTTAAAACAATGTAACTTATTCACAATTAATGTTTCATAAACGTCTGAGATATGTGGATAAAAACTATAGCGAAAAAATACTGTTTGTGTTAAGTAATACTTTTGATTCAGTAAATTTATGAAACACGAATTGTTTGAGCAACCATTAAAATGATCAACAATTCTAAGAACCTGTACTTTATAAAACGAATCCTGCATTTATTATTAGCTAAACTATCTGGCAACAACTAACATTGACTTAATGCTACCGTGTTCCTTTATTCCTTCACCCCGTTTATTATGGATAAAACTTTATATTTTTAATACCTTAAACAAAAATAGCAATAAATGTAAACTTAACAAAACTCACTTACCTATAATAGTTAGGCTTGAAAGGCCCAGCTTTATTTAGGCCCATATATTTAGCCTGTTCGTCCGTCAATTCAGTCAAGTGGGCATCAAAAGTCGGTAAATGTAAGCTCGCTACGTATTCATCTATAAAACTCGATTAATTTTTTTCTCATTCAAACATATAAAAACAGTACCCATTTTTTTCGGTAAAAGATAAACGTCAGATTTGTAACGCCCTGCCGGGGCGTTGAAAAGCTCAATCAAAGCAAGAGCTTGAGTTGCTGATGTTATAGAAACAACAAAAGATGGCAAACTTGAACAACTTAAATTAACTAATCTTCCTTCTGCTAAAAGAATAATTCTTTTACCATCAGGCCATATAACATGGTCTACCTGTGAACGAACTTTTTCCCAAGTCAAATCAGGCGCTCTCAAACTATTCTACAAGACGAAAGATGTACCCAAAGTCGTGTCGTATGAACCCAACTTACAACATCAATCTCAGTGTTGGAATGACCCATGTTACAGACAATGCAGCCGTTTTTCATTTTGTCCATATGCTCACGCGTTACAACGTTTTTGTTCCCTGTTGCCGTTATCACTATATCTACATTGCGAATGACTTCGTTTAGCTTTACGACGCGATATCCGTCCATACTACAAGCAATGTCAGATATAAAGGACCACAAAACAAGACAACGAACCTAGCTTGAAGGGCACAAATTGGATCAATCTCGGTGACGTAAACGACACAACCGAGACCCTTCAATGCTTGGGAACAACCCTTCCCGACCTCGCCATACCCACAAATCACCACCTGTTTGCCCCCAAACATGACGTCGGTCGAACGCTTCAAGCTGGCGAACAATCACTTATTATTATATACAAAATTGCAGCATAAACATTTGAGTTTTATGAATAATACCCGACCGTACCTGTCGATTATCGACTCTCGACAGCTGTACAGATTGTCATATTTAGTTTTAGTGACCGAATCGTTGACGTTCATTGCCGGTACGGTTAATTTCCCGGCTTTGGACAATTGGTACAAGCGGTGGACCCCGGTGACGCTCTCTTCAACGATGCCTTTGATCATTTTAAACATAGCGGGGTACTTTTTTAGCATAAGATGCGTGGCGTCGCCACCATCATCCAGAATCATGTTAGGGTGCCAATTTTCGGCGTTGACACATTTGTCTATACACCACCAAAAGTCCTCCTCGGTTTCGCCTCGCCACGCGAATACCGAAAACCCGGCTTCAGCCAAGGCCGCAGCTACCTCATTCTAGAAAAACGCGATAGAATTTATTGCGAGTCTTTGGAGTTTTTTTACTTGTGTCGAGTAAATATTGCAAGCAGCCCATCTAACGTTGGCCCCGAGTGCAACTAGGGTTTCTATTAGAACAGCCGTTTGGGCATTGATGTGAGTGCAGCCCACGATTTTGGCGTTTTTGAGAGGTTTATCGTCAGTTGCACGCTTTCTCAGAGCCATAATCCCCGGCATTTCTGCAATATTAGGAAAGATTTTTGATTGTGGGCTTGCTGTTTATTACCTTGTTCCGCGATTTCAATTTCACGCCGGCCAAAAGCGTGTTGGTTTATATTACGAACGCAAAAATCGGAGTTTCCCGCTGTGTTTTTCTGGATTTTTTCGCGCGGAGAAACGTCATCATCGTCGGAACTACTGCCTGTACAAGAGGCTGAAAAGGCTTTGTTACTAGGGTCATTGTGAGGATTCTGTCACTTACTAGAGCTGTAGGAATCGGTTGATGAGGCAGATAATGATCGGCTGCGATATCTGCTCGATTTTTTTAAAGCACCAGAAGATTTGGGGTCCTGTAAATTATTAACTTGTTCGGTCATGTCTATACGGTATGTGAGGGATTTTTTAGATAAGTTTTACCGTTTGAGGCTTTATTCTTTGATAAAATTCTACTGTAATTAACTGATAACATATTACGTTAAACAAGATAATAAAGTAGCAGACCCCAGTTTTTTTTTTAAATTATAAATAACGAATGGTGCAGAAGTAATTTATTGTGTCGAGATTAATTACAGTGGCTAAATAGCAAGTAGTAGTTACAATAAAGCATAAATTAAAAATGTATTTACATAAAAACACTGCGTTTTAAGACGTTTAGAAATTATATGCATCATGTTAATTGAGTGATTTATGTGTTTATTAAAACAACGTCAACAGTAATTGTAGCGTTTTACTATAAATTAAGCGAAATCATAAAACATGCATTAATTAAAAAAAAGACCTAATGAAGGTAAAGCATACATATATACATGTATATCTTACCAACTTAGATCTTTGGCTGACAAAGGCATTAGTTCCTTCCAATCCCTAGAAATAAATTTAGTATAATTTAAGAATATCGGCCCTGAATTAGATTTAACATTCCTTGAAAAGTCAAGGCAAAACGCCAAATAAACAAAACAATAGCAAAAAAGTTTTCATCTCTATTGTTCTACTTGATCAATTCCGAACATATTGTGTCTGAAAAAGGCGAAAAATCGCACTTTTCTACAACAACAACTTGCTCATACTGAATTGTGTTCAAAAAGGGCGCTTTAAAACAGTACTAAAAAAAATCTGTTAAGATCCAAAAACAAACCTTTGCCCCAGATGCTGGATCGGTAACAGGGCTATCTGAAACCGTATTTAAATTCCTGTTACCCACAATAGTCCGAATTTCGATGTTTTCCGTCATAATTCCAATTATATCAATTCACAATCAACAAACATAAAATAAATCAGCTGGAAAACAGGACCTAAAACACAACGTGCACAACCTGCACAACTAGTGGGAAACAACACAACGAAATGCCCCAAATTTGGCAAAAGCTAACGAACTTTATTTACTTCATTCACGGCTTGCATAAAACGCAATAGTCTAATTTAGAACTCTCTTTGGCCTTAAGTTACATAATCGACAAAATAATTCCAGCATATTTATCGATTTCTAAACAGAGTTCCAGTTTGCTAAGTTGGCAACACACCCTGGGGGTAGATTTACCCTTCCCGGTTTGAAAAAACGAAAACAAACACCGGAAACCCGACAAAAACTTTCAATGTAAATCCATAGTTATGTAATTTATTATTGTTTATTACATTCTAGTTCCAATAATTCGGCACAGGTATTTTTTACAAGTTAGAAGAGAAATATTCTAGTTATTCTAGTCAAGTGTGCTTTGAACGTTCTCCATGTGATCAAGATGTTTCGAAAAACAATCAAAATCAAAACAAACAGTCAAATTAAAGGATCTGATCGGTAATTTACCCTTTTTCATATTACTACTATTAATAATTTAATTTAATAGCAAAATCATCAAGGAGAGATTGCTGAAATCGTTTCCTAACCTCACTGAAGCAAACATCGACGATTTGCTCCCGAAAAAAGAAACAGTGAATGCAATTAAATTAATTACGCACACGAACGAAACTGTCCATGTTTACACAATCCAAAAATGCCCCATTGCTTTTGAGGTGCATGGCAAAATTTTCCCGACAGTTTATTTACTTTGGAAATTTCCAAACATGCTGCCATTTTTCACAACGCATTCACAAGTCGTGTCATTCCTTACTTCTGGTGCTGATTTAATGTTACCAGGAGTGATAACACCACCTGGAAACAAATATGGGAATTTACCAGAGGAGGCTGTGGCTTATGTAAACGTCACTGATAATCAAGCTGCCATTGCTGTAGGTGTCACAGCGCAAAGTTCTTCCGATATGCTGGCATCGGGCGGAAGAGGAAAATGTTTAACAGTTTATCACTTTTTTGGCGATAAGTTATGTACCGTGGAAGGAACACATAATGTTCAGTTGGCGAATTTAGGACCCCCAGATTGGCTCAAGTTTACAAATGAAGATTTTCCTGAGTTGGGGTCCACTAAAGCTATTCAAGAACCAGTCGAACCTGATCAAAATGACCATAATTTGCAAGAAGATTCGCAAGAATCTAGTCCACAACCATGCACAACTGAAGAAATGGATCAACTTGTAACTTATTGTTTTTTTGTCGCTATTAAATATTCTAAAACGTTGAATCTCCCGATTTTGACGTCCAATTTTTTTAAACTACAAATGATACCTACGTGCCCTGACGGAAAAACACTTGACATCAAAAAAACTTCATACAAAAAACTCAAACCATTTTTAGATGCTATGTATAAGGTCAGTTTTGCAATGTCTTTATTTTGTTATATAATTTTTTTTTTAGGAAGGACTAATTACTATAAAAGAAGCTAAGAAAGGAGTGGAATCAATCACTGCCATCAATAGAGATCATCCAAAATTTGCGGAATTTTACATTGAGCCTGCATTGAGGCCTAAAAAGGAACAAGATGAAGCTACCATCTCCACCAGTATCACTGAATCCTTTATCATAACGCCAACAGTTTTACCTCTGTTTGAAAATACACAATTAAAGTATGATTTAAAAAATTCACTTGGTTGTGATTAACAGAAAACGGATCTATATTATGTCATACTTTTAAATTAAGTTGAGCTTTTTGCTATTCATAACCAAGTTGTCTAGTCAGTGTTTATAATTTGACTCAATTTCGTCTTTTTTCAAGTAAAGGAGACACAGTCCAAATGCCCGAAATTAGGAAACAAGTTGTTGAATACGTAAAGAAGAACGACTGTCAAAGTGAAGACAATAAAAGGTACTTAAATGAAACCACTTATCACATTTTTATTTATTTGTTTTAGGTTGGTTAAGCCCAAAAAAGCATTAGTAAAAATTTGCAAAACTGAAAATTACATAACTTGGGAAGAACTGATGGAAAAAGTGTGTGAAGCAATGAAGTCATGTTACAAAGTGACTTCCGCAAATACCGAGTTGGTCAATAAAGGAAAAGTATCTCCAATAACGATCACAGTTTCTCAACGCTCGGGGAATAAGAAAGTAACTCTCGTCGATAACTTAGAGTTATTTGGCGTGCAAATCGCTGATTTTGCTAAAGAATGCCAACATGGCGTTGCTGCCAGTACCAGTATAAGTAGACCCTTGGGTAAAAAATGTGATCAAGTATTAATACAAGGGAATCAAGTTTTATTCGTGCACAATCTATTGACAGGTTTTTTTTTACTCTCGTTATGAAATTTCAATCTACGTTTGATTTGTTTCAGTGAAATATAAAATACCGGCAAAATACATAAGGGGACTAGAATACGCACCTAAGAAGAAGTAGTGGTTTTAAATTGCTTTATTTTTATATTTATACAAAAAACTGTAAGTTTATCAAGAAATGTCCTATTTGATATTTGAATATTACATTTGTATGAATAAAGTTTATTTTCATTGCCATTTCTAGTTCATGGTTTTTGTTGTTGTTTGTGTTTAAATACCAAGAATTTATAATTTTTGTTATTAGGGTTGTTTATGATCGTTGTTACGAGATGGCGTTTGCGTTAGTTTCGTGTCGGTGTCATACGTCATTTGATGAAAGAATGGTGTAATGGCAATCGAGTTGTTTTTTTAAAAACGGTGTTAATCAACAAAAAGTTTTTTTGTAAATCCCATAATTAGTAAAAAAAGTAATTACGATGGGTCTCACCATATCAAGTGTTTTGACCCGGCTTTTCGGTAAAAAACAAATGCGTATATTGATGGGTAAGGTTAACACCTTTGTAAAAGGAAAGTCCTAGATAGGTTTGTTTTCCAGTGGGTCTTGACGCGGCTGGGAAAACAACAATTTTATACAAATTAAAGTTGGGCGAGATTGTCACTACAATCCCAACAATCGGATTTAACGTAGAAACAGTAGAGTACAAAAATATTTGCTTTACGGTGTGGGACGTTGGTGGCCAAAGTAAGATTCGGAAATTGTGGCGTCATTATTTTCAGAATACTCAAGGATTGATTTTTGTCGTGGATTCCAACGACCGCGAACGAATCGGAGAGGCAGAAACCGAGCTTCAAAACATGGTAAGTGTTAATTTAAATCTAGCGCCTGTCTCGCCTAGCGCCCTCTATATTTACAACGACTGACAGATGGACTAGGGAGGGATTTAGCGCATAGTACAAAATTGACGTGGCATTAGTTTCAATTGTTGTGTTTCTATTATTGCAATATTTTGAATAAAAACAATGGGTTTAACCATTTCTACAGTCTTTTCGCGACTTTTTGGCCGAAAACAGATGAGAATACTGATGGGTAAGCATGGGAAGATTATTTACGATAGATCTAAACATCGTGTTTGATAGTGGGGTTAGATGCCGCAGGTAAAACTACTGTTTTGTATAAATTAAAGTTAGGGGAAGTTGTGACAACGATACCGACAATCGGATTTAATGTTGAGACTGTAGAGTATAAAAATATTTCGTTCACGGTGTGGGACGTGGGTGGTCAGAATAAAATCAGGCGGTTGTGGTCCTACTACTATCAGAATACTCAAGGGTTGATTTATGTTGTTGATTCAAATGATAGGGAGCGGATAGGCGAGGCAGCAGAGGAGCTTAAAAATATGGCAAGTGGTTAAGAAACGTGTCCACAATCTTGATTTTTTATTACAGCTGATGGAAGATGAATTGAGAGACGCTGTTTTGCTTGTATTTGCCAATAAACAAGATCTACCTAATGCTATGACAGCAGCAGAATTGACCGACAAATTGAATCTAAATCAACTGCATAATCGTCGCGTAAGTACTGTTATTTTTTAACGTGGATCATAAAATTCGCGTTTTATTACATAATTTGCACGCAAAAACTATTGTTTCAGTGGTACATTCAAGCAACTTGTGCAACCCAAGGCGATGGCTTGTATGAAGGTTTGGACTGGTTGTCAAATGAATTGGCCAGTAAATAGTTGATCACTTTCGTCTAGCTAGCATTTATAATTAAATTTAAGTTTCTATTAATATATATTTTCTAATTAGTTTTTCCTGTTTGTGATTTATATAATAAGTGACTGAAAAATAAAAATTATTCGTAAAAAACTCGCATTGATTCATTTAAAATATATTTGCCAAAAATTGTTACAACACATGATCTTCTGTAAAATCATATTTAATTGGTGCGCAATTGGTAATCACCATTTTGCGTTATATACCGCACCCACGGCAAGGCTTGGTACCCACTTTTCTCAATAATTTTCAAATAGCGGACCTGGAACAAATAATGAGGAAAAATGTAGAAAACTCGAAAAAACAAACCTGAATTCCCGACGTTGTGAAGTATGGAATTTCAAATTTGACTTGAATCGGTGGTTTGCCTTCAGTGTCTTCACATTCGACGCTAGGTAATCCGAAATGAGCCCTCATTAAATACTCCTTACCACCTGGAAATGATTTGATAGTCCAAGTAATTGCGTTTTGTTCAGGCGCGTATTTAACACTTCCAATGGTCGTTTTAAATTTAGGCGAGTCGGCATCGTGGGGTACAGGAATTACGATTTCGACGTTATTAGCTGTCGATCGTCGCTTGAATTGCGACTTTGCTTTGATCATGTATTCAACACGGCTGTGTGCATGACGTTCAATAACAGACTCGATCCAAATCAATGGTTTTACCTAAAGAAAATGATCATTTTAGGAAATTAAACAAGATTTTTACAAACATGTGTGTTCAACCGGTAGGACATAAGTTCGAATTCGCCGTCCGGTGGGATGAAAGATATTGTCCTATCAATTTCAAATCTTGATAATCTCACACACTGGTGGAATTTGACGTCTTCTAATTCAACCGATTTTGATTTCCCGCGACCAGTGCTTTCAAATAATACTTTATCGTTTAGACCTAAACGTAATTCGGGCATTCCAGATAAGTAAACTCTCATTTTGATCGCCCCCACAATCTCGCTTCGTAAAACGTTACCGTTAGCATTAGCTAAGAGGTTGACAGACTCTATAACGTCTAAAAATACTTCGTTTTTTCTATATTTGATCCCTTCTGACCGCCATGACACAGCGTTGGTGACCGCGACGGGAATACGTGGCTGGATTTCTAACTTATGGCCTTCCTGTGTGATATACTCTTGTAGAATTTTACTATCAGTGGTTTGAGGGTATCCAAAATCAAGTAATTCGTCAAGAAGTTCATAAATCACGACGAAGTTATCTCTAATACTTTCCTCCTCAAGCTCTTTGAAATATTCAGTCATAACTTGCACAATTTTGTGTAAGAAAACAAAAACTAAAGCAATGTTTGCGTTTTTCTTGGTAGTGCTTACAATGTAGAGATTGTTTGTTTTGATATACGCAAAGGTACAATCGCCAGTTTGGAGTAGAGGTGTGAGGAGACCCTCTTCCTCCTTTTCCATAAGCAAAGGCATGAACTTTTCTATAACCCCCAGGTCTATATCGCCACGGTAGTTCCGTGAAATAAGAACCTAAAAAAGAGATTGAACGCAACTGTAGCATCTTTTACAACCTCACCTTGCCCTTAACATCAAGAATGTAAATAGCTGAGGACGACATTATCCTAATAAAGTGAGGTGTGTGCTGTATAATTAGTGCCACATGCGTGATATTCTTAATTTCCTTAATCGGCGTTAATTGCTCCGAAATGTCGTCAGTTAGATTAAACTCATGTTTGTTTCAAATTGCTAGCAACACAATAGATTTGTTCAAATTGAATAAAACACAATTTTGAGCCACTCACCGCCGTCATCACATTTGTTGGTTACCAACCTGTCATTCTGACACCACTATTGGTACACCTGTCGCGGGTAATTCAAACCTTTAATTTAAACTGATTAATTTTGAAATTTTCTGTGATTATTATCGTCGTAGTAATCTTCTAGGACTTAAGTGATCCACCTTTAATGTTTTAACTTCGATTTTAATTGCTGGAAGCGCTCCAAACACCTCTTTATCTCTCAACTCCTGTGCATGTTTCGATTAAAGCTGCAGTTACCCAGCATGCATCATGAGTGGGAGTGATGTCTGACTGGTGCCGTAAGCGAAGTCGTCTGTTCATTGTTAAAACCGCAAATTAAGAGGAATTTTCGCCCGGATTTGTTCTCAAACTAACTTTGGCTGATTTTCTGCATCGTACTCAGTCAAGAAATGTGACAAAAGGTTCATTTTTGCGGCGAACGAGTGACAGTAGTGGCGGCTCTCTGGTGACGTATTCTCCATTGTACCTCTTGTGTGCCTCGACCTTATAGACTCAAGTAAAACATGAAAGGTACGTCGCAGGTGTTTTACACCGGAAATAATTGCTTTTATGGCTAAAATACGTAAGACGAGATATCCCCATGTCCAGTGAGTCAGTTTGCGGAAATATGCATTTGCGGCTTTTAGGTCGCCACTTTACTACAAACCATGGAATGTAAACACTCTAGCCCCGCCCCACCACATAACTATTGTCATTTATAAATCAATTCCTTATTTTCCTTAAAATCGTTTCTGGATATTTTCTTTAGAAATTCAATTGTGAACAGTTTCAACGGTCACGAATATCAAAAAAAAAAATTTATCAAAAGGTGCGACATTAAATTTTTTCACACGAATTGTATTGTTAGGATGTTTAAAGAGAAATCAAAATATGAACTACATTAGAAATTTCTAAGGAATAATCTTTTAATTTTAATTATTTGCTTATTTTTTTTTCAGAATTTAACAACCTAATGGCTAAGAGAAAAGCAGAGTGTGTAAAATTGAACAGATTTTAATAATTCGAGAGGTATGTGCTTTGGCTTTTATTTGGTTATATTGTGTCACATTTCACTTAACCCACTAACATAACATCTCGTATCAAATCGCACTAGAATTATGTTTGTTTCAATGTTTTTGATTTTATTTTGAAATGAATATAATTCGAGAAATTCTATTTCATTTAGTTGCTTATGTCTAATGTTTGTTTGCATGTATGTCACAGGAAAAAATAAGTAACAGCTTTCATCATGTCTGGTAATCAGCTTATGGATTCTTGTCTGTAAGTAGCCGTAAAAACCGAACTAATCATTTACTTATCATTTATTGGAATGTAGTGTTTCAAGTTAAACAAACCTGATAAAATATCTTGTATTAGCTTTGATTAATTTTCGATGAATAAACTGTACTGTTTATTTAGTGTTTTTATTGACTTACTTTTTGCACGACATTAAAAATGTTATCGCTTCGCTAAAACATTGATTGCTTTTACACTGGCAGCCTGGTGAATCGTCGAGTGGAGCAAAGACAAGAGCACAGCATCACACATACTGAAATCACGCAAAGGTAGGGGGGCTCATTCACATCTTGCTTATTTCTATTTGCAATTGAATCATTCATTTTTTGGGGTTTTCGATTAATCACTTAATTATGTCTACCACAAATGCAAGTTGGCCTCGAATTGTTAACAAAAATGTGATGTCTCGTGTTTTGGGCCGTTTTATTTCTTGCAAGGTGTGGTTTTTAAAACGTGTCAAAAGTACCATTCATCATGTTCATTTTTATTGTTTCTAGGCGAGTATTGCAAGAGAAGGTTCCCGAAATGCAGCATTATAAGTAAGTTTGCTGCATGCGGTTTTGAGAGTATTCTAATGTTTTAAATGTCTGTAACGTTTTTATGATTATGTGTGATTTTATGTGCAGGGGTTCGGACGCCTCAAGTTCTGTAAACGAAGGAGCCTATCATACGCATAGCAATGGACATTCAGAACATTCACCAAATTCCAGCCATATGTCTGTTCATAGTGATGAGCCTTTAGTGCGCACACATAAGCAACAAACCACTCAGCAAGTGACAACTGTGACCAAAGTCGTACGCGAAGTGCAACAGCTCGGAGAAGCTCAACCGGGAGAGTACATTCCAGTGCCGTTAGGCTCGTACCCCCATCCCGGGCACGCGAGGAATCAGTACGTTGATTATATGGAACAGCCAGCTCACCATATGTATTCGCAATATCACCAACACCCTCACTATCAAGACTACGAGCACTACCCGAATCCGTATGGGGCATATATGGGGTACCCGCCAGGGGCAGAGCGGCCGCCTACGCCTCCTAGTCCGAGCGAGCATAGCGGAGCTCCCTCGCCTATTCCGATAAACGCACAGCCAGGAGTTCAATATTTGAGCTCCGGCTATGACGAATTGCCTGAACATTTTAGGGTGACTCCGTCGCCTGGGGGTCCAATAGGCTTAGATCCGTACCAGGATGATCCTGGAGTCGTCTATGGGTACGTCTCACCTTCACCTTACGGCACCGCCCCTGTACATCAAGGACCAACTTACGACTCACGTCCATATGAAGATAGTCTAAACGGTCCAGTTACGGTGGGAGCCCCCATGCGAATGTTCGAAGATGAAGAATTACAAAAACATATGAGTAAAATGTCTTTACATGGACATAGTATGGCTCTACCACACAACCGGGCTCATAATATGGCGTCTCCTGGTAGTGTAGGTGGGGATGATGACCAGAGAGGCATGCGTTGGCGTGATCCAAATCTGACTGAAGTCATTGGTTTTCTTAATAATCCTAATAATGTTATCAAAGCTAATGCAGCGGCCTATCTTCAACATCTCTGTTATATGGATGACCCCAATAAACAAAAGACTAGAGCTCTTGGCGGCATACCTCCTCTTGTTAAACTATTAAGTCATGAAAGCGTAGAAGTTTATAGAAATGCATGCGGCGCATTGAGAAATCTTTCGTACGGAAGACAAAACGATGAGAATAAAAGAGCTATTAAAAACTCTGGCGGAATACCCGCCTTAATTAACCTTCTACGAAGATCCAACGAAGCCGAAATCAAAGAGCTTGTCACGGGAGTTATATGGAATATGAGCTCATGCGAAGACCTCAAACGTAATATTATCGACGATGGAATTAGTACTGTCGTTACATATATAATAATACCACATTCGGGATGGGATCCTCAAGGAAACCATGGGGAAACTTGTTGGTCGACAGTATTCAGAAATGCTTCAGGTGTGCTTAGGAATGTTAGTTCAGCTGGTGAATACGCGAGAAAAAGATTAAGGGAATGTGAAGGACTGGTTGATGCGTTGTTGTTTGTTGTACGCTGTGCCATAGACAAATCTAACATAGGCAATAAGATCGTCGAGAATTGCGTCTGTATTTTGCGTAACCTATCTTATCGTTGCCAAGAAGTCGAAGACCCCAATTACGATAAGAATCCTTTACCAACCCAAAGTAGGATCGCCGCGAATTCGAAGGGTGTGTATAGTTAGATTCACTGCACTGTTCTAATTAAAAGTTTTAGGTGAGAATCTTGGTTGTTTTGGAGGGAGTAAAAAGAAGAAAGACCCGCAATTAGCTGAAGTAAAAGAGAGTACGTCTGGTGTGTCCACTGCAGGTAGTGGTGGTGGTAACAGTGCTGCAACACGAGGTGAACCGGTTCGCGGAATGGAACTTCTTTGGCAGCCGGAAGTTGTGCAATCATATTTAGCTCTTTTGCAGAGTTGCTCAAATCCTGAAACGTTAGAAGCAGCTGCTGGTGCTCTTCAAAATTTAGCAGCGTGTTATTGGCAGCCGAGTATAGAAATCCGTGCAGCTGTACGTAAAGAAAAAGGACTACCAATTCTTGTGGAATTGTTACGAATGGAGGTTGATCGAGTAGTATGCGCTGTAGCGACGGCTCTCAGAAATTTAGCGATAGATCAACGTAATAAAGAGTTAATAGGAAAATATGCTATGCGTGATCTGGTTCAGAAACTGCCATCGGGAAATCCGCAACATGATCAAGGGACGTCTGATGACACAATAGCGGCGGTTCTTGCGACTTTAAACGAAGTTATAAAGAAGAATGCCGAGTTTTCGAGATCTCTATTAGAAGCAGGTGGAGTTGAAAGACTGATGACTATAACAAGGCAGCGACAGAAATATACTCCCAGGGTGTTAAAGTTTGCTGGTCAAGTATTGTTCACGATGTGGCAGCATCAGGATTTGCGAGATGTTTATAAAAAACATGGATGGAAGGAACAAGATTTTGTGACGAAGACTGTGGCAGCTAGAAATTCTGGTCCTAATTCACCTAATAATGCAAATAGTACATTGAATAGACCTATGGCGTCTCAGAGTGGAACAAGGTACGAGGATAGAACGATGAAGCGGTCGGCTCCAGGCGCTAGAGGCGTGGCTCCGGTATATCAAAGGGTAGGTCTTTTTTAGGTGAGTTTGAGTGGAATAAATATGGAATGCGTTGTGTTGTTTTAGAATGAAGATATCCCGATGGCTGATATGGCATACCCCGAAACGCAACCCTCGATGGGGCGAGCGTATCCTCCTGGCCCTGGTCCAAACCCACCTCCCGTAAGTCACTAATAAGCCACTTGCACATACCCTACACGTCCGTGTCAATTGATCGCGTTTAAAAAATAAAGTAAAACATAAAATAATAATAATAAAAACATATTGGTGAAGGTGGATCTGGACTGAGCACAGACTCTTGCTCAAGCTAGCAATATGGCAACTCTCATTCCATGTACATCTATCTCATAGTATACTAACGAACACGACGGTCTCAGCGTCGATTACGGCATTCACTTAGACTGTTAAATAATCTCGATGTTCATGTACAGTACAAGTACAGTCGTAGGTGATTTGTAGCAGCATCTTTTGTTCCGTATTATTATGTATGGAGCCCTTGACTGTAAGAGTTTTTACTACATTTTTACTGATTTCGTCTGGAGCGTAGTCTTCCTTGTACTCTCACTATGTACTAGCTGTGTCTGTATCTATACCTGTAGCATATGATTTGTAAACATTGAGACGATACGAGCTGTGTTGTGGTGGGGTGGGCAGCGAGCGAAGGCCCTGGCAGCAGCGTCGTCGCCGACGCCGACCGGTGCCCAGGTAAGGCTCTGTGGCAGCTGCTCAGGGCCTTTGGTTGACTGCGCTCAAGCTGATACGAGAGGCCCTGCCCAGCAGCCGTGTGCCCAACAGCACAGCGTGTCCATTACAACAGGCTTACTCACTCACTCATTACTCATTCACTCAAATTTTCGAACTCGGAACGAAACGAACTAACCAATAAATACCACAGGTGGCGGCTCGTCTATTCACTCCTTATACGTAATACACATGTACAATATTTCGACGTAATATCATTCAAATGTCAGCAGCCCACGAGCCGCTGCTAGACGCACTTGTACAAATTTTTACAACGATTTTGAACATGTAAACAGCAACAATATAATAAAAAATACATCAGTAAAACACTTTTTTTAATAGAGGACCCTGAAACACAAAACATGACCTGAGATATGACAAATCACTCGTTTACATATTCAGAATTTTTTCGATTCTTGTGTGATATGATGAAGTGAGAAGTTGGGAGCCTGTTGCGGTGAGCACGCTGTACGCACTAGTCTCTGACTGAGAGTGTGTTACAGCCGGAACCTCTCTACGCGCAGGTCAACATGGAGAAGAAACGGAATCGGCAACCCAGCCTAGGCAACGCTAACCACTTGGACGAGCAGCAGCTCACCAGTGTGCCGGCCGGCAAGGACTCCTGGGTCTAACGACACTCGTTATATATCAATGTTCTGTCGCATGTTCAGATATATAATGCACTGATTCATATTAAATATGTAATATTTAGTTTGTGGTTTACTGTGATGAGCTTCAAGTGAAATTGCCTGTATATATTATTTTGCCTCCAAATTCTTTTGTAAACAATTGTTTTATTTTTGTTTTTATTTACAATGAGGTTTTATTTAAAATAAATTTATTATACTTAAATTATAGTCATATAGACGACTCTATAGATATATTATAGAAATTGTTTCATTATATCGTATGCCGAACCTCTTTATTTTGCAACTTTATCATATTACTTCATTTGTAAAGTGTTTCAAATATTTGAACCAATTCAGACATACCATAGTCAATTTTAATATTGTTTCTAATAAATTTATTATAATTTAGAAAAAGCATTTTTAAACTCGACACAATCCTTTTAGACATAGATACATAAGGTAAGTATGCAACTGCATTTAAACTACATATTTTTAAACAATTATTTCTTTAATTTTTTTGGAATATTTTGCTTGAGTTGAACAAATGAATTTTAACAATCTTTATTTTTTGTGTTTTTGTCAAATATTTAACTAAAATATTCAGATATCAGTAATTTGATTTTGTAAATTAAAATGTTAAACGGTTTTTATGCAACCAAAAAAACACCAGCGTATTTATAAAATCTAATTACATTAGTTAGTCTTCAACAACGGCTGTTCCTTATCAGTAACAGAATAAAAGTTTTTTCTAATACAAAACTTAAGTAAAATTTTAATACAATGAACAATATAACATGTCCTAGAAAATTATTTTTTCAGTTTAGATGACGTAAAACAGGTCAAACAAAACAAAAACCCACTTTCATTAAGCGTATAAATGAGATGATTCATCGAAAATCGCGGAAGTTATACATACTGATAAAAACATGAGTCAGTTCGATTGATTTTAAAAAATATTTAGCGAAAAATTCGTAACTTGGAATTTGTGAAATTGTTATCGCTCATTTTCAGATTCAGCTTTCAAAGAAACAATCGAATGTGATAAGAAAGATAAAGTAAAAAAAAACAGTTAAGTACTGTTATAATTCTAAACAGGTGGAATTTTTATAGCAAATCCCATTAACAAATACACGCCCTAAACCAGAAAAAAGTCTAAATCCAAAATTTCCTCAAAACGCATGCGTTTTTGTTTGGGGGTGGTGCAGTGTAGCCAAGTGGTGAAAATTTCCGTGGGTTGAAACTGACTTCCACTGAAATTCTTGTAAGTTTGGAGTTGTTGTGGCAACAGTGTTGATGACAATGTTACTACGCATGCCTGTAGTGTTTTGTGGATTTTTGCGATATAGCTATTTAACTATTCTTAGCTATTTCCAAAATTGCGACGGTAGCGGTGAAGCGCTATGACAACGTGTGGACAAGTCGCGTTTCTTCAGTTATAATTGATAGAATGAGTCGTGTTGTCAGTTGTAACCGAGAAAGATTAAAATAAACCAGTCTAATAATGGAACAACATGTGTAAAACATTGTGATATAGAGTAATATTAAATTGATGACCAAATTTTTTAAATATATGGAATGGCGCCAATGATTTATCCTTCGTCTGTGTTTGCGATATTTTTTATAATCTTTTGGTTTGCTATGTGGCTTTTACATCTTATAGCAATATTCTATGGGTAAGTGATGCTGGGACATTTCAACCCTAACCTCAAATCTACAATTTCAGTAAATACAGGCTGCATAATAAAGTATCAAACCTTCCCCCTGACGAACCGTGTCCAGGAGTTTCAATTCTAAAGCCGCTTATGGGTGTAGATAACAATTTATCAACAAATTTAGAAACGTTTTTTACCATGAACTACCCTGTGGTAAGTGAGACTGATCAGCACACGTTGTTTACAGTAACAAGAACCTCCTGATTGCAGTACGAGCTTCTGTTTTGCATAGAAGATGAAACCGATCCCGCAATTAAAGTTGTAAACACACTAATTGAAAAATATCCTAAAGTCGCAGCTCATGTGTTCATTGGTGGTTCATTAGTTGGTGTTAACCCAAAAATTAACAACATGAATAGAGCTTACGAAGCCAGCATATATGACTTGATACTCATATCCGACAGTGGCATAAGAAGTGAGTATTTAGATTTATGGAAAGTAAACAAATCGTTTTCTCAAAGTTAAACAATATCTTTCTTACAAATCATTACACACAAAATTTATCTTATCATTAAAGTTACATTCTCTAGAATGAAAAATAATATTGATAAGGTTGGAATGGTACAAGAGTTCAAATAACCACTCAAATATTTAAATATCCTATAATTGAGACATAAATCAGCATAATATTTTATAGTTCTGCGAATTATAAACAACCTAAAAGGTATACAGGATGTCCTTCTAAAGTGACGTTTTCGATGTAATACTTTTATGGAGATGTTTCATGCACTATAAATTTATTACCTTCAAGCACTGACGTAACAAAAATTCCTGATTGTGAAAAAAATTTTAGGCCAAGTGATGTTAACAAGCATTTACTATTTTTTATCTTTTTTTTACAATTGTAACGCATTCACACGTAGTAAAATAATCGTTTAAGTAGCTTTTACGACAACCTAAAAAATCAAATCTGTAGCTCTTTACGTTAACATATCGGCCAGTTACCCTTAAGAGTATTATTATTGAAGAAAACAAAGCAATTAATAAATGTTTGCAATATTACGTTATTGAAAATATTTGTTAAGTTGCTGAAACACTCAAGGTTAACTCCTGTAAATTAAATAAAGTGAAACCTTCCCAAAGGGACGAGTCTATTTGTTTCTGTTGATAACGAAAGAACTGGAATTTTATTAATGTTAATTTGAAAGTCTATTTAAGTGGGCAAACCATTTTTTTGAATAAGCTTTAGTTACGTTTTTTTCAGTTATTTAACCAAAATAATAAATAAAAGAAATATGTTTTTTTAAATGTGTTTTTTAAATAGACGCTTTTCTTTTCACGGTCATTTTTTTATTTATATTTTTCCCAATAATTGTTGCAAGAAATAGATGTTTGATAAATTTTTAATCATATATCTATTAATTAATAATAAATTATTGTACCGTAACATTCGTAACGAAAAGAATTAAAATTACAAGTAGTATCCTAATGCAAGCAAAAAGTAATTGCGTAATAGTTTACAGTATTTTTACAAATATATCATTACTATTATAATTAAAAAACATTCCGTACGCGATGTGGACCTTTAAAAGACAATTTCCAGTTTGTCAATTTTTGATGCAAATTAATGCTCTTCTTTTTGTACTTTAACCAAACAAGGCTAAAAATTTATTCCAAAAACATACTTTTTCCGAGATCAGTTTATTCTATATATAAAATATTAAAATACTTTTCAGTGAAAGAAGACACTTTATTAGACATGGTTAACCACATGGATGAAAAGACTGGATTGGTTCATCAACTACCTTTCACCTGTGACAGGCCCGGTTTTGCGGCAACATTAGAAAAGGTTAAATTTGCTAAAATAACAAAATTCAAGACATCAGTTCAGTTTTTTTGTAGATATATTTTGGTACAGCACAATCTAGGATATACTTAGCTGCTGATTTTGTACGGACTAATTGTCACACCGGCATGTCAGCGTTAATGCGAAAGCCTGTTCTCGAGGAACAGGGGGGTTTAAAATCATTTGGATGCTATCTAGCTGAAGATTTCTTCATAGCACAATCGTACATTAAAAGAGGATGGAGAACTGCAATTAGTAGCCAACCGGCGATGCAGAATTCGGGCATTTGTGATATTGAGAGTTTCCAAGCCCGTCTTACAAGATGGGCAAAATTACGAGTTGCAATGATTCCGTATGTGATTCTTTTTGAACCTCTTTCTGAGTGTATGATGATTGGGGCTTGCACAGCTTGGTCTGTGGGTGTTCTTTTTCAATGGGACTTTTGCGTGTTTTACCTAGTACATATTTTAATATGGTTTATCTGTGATTGGACCCTATTATGTATAGTTCAGGTAAGTTCAAGTGGTTGAGTTTCGTTAATTTGAGAGTTTTTGTTTCAGAACGGTTCCTTGCCTTTTAATAAATTTCATTTCGTAATTGGCTGGTTATTTAGGGAGTTGTCGGGTCCGTATTTGTTTATTAACGCTGTGCTTGATCCTCCAATAAAATGGCGCAATAGAGTTTTTAAATTAGCTTGGGGAGGAGTCGCACAGGAACTACATCCTAGAATAAAATGTTAATTTAAACAAATTTATTATGTGTTTAGTTCTGATTAATTTATAAATTCATCACATTGTTCTCAGTATTTCGTAAGGTTTGAATGAACCCACCATTTAGACATAACATTTTTTGTATTTTATCAAGTACTTACGATGTACTTTATACTGTTCTCGACCATTTCATTCATATGTATGATGTTGCTTTATCATTAACAAATATTATAAATCACATTATGTAAATATAAAGCAATTTATTGTGATAAAAATCATACTTATTGTAAATATTGTTCCATTATCTTGTTACGGTGTATGTGTAGTTTTTTATAATGCAGATTTATTGTAGTAAGTTACTACTTGCCCGTCAGTTTTGTAAACATTGGAAATATCCGAAAGTTTCAGAAAAATTGGCAGTAACGTAATGATCGTTCAGAATCATCATCTGTACTTATTGTTAGTATTGTTATTGTTTCGTTATTTTTTGGTGATCAATTTTGAATAAAACTAAATGGTGGGTTCAAGAAACGATAACTTGTGATTCGATTACATTACATGAAGAATTAGTTTGATTTGAACTCATATTCAAAATACATATCACAAGTAATCATGTGTTTTTTACTTTGCATTTTGACCGCTGACTGCTATTCTTCGCTTGGAGACAACTTGAACTTAACATTTAGATTTTAATCCAAGACTGATCGCTTGATGTTTGTTTAATTTATGTTCAGTTGGCCATTTTGTATTCATTATTTTTTAATATATTATTTTAATCAACTGACTTTCAGTATAAAAGCGGTAAACGTCCCCATAACAAACATAAAATTATATTTATTCAACATAATCTTTGTTTATGTTTATTGTAATTCGATATACAAAAACATGTGTATCAAATTATATAACAGAAATCCATACTTGGCTTTAAATTTGAATAATTGTAATCTCTGCGTGGATTACGTTTGTGGACTCTCTTAAAAGAGATTTTTATTTACATTTAACAAAATCAATAAATGAGAGAAAACAAAAGGTCATTTAAATTATAATAAGGGTGCGATAACCGTAGCAACGTGCAGGAAACAATAATTGTCTCGTTTCCTCGTAACAAGAAGTTTTGTTTTCTTGTTTTCCCAATTTGATAGAGGACGCTTCGCTGAAAATGCAAGGCATTTTTTGTCAATTCTGAGCATCAGATGCCAGGAACTGGCATTCGCAAATAACCCTAATCATGTACTAACTTGATCATATCCAAGATTCCAGTTTTATTATTCAACACCCTTATTAAAGGTGTAGGTTTCTCCCCAGTTCGAACCCTCCTGAATCGAGGAAATCCCGTGAGTCAGTTGTTTATTTAATTTAAATAGATATCCAAGGGAAGGATGAGTTTTGTATAAATTTCCTGATTTCTACAGACGTGTTGAGATTTATGGAAATCCTACAAGTAGGGATTTGCATTTTCATATTGTATTTAATATACCTAATAGAGAAATTTATCTGGTTTTTCGCGAAATGGTCAATAAAAGTGAAACGTGGCCATAAAAGAGCTAATATTTATGATATTCGTTGTAAAGTAGGATTAGACGGAATGCGATTTTCCAATTACAGCCGTCTAAAATGTATTGGAACCAGGTATAATTAAATCAAAGAATGCGGCTTTAATACTCACTCTTCCACACTTCTACAGGTAGGTAAAGTAGCTACTTTCTACGCATGCCCAAAGTCAGTTACCTTACCTGACAGGTAAGATACGAGTTGCCCACCAGCCCACCTGTAAATATCAAACATTTTAATATCGTTGTGATTGGTGTGAAATGTGCTAATCAATTATTTTTAGTTATGAGTGATAGTATTGCGACTTCTTGATTTATATTTATGGTGAGTATGTGTAGGAAAAAGGAGTAAATAAAAAATCTGTGAGGTAAAAATTTAATAATACTGTTATTGTTACTGTACTCATGGCTATTGTGATATGGTCGCCACGAAGGCTTTTACACTAAACTATTCACACACATATGTAGGTATTTCACAAGCTTCATTTACCACTCAATTGATAAATCGAATTTGCCTCATTTAAGTTATTATTATTTTCTGCGTCATCAGAGAAGTTGATGAAATCAAGTTTCGGATAATGACAGAAATTACAGCAAGTGCGATTAAAAATATTCCCGCGCCCTCCACGCCCTTTCATTTTCCAAATTTAGTTTGCAACAGCTAAAGCTATTAATATTCACAATAAATACATGCAGTTTTGCCCGTAAAAGTACGTCCTGAAGAATTGTTGACATTCTTTACATTCCAGTATGGCTGAAGGTGTGGCATAAGCGAGGAAATTAATCTTAGTCATTACGTTGGAACAAATAGGGCTAACAATTGCATGAAATTCCTTCAAAATGATAGATGTTTTAAAAATGACAAGATTAAATTCTATAACAGTATAATCTTATCAATCACTTCGAGACAATAATGTTTAGCGTTTGCAGATATTAAGTGAGTTAAGTTAAGTAAATATGGCGTACCGCTCGAACGGTTATTCAGGGGATGAAATGGAAAGATACCGCGATGAAGGGGGTGACAAACCGACTTATCTCATGGAACATTTGGCCACATTTACAGTCACCAAAGAGACAGGGATCATGTACCCCGCTGATGGCATGCGGAGGCTACTCCAATTAGAAAAAACAAACGGAATTTGGTCCCAGAAAATGCAACTGTGCCTCGACCGCTCTTGGGTTTTAATTATGGACTACGAAACTGGGGTAAATAATCAACTCACATTAATTTCAACTAAAAAAAAACATTTAGAGTGTCATGGAACGGTTCCCGGCAAATTCGATTCAAGAACCTACAGCTTTTACCAGCCATGACCCTATGGAAATGTATAACAATATTTTAGTTTTTAATGTGGCGAATTCTAACCCGGCTCATCCACCAGAAATGCACATATTTCAGGTAAGTTTATCTGCTACCCGCATCTTATCGCCCTCCCTGGTCAAGACCTATTTTCGTCAATTTATCTTATCTGTGCAATTTGGGTGATTTCATCAACACATTTGAGGATTCTAACAATAATTATTAATTTAGAAAACGTAAAAGATACTAAAGATAATCAATAACACTAATCATGGACAAAATTATTAGCTCTAATCATGATTAATCTTAAAATCAGTAGATGAGATAATTGTGCATGTGCCGATAATGTTGTTTTTAGTGTCAAAGCATATCCGCACTAGACCTCGTAGAAGATTTAAAACAATTGCGAATGGGTAAAACTTTAACTCGAAGCCGCAAAAGTAGCATCCCGCCACCAACTCACAAGCCTCCTCCTCATAACGTTATAAACCCGAATCGTGATCCGCGAGGCGACTACCACGGTTCTGATTCGGAACTAACCGCAAATAATGACGATTCGAGTTCAACAACTAGCGAAAAATATGAAAGAGATGTGACAATTTTGAACCATTGTTTCGATGATATTGAAAAGTTTATTGCGAGGTTGCAACATGCCGCGGCCGCGGCTCGTGAATTGGAGCGCCGGAGGAGGAGCCGAAAAAGCAAGAAACGCGATATGGGTGACGGCATGTTGACCATGCGGACGAAACCGCCCCCGGAGAAGGAATTCATCGACATTTTTCAAAAATTCAAATTATCGTTCAATCTTTTGGCCAAGTTGAAGGCACACATTCATGATCCGAACGCTCCAGAGTTGGTACACTTCTTGTTTACGCCTCTTGCGTTGATCGTTGAAGCCTCCCATGATACTTACCCCGATTCACAACTTCCGAGAAAAGTTGTCTCTCCGTTGCTGACAAGAGAGGCTGTTAATCTACTGATGAATTGTGTCACCAGCAAGGAGACCGAGTTGTGGCATTCGCTCGGAAACGCGTGGCTTATCCCCAGGTACGGTGACTAAATTGGGAAAGAAAATCCCGGTGTTAGATTTCACCCTTTGTCTTGCAGAGATCAATGGAAAGGTCACGTAGCCCCTTACCACCCGATTTTTATGGACGGTTGGTCTCCCGATTACCCCGTTGTAGATGAATTAGAAGCAAACAATGATAAACATTACAATGAGGGACAGTACAGTAGCGACTGTAATGATTACGATACAAATCATCGCGACATTTTTATTTATGAGAAAAGTACAGATTCCCACCACCCAAAAATCGACTCGGATCATTTACCCCCCAATTTGGGCGAAAGCACCAGAAGTGACATTTCGGTCGATTCGATCGAACGGAATGGGGGCGAAGAGCGGGGATTTGGAAGAAGTCAAGAGAGTTTCTTGGAGGATTTGCAAGCCAGAGGAGCTAACATTGTCCAAGTCACATACCCCCGCACCGCGAACAACGACAAAGAATTAACTGTAGTCCGTGGAGAGTACTTGGAGGTACTCCAACACTACCTAAAGTGACTCTTTTATCAGTTTGTTTTGTTTAGATTTTGGACGATAGTCGCAAATGGTGGAAAGCTAGGAACAGTCGGGGCCAAATCGCTCATGTCCCCCACACAATCGTGACCCCATTCCATTCCGGCGGAAACGACATTTTCAACAATCCTTTATACACCACACGTAATAATTATAACAGGAACCGAGCAGTGAGTTATTAGTATGTTTTATTTATTTTTTTGTAATGATTTTTGTTAGGATTCGCCATCTGATAGATTTAGCGGGGGACACAGTCCGAATACCCCTGACCATGTCAACCCCCCCGTTCCAGCAACTTCGGCTGATTGGGTTAGAAAAGAGAGGCTCGGTAAGAAAGGAGAATTTCGTTATTTCTAAAGCAGTGTCGCCACATATTCGTCTGCTTCTTGTATAATACTGTTTGTTGTTTTTTGTACATTGTTATTGTTAGGCGTTGGCTTCTATTTTCATTCAAAAAAGTACAGGCTTATAACCTCATTTAACTTATTATTAAAACATATAATTATGTATTGTATTATTTTAATGTTTGAAGGGTAGCAAAATCCGTCCAAAATGTAAGTAAAAATGTATATATTTTTGTATTTTTGATACGGTCATTTTTGTACTAACTGAGTACCTATCTTATTACATTTCTGAAAAATAAATAAATTTTCTACTACATTGTCTGTGTTTGCTTTTGTTTTGTTTGTGTTGTGTTGGACATTTTGTAACATGTTTAAAAAATACATGACCGGTTTTATGCGATTATCGTCTAGTTTAAATTTTATCCAAGGTCAGAACAGCAATTTTTGATTACGCGGCTATGAATAATTAACAAAGACCACAAAATTACAAATAGTGATAATAACCCCGTAATTATACGAAACCGGATACTCTTAGTTACGTGGATATATATAGGCGATTTGTGACTCATCTTTGATCAGTATCTTGACTCAAAATTTTTATCCGAATCTTGGTTACATAATAAATTTGTTATGAATTTATAGAACACATCAAAAATACTAATCAGGACGATCGCTGCTTTATGTTTGGAGAAAATGATTAAAACCTATAAAGTTATAACGTGCCAATCGATTGAATTTATGTTTGGGTTTTGGGACTGAGCAGCAGTTTGCTTCGAAAATTTGTATTAAACATTAAGCCGAGTGCAAACAAGCTGAGGCTGGTAATAATTACACCATGGGAAAATTCTGAGTGCAAGACGAATAATAAATAGAAACAAACCCTAACGACTACGCACTATTGATCTGTTTGAGAACATTTCTTAATTGACTTTGCGGAATTATCAATTTTGATAATTATGTTTACTTTCGTCCTGCACCATAGTTCTCCTACTTGAATAATTTACGGGTGTAAATCCTCGACTCGTTCTATTTCGCTCTTACTTTATCGATCGATTAAGTGTAATAAATCCCGCTGCGGAGGTCTTCCCTTTTTTACCTTGAGATTGTTCTATTTGGCACAAATTTTCATTTTCATTGTACTAATCTAATCTTAAACGTGCGTCATTTTAGATTTCCTCTCAAGGTTATTTAACGTAGACGCCGATAATTTACAAAAATAAAAATGCCGTCCCTTTTCTGACTAAAAATAAATTCACACATTCTTAGACACTAGTAGTGCACCACCACCCCCAGCTCCTCCACCGCCCCCACCACCCGTTGTGTCAGCCCCCGTGACACCGGCCGCCACATTAAGACGAACACCCTCGACGAAATCGGGTGCCACACAAGATAAAATGCAAGATGAGTTAAACATCGTGTTATCAATGGTCAGAGACAGGAAGCACAAACCGCACATCGAAATTAGACAAACACCGGAAGTCTTCATTAATCAAAAATCTAATCCAGAAGAAGTACAAAACTGGCTCAAAATTAAAGATTTCGACTCGCAAATATGCGCCAAATTTAAAGGACTTGCCGGGCACAACTTGTTTGATTTGCAAAAGAGCCAGTTGGAGAAAGTTTGCGGACCTAAAGAGGGAGCTAGGTTGTATTCGCAATTAAACATCCAAAAAAGTGTCAGTGGGGTATGTTGGCACCTGTTTCGGTATTGCATTTTTTTTCCTTGATTTTTTTAGTACCAAACTGTGAGGAGCTCGGAACTGAAGGCAATCCTTGCTAAGGCCAGGGAAAAAATTGAAACTGTTGATTAATATTTTTATTTATACAATACATATTAATACAATTTATACAATTATTAAAACTGTATGAGTAAACAATTAAAAATACTTGGACTACTTATTAATCACTGTTACCTATTAAAAACAAAGACCTGTTAAGTTTTAATGAGCATAGTTAAATAAATTCGAACTTGATTTATGTCATATGATTTGTAAATATTATGAATAAAATAATAAATATCACAAAGTCTTTGTCGTTGTTTTATTGAATTCATTAAAAAATATCGATCAAACTTGTCGTGTGTGGAAAAGTATTATTGGTTATTACCTACAAGCTGTTACTTAGATTTATGTCAAAGTGCAAGCTAAAATTGTTACAACGAACGATAACATGCAAATCGTTAGTCATTTAACTAACTAATCAGTCACTTCTTATTAGTACGAGATATTTTTGCTGGATTTCTTAGAATAATCATATTAAATATTTGTTTGAAATTTATCATATTGATGACTAAATGTAGATTTTTCGAAATAAAGTTATTGACATCAGCAGTGACGTCACAAATAAAAATAACAATGACCTTTATAATGCAAAATGTTAACGCTTTGCTTATGTTTTATTCATGATGATTATACGATGCGTTTCTGAACAAAAACTGGATACAATTAAATTAATCTAGAAAAAATAAGAAAATTATTGATATTACTGGCTTTGTACTTCAAAACGCAAGATAAAAAACGTAATAATAATGATAATACTACTACTAGTAAGGCCTCTTTAGCACACAACACTTTTTTAAGGATTTTACCGTGTTTTTAAAGATATATTTAAAAAAGCAAATATTTCAAGGATTTAAAAAAGTATATACAGCTTTATATCGTCGGCGTACATAGCACATTTAGTTCCAAGCAGACAAGGAATATCGGCGGTGTATAAAACGAATAATAATGGTTCAAGTTCTTGACTCCTGTGGGACACCACTTAAATTCTGTTTTGAGTCATTAAGAGAATTTCCCACTTTCACCTTATAATGATATAGTTTGAAAAATTGTTTAAAAGATATACTATGTATTTATAAAAGCATTTACGAAAAGAAGGATACAGAAAAGCTGTAAAAGAAAATCTAGGTACCTATTGAATTGAGTAAAATAGAAAATAATCCTGGAAAGAGAGCTCAGCTGTAGCAAAAATATACTTCAATTTCTTATGGGGTAAATTTGGTCAGAGACAAAAAATAGACTTGATCTAAGTTTACTGTGAGAGAATGAACAGTAGAAGAAAAAGAAAAACATTATTATCAACTGGAACCAGGTAAAGAGAAACATCGCTACAAGATGGAGATGTTGAAAAAATCTCGTAAGTTAACGTCATTTCGATTGTTGTGAATTAATTTACTTAAAATATATTGCTATCTTTTAGATGATATCTAATTGGGAAAACTTGAAGCACTTAAAACTTGTTGAATTAAGAAGCTTCGTGGTAGTATTCGGTGGCAAGAAATTGAATAGTCAAATTCAAGAAAGAAAAAAGAGATTCTTAAAATTTGCCAAGATGAACATCGAAACATTGCAACAATGGAATTTAACAATAACTTTATCAAAATTTTTACGCCATTCTATAACAAATAGAAAGCAGCAAATAGTGACAAATTCTACACAGAACTGTCAACATGAAAAATATTACTAATAATAATTATAATACTATATGGAATCGATAGATTTTATACCTAAAAATTATTTTGTATCTATGGCTTTTTATATTTTAAAAATGTATCATGTTTCTTTCTAAATGACACACATGTCTATAAAATTTAGATGTGTCAAATAATTATTATTATAACATTTTTTGTCAAGAATTTATTTACTCATTTTAATAATTCAAAATTTTATTAACAAACTAGCTTTAACATCGTCTCTGGACTGACTTCAACAGACTTTGTAGGTATAGTTATCAAGCTAATTTAAAAACAGGGTAAAATCCTTGAAATATTTGATTTTTAAATATGTTTTTAAAAACAAGACAAAATAATTTAAATAACGGTTTTTAGTGTTAAAAACAGGGTAGAATCCTTAAATTTTAACTGTTTTTCCGAAGGTAATTTTTTTGCCGATATCGAATTTTATATTTCTAAAAAAAAACAAGGTAGAATTCTTAAAATTTGGACTTTAGAAAAAAAGTACCCAAAAACAGGGTAAAATTGTTAAAAATGTTACTTTTTTCAATCCTTGAAATATTTGCTTTTTTAAATATATCTTTAAAAACAGAGTATTTTTTTAAGTGTTGTGTGCTGAAGGGGCCTTACCAGTGGTAATATTGTTGGTAATACGATAAGAAAAGATAAACACATATGAAGACATTTTTAAGTAATTTATTCCAACATAAGAGTGTTCAACAAGAGTAATATTTTATTTAAGATGTGATGGAATCCCTTTGGGATGTGTTCTGTTTTCTAATTGAGATTAAAATAAGCACGTCATAGGCTTAACTTTATGACATTTTGTCATATAAATGACACCATACGTAAAATTAATATCATATAGCGGTTATTACCTACGTGTAAAGAATATTAAAAAAAGAATTTAATTTCGTCACAGAGTATTAAAACACGTTCTTAACAATTATAAGTATGTGTAATTAAACGATCGTAGATATAATATTGAATATATGTTTGCTTAGTGTTTAGATAAAGTATATAGGATATAATAAATGAATGAAATGAAAATAGTTTGTAATTGGTGAATAAGTGAGACAAGATTGAATAGTGAGTGTTGCGACAAAAGTTTTGTTTAGTAAGTACTATTTCTTTAGTCCACATAACTCAAAGTAGTATGATGTAGAAACGAAATGGGTAAGTTCAGGTCGCCGTGAATATGCAATCGATAATATAGCTTCTGCTACCGACACCGCTACCGCCACCACCGCCGCCGCTCTTTCCATGCTATCAGTGAATATTTGGCAAAACCTTAATAGAATTGTAAGACGCGAGGTCACATTTATTAGTCCAACGTTTTATTTTACAGTTTTACTGTAAAAACTTTTTTGAGTTAGGTTGGGGATGGTTTTAGATGTAAACTGAGGAAGAGTGTAGGTCGGCAAATCGGGTGGCGCCACGGTGTACCCGGAATCCAGAGTCCGGAGTCAGTAAGGTGATCGGCGTCGCGGAATCACCGTCGCTACACCTTGTCTTAGTATCGTGTTTTTGGGGGTGGAGAAGAGTAATGGGAATGACGGTGTATGTAAAGTCTCTTGACTTAGAGTAGTTTCGTGATCTGTGATAGAGCTTGAAAAGTTGGAATCGAATCGCATGGATCGTAAGATCCGGAGCGTAGCTGATAGAGGGCGTCGGCATGGCAATCGTAGTGCGCGTGTTGTTTACTAGGCGCCATCGCAGTTCCTATCGTGGATCTGGCCACCTACCACAAGCATTGAACAGAGAGAGGCAGCGCCCCTAACGGCGAGTCGAGCGAGTACTCGGACTGAGCGAGACCATTACGTTTGGGACTGTTAATGTCCACCGGCCAGAGCGGCTCGGAGTGGTGCGAGCGAGTTGAGTTTGAGTGTGTGTAGTGCCTGACTGCCTGGGTGCGTTTCTGGCGCCCAGATCCTGCTATCTATTTATCGGGCGACAAATGTTAACTTGACCGTCACTACGGAACATCTAGACGGAGTGGACTGTGACAAGGGCTCGGGGCGACCGCTACCGCAGCCGGGACATATTGGACCAAGGCATAAAGTAAGTCCTATTGTCATCCCTGTCCATCGGAAATAGGTCAAATGGTTAAACAGACGGAAGAGACGGTGGTTAGGAGGTGGTGGTGGGATGGGCCGAGTGGTGTCGTGGGGTGCGCCGAAGAGCGTGCGACTAGGACTAGTGAGAATGAACTGAATTCCAAGTGGCGCTCCTCGTCCTCATCTTTATCTCATCGTAACTTTGCGACTTGCGACTTGAACAACCAGACTCAGACTCGACTACTCATGTAGGGCTAATGACGTCACAGGCAATTGCCCACCCGACACCAGTGTAAACTAGTACGGTGCGTTAAAGGTGCCGACACTGTCGACCTTTTCGCTTTAGCAAATCTTCAGTCAGAATGGTTACGATTCTTCGGATCTGACCTCCTAGGTCTAGCCTCTTGTCTTATATTGCCATTTTGTTGATTATTTGCCGACACCACCGCATACCTTATATTGTGAGTAGAGCGAAATCGATCGCCAGCGCCGACTGAGTGGCGGTAGTAGTATGAAGCGTTCTGTTGCATGACGTCATTTATCCATGAGATTCCTGACTAGCATGCATTATAAATAACCTCAATACCTCCTTTAATATCGAAAAGTTGAGAGCCAGCTTAGCCGCACACCGCCGGATCATCGGCGGAACGACCGGGCTCATATTTATATCCAGGTGTCATCATCATATACCATGCACCATGTCCGATTACTTTCTCCTTATCCGCTCTATATACCTACTCACATCAATCAAATATAATAATTATTTCAAATTGAGACCGGATTCGCGCATTTTCGACCAATATCCATAAAATTCTAAGTTTAGCTGCATCGAGCTTCCTGCTTGTTCAATTATACTCGTAATTACCGGAATTACGGTTTGACAATAAAAATCCTAATAACACGAGTTTTATTTAGTGTCAGTCTTTACGATTTGTTGGTCGTTGCGACGCCGTCCGTCGTGGATTTGAGGCGCCACGGAGACGAACGCCGCTGTTGTGCTTGTGCCTTGTGCCCTCCTCAGGCTCAGTCGTCGTTCGTCTTTACCGGCGAGTCCCAGATATATACAAAATTAACTGAAGCTCAATCGGAGAGTGTCGTCACGGGACTCGCGGCCACTGTTAGATGTTAGCTAATCGCGCAGTCTAGTCTGTCCGAACCGAACCGGCAGGTAATTCAAATCCAGGAACAGCTCAGCTGCACACCCACCCACCCACACCGTCGACATTTCGATCAGACTTTCCCTCCCAATTTATTGCATTGCATTCTCTCGATGATCTATCTCAGGAGGATTGTCGTGAACTCGTGACGTTTGGCTTCGCCGTCGCTCTCGACGTCGACGTCGTCGTCGTGTTCGCCTTCGCCTTCGACGCTCGGTTCAGATTCAGTTCAGAACGGTGTGTTGCGTGTCTCGTGTGTTCGAGTGCCGCCAGACCTACACGTTTTATGCCGACCTAGAAACGCGTCCACTATTTAAAGACTTTGTACCTACCGAACCGACTGGCGAGTTTGTGTCCTTCCATGCTGGTGGTCCTCCCTTGAGGTGATGTACCAAAGCGAAACATTTTTTTTCTTCAAAACTCAGCCCCACTACCAACAAACTTTTCCACGTCGGATTCGGATTATACCGATTTTACTGCCAACTATCACATTTTCATTTACGATTACGAAAGTATTTTTAAAACCGTACACATGTGGACCTTACTCAACCCCCGGGAATCCGTTCTCGTATATTTTACTATACTCAAAGACTGCATTACCATGACAACGACATGCACACTCCCATTCCGTCTCTCCACATTCTACGCCTATGGAATCCAACACAATTTGCCAACAAAAATCCACAAATTATTACTAATTCTTTCCGACACTACATACCTACCTCCGTTTCTTATTCTATACTTAACAGTGACTAATACACCGATTTGCATTTATCATTATCGTAACAGAATTGCTTATTATTTATAATAATATGTAATTAATTACTGAACTATTCCCATTATCCCATTGTAACACTGTTAAGTGAAGTTAGCCAAATCCGTTAAAAAAATAAAAAAGCATATTTTTGTGAATATGCGAAAATAAACGTAGAGTATAAAAGTATAAATACTAGTGCCTTTTTAATAACACATCAGGTTTTTTTTTAGTTTCCTAAATTTCTATGCAGTCAGTCGTGAAGTTTTTCCGCTTTTTTGATTTTGGTTTTTACAGTTGTTACACTTGAGTAAAAATAAAAATCCCGATTGGCAGTTGTTTGTGGCGTACGTACGTGTGTGAATAATTGTAATTTTAGAGGCTTTCTCACAATTAACAGCTTTAATTAAGCATTTTTCTGGTAATTCAGGTTGAAATGAAACTTAATTAAACATTGTTTAAATCGGTGAGTTTCGCTTCCCATCTTTATCTAGAGGTTAAAATATTATAGGTTATGTTCACTGTAATCGCTTTTTTAACTCGTTATTTATAATTTTAAAGAAAATATTAGTCGTTAGTGTCCGTGTAATGCGTTATAAATTATTGTTTTCTGTCAAACAGTGTTAATTTGTTTTGAATGAATTCTTTTATGGAAGGAAGGGGCTATATAGTTTCGAAAAATAATAATCAATATAATCGGTTGCTAGTAAATTAAAATCGTATATTTAATTGAAGTAGTCTTGTTTGTTGATATTTTTATGCTAATAAATATTAGACGTGTATTTGTAATATTGGGTGTTTTATTAATAGATCTAGCTGTGAGAAATGGCTACGATAGACGGCCGTCCCGCGCAATATGGAATTACCCTGAAACAGTTACGCGACCTCATGGAACATCGAGGTCGCGAAGGAGTAAATAAAATATCTGAGTTTGGAGGAGTACAAGAAATTTGTAAGAAATTATACACATCGCCCAGTGAAGGTAATAATTAGACCAGGATTTTGGTTAAGAGATGAATCAAAAATGATTTTCCAGGTCTTAGCGGGTCACAGGTGGACCTTGAACATAGAAGAGAAACATTCGGATCAAACTCAATTCCTCCCAAACCTCCAAAAACTTTTCTTCAATTAGTATGGGAAGCTTTACAAGACATCACTCTCATTATTCTGGAAGTAGCAGCCATTGTGTCTTTAGGTCTTTCTTTCTATCAGCCGCAACAAGAAGATGTCCGTAAGTATCCGTCGATTTGGCAGTGAGCTTTATTTGCAAAGCCTTTTTCCAGCTTTTGACGATGATGAAACTAGTCATGGTTGGATTGAGGGTTTAGCTATTTTAATCTCCGTTATCGTAGTAGTCTTAGTAACAGCATTTAACGATTATACGAAAGAAAGACAATTCAGAGGTCTTCAGAGTCGAATCGAGGGAGAACATAAATTTGCTGTGATTCGACAAGCTGAAGTAAAGCAAGTTTCCGTTAGCGACATAGTTGTAGGTGATATTTGCCAGATAAAATACGGTGATCTTTTACCGGCAGACGGCATCCTAATCCAATCCAATGACCTCAAGGTAATTCCCTTTAATCGCCCAGTTACTGCCTAAATAACCCCTTCCACAGGTGGACGAATCTTCTCTTACGGGCGAGTCAGACCATGTGAAAAAGGGCGAAAATTACGACCCTATGGTCTTGTCTGGCACTCACGTGATGGAAGGTTCAGGAAAAATGTTGGTTACTGCGGTTGGTGTCAACTCCCAGGCAGGTATCATCTTTACACTACTAGGAGCAGCAGTTGATGAACAAGAAGCCGAAATTAAGAAAATGAAGAAAGGTAGGTTTATTTGTATCTCGTTGCATGTTACCGTCAATTGTTTGATTTTTGTACCCCACCATAACTGTCAGCAGATTCAGGTGGCAGTTACCAGAAAAAACCAATCATTGTTGACGCAAACAATGAAGTAATATCAAAATATCGATATTTCAAGTGTTTTTCAAGAGTTATATATACACTTTCAAGTATTTTTGAGACTATGCACTTTAACTAACATTTATTTTGCATTATTAAAATAATCGGAATAAAACGGGGAAACAATAGTTTTGACAATTTATTTATTAAATTGTATCTATTTGTGTTCAAGCAAAACAAAAGAGTTCATTTTTTTCGGGCTGTTAAAATTAAACAGTATGATTCGATTCAATAAATTCAAATCACGTAATATGTGGTAAATAAATGTTTATTTACCGATAAATTTAATATGTTTTGTTCAGTTAAAATTTGTACGGTAACCGTTATAACATTTTTTAGAGACCGTCAGTATTATTTAAATATTTTTTAAATTTCGGAAATCCATTTGTAAATATTTATGTTGCGAAGTCAATTTATTTAGTGGAAGTTTTACAATTTTTATTTTTTTATCAAACGTAAATAATCTCTATTCCACGGCGGATATAAAGCAAATTAAGCAAGCAATTACCTCTGATAACGCGAGCAAAACCTGAGAAATAAAAAAATCGCTTATTTTTGTTTTTTACCTAAGCCAAATTTGTGTATGAGTGGTTTGAATGATACAAAATCAATTTGGAAGGTTACTTTTGGAAAACCGGGTTTCCTAACAATGGGACGTGCAAATGTCACTCCTATAAATGTGTATGAATAAATAAAGAAAATGCGTGGTTTTTGTCAAACACACCGTGGAAAATATCTTAACATTTTTCATGGTTATTTGGCAGCAGTGCTTAGAGAAATTGAATTTCGAAAATATGAACTGTCCATTTATGTACACTCAGAAAAGTTGAAAATGACGTGACCATAAACCGACCCTCATTATTTGGGTTCTCCTACCTAACCGCAGTTATAAAACCATCTGCGGAGGAAAGTAATAAAAATGCTTTTGCATTTAGCCTCAACATATCTTTTAAGTAAATTTTGTCATAGGATTTTATTTCATTAATAATAATTATTATAATTAAGGGTGTGTAAAATATGTCATACGGTGTGTTATACTGAAACGAGCAAATTTGTAACTTTAAAACGCCATTAGTCTGTCTCAATGGAAAGAAAAGTAAATTTTCTCTTGCATTTGGGATTTTTTTTCTGCTTTTTAAGTTTCATCATAATGGCGGTTTTATTTTTTCGACAAAAAATGTAACTTTGACAATTAATTAATTAATTATTGTAACCGGTATTAGCGGCAAAACAATAAAATGCTTTATGATCTAAATCCAATAGAAATTTTATAGGGCAATATAGTTCGTGACTGGCGAAATTTTCAACCCAAAGTTCGCGAACGAAATTTAAAATTAAAAAATTGGCGCAGCACGTTAATAACGTTTGGGACCATTTCCGCTACTCACAAATTTGCCAAAATTTGGTGGATAGTATGCATGGACGACTTCATGAATGTTTAGCCAACAATGGATATCATACACATTACTGATATTAATTAGTGATTATAATAAATAAAATATTTGTAAAATCTATAATTTTTGTCTTTTATTGGAATAAGTAAAATTAATTATTTAAATTTAAAACAATTTTTGTCTTTCATTATAATAATTATTAATAAAAAAATAATATCTCATGGTTTGAAGTTTTATTATTTATAATAATTAATTAATTAATTGTCAAAGTTACAATTCTGTTAAAAAAATAAAACCGCCATTATGGTGGGACTTAAAAAGCAGAGAAAAACCCAAAATCAAGAAAAAATTTACTTTTCTTTCCACTGAGACAGAATAATGACGTTTTAAAATTACAAATTTGCTCGTTTCAGTATAACACACCGTATAACACACTTTACACACGTTTAATTGTATCATTAATGAAATAATATCACCTGACAAGATTTACTTAAAAGAAATATGGAGGCTAAATGCAAAAGCATTTTTATTTCTTTGTCCTCGCAGATGGTTTATAACTGAGGTTTGGTAGGGGGACCCAAATAATGAGGGTCGGTTTATGGACACGTCATTTTCCACTTTTCTGAGTGTAGGTTCTGCTGCATTTTCCGAATAGTATATTTTCTGAGTATTATTAAGTTTTGGTTGGGATGGTAATCGAACTGAAAATGCTGGCAGCGCATTAAATTTAAGTGTCATTATTACTGTTAGTGCACAACCCCCCTTAAATGTTCTTTAATAATAGTTACCAACATGACAGAGCATTGCAGATGGAAACAATCTACCTAACTTACTCTTCCAGTATATATTTTTCTTTGGTTAATAGTCCACATTCTGGCTTTGTGGCGGAAACGTAAGCAAAATTGGTGCAAAGTTTCCGCCATGAAGGAGAATCATTCTATTTTACCCATGTCAGGACTTTGGGAGTGTTTTTGAGATTGCTAATGTTCTCCTTTTGCATGTGTTTTTGTACAGAAGCTAAAAAGCAGCGGAAGAAGAAAAGTCTAACAGGTGAATAAATTTTTTATATTTATATTTTGATTTAAAATTAAATTTAAAAATAATCGTTTATTAAATAAATAATGTTTTTTAATGAATTTTTTTAAATAACAAAGTTCTAATATTATTGAAAATTAATAACAATAACTGGCATGCCTTCCTTTGTGAGATTTGTTAGTTTTTTTCTCAAATCTCACTGGAGATGATAACTTATTAAGAAAAAAATGTGGCTTAGGTGCTGATGATGAAAACGTAACTGGTAACAGTCATATGAATTCTCCCGCACCGGTCCCAAACAAGCTTAATGAAACCACTCAAGAATCCAAAGAGAATCACGTATCATCACCACCGGCGTCGGCGGAGAGTCACAAGAAAGAAAAATCGGTTCTTCAAGCAAAATTGACTAAGCTTGCCATTCAGATTGGATATGCCGGTTCTACAATTGCCGTTCTCACTGTTGTAATTTTGATAATTCAATTTTGTGTTAAAACCTATGTTGTTGAGGGACATTCATGGCAGAAAACTCACGCAAGCCACTTGGTGCGTCATTTAATCATCGGTGTAACTGTACTCGTCGTGGCAGTACCAGAAGGTTTGCCTCTTGCTGTTACGCTTTCCTTAGCTTATAGTGTCAAGGTAAGTGATTAGAGATTCTTAAAGAGCCACATTATTATTCAAACATTGTAGAAAATGATGAAAGATAACAATTTAGTAAGACATTTGGACGCTTGTGAAACCATGGGTAATGCTACTGCAATTTGTTCGGACAAAACCGGAACTTTGACTACCAATCGGATGACTGTTGTGCAATCTTACATCTGTGAGCAGTTGTGTAAATCTATGCCGAAATTTTCTGATATTCCTGCACATGTCGGAAATACAATTCTTCAGGGTATTGCTGTTAACTGCGCATACACATCACGAGTTATGGTGAGTTTTTCGGAAAAGTCGGTAATGAACTCGTATAAAATTCTGCTCCAAAGCCTCCGGATGATCCAACCGACTTACCCAAGCAAGTTGGCAACAAAACTGAGTGTGCATTGTTGGGATTCGTTCTCGGTCTTGGCAAAAATTACCAAACGATCCGTGATGACTACCCTGAGGAGAGTTTTACCCGCGTTTATACATTTAACTCTGTGAGAAAATCCATGAGCACTGTCATCCCCAGAGCGGGTGGTGGATATAGATTGTTCACAAAAGGTGCTTCTGAAATGATTTTAAACAAGTAGGTTTTTGTTGATTTTTTAGAGGGATTTTTGCGATGAGTGGTTTTAGGTGTGCCTTCATTTACGGTCACGACGGCCGTTTAGAAAAGTTCACCAGGGACATGCAAGAACGTTTGTTGAAGCAAGTTATCGAACCAATGGCTTGTGATGGTCTTAGGACAATTTGTATCGCTTTTCGCGAATTCGTACCGGGCAAAGCTGAAATCAATCAAGTACACATAGAAAACGAACCAAATTGGGAAGATGAAGATAACATTGTCAATAATTTGACATGCCTTTGCGTTGTCGGAATTGAAGATCCTGTACGTCCCGAAGTACCTGACGCCATCAGAAAATGTCAGAAAGCCGGTATTACAGTTAGAATGGTCACTGGTGATAATCTTAACACAGCCAGATCTATCGCAACCAAATGTGGTATCGTCAAACCTAACGAAGATTTCCTCATTATCGAGGGTAAAGAATTCAACAGACGTATCCGAGACAGTACTGGAGAAGTAAGATGTAACAAAATTACTACTCTCGCTAGTACACACAATTTTTTGTAGGTTCAACAACATCTACTTGACAAAGTATGGCCTAAATTACGTGTACTTGCACGTTCCTCTCCGACTGACAAATACACATTAGTCAAAGGTATAATTGACAGCAAAGTAAACGAAAATCGTGAAGTAGTCGCAGTAACTGGTGATGGTACAAATGACGGTCCTGCGTTGAAAAAAGCCGATGTTGGTTTTGCCATGGTACATCACAATTCTACTAAAAGTGTTTATTACTCACCTGTTTTTTTTTTTTTTAATTTAGGGTATCGCTGGTACTGACGTGGCAAAAGAAGCTTCTGACATTATTCTGACTGATGACAACTTTAGCAGTATCGTAAAAGCAGTCATGTGGGGACGTAACGTTTATGACAGTATAGCTAAGTTTCTGCAGTTTCAGCTTACTGTTAACGTTGTAGCTGTTGTTGTAGCATTTATTGGTGCCTGTGCTGTTCAAGACAGTCCTTTGAAGGTTGTTTCTTCTTTCAAACGAAATTAAAGTGTCTAATAATTTTTTTCAGGCTGTCCAAATGCTGTGGGTTAATTTAATTATGGATACTTTAGCTTCTCTCGCTTTAGCTACTGAACTTCCCACAAATGATTTGTTATTGAGAAAGCCATACGGAAGGACTAAACCTTTGATTTCGCGGACGATGATGAAGAATATTCTTGGACAAGCAGTTTACCAGTTAACTGTAATTTTTGCTCTTCTTTTTGTTGGTATGTAGAAGAAATATTAGTAGGAATTGTTTAAGAAAGTAGTTGTTTCTAGGGGACAAGTTGTTAGATATTGAATCTGGACGTGGAACTGAGCTTGGTGCCGGACCTACACAGCATTTTACTGTTATCTTTAATTCTTTTGTAATGATGACTCTCTTTAATGAGTTCAATGCGAGGAAAATTCACGGACAACGCAACGTATTTGAGGGAATATTCACCAATCCAATTTTCTATACAATTTGGATTGGCACATGTGTGGCACAAGTAAATTGTTTCATGGTTTAAAAAGAAAACAGTTGCGTAATGAGTATTTATGTCTTAGATTCTCATCATTCAGTATGGTAAAATGGCTTTTGCCACTAAAAGCCTGACCTTGGAGCAGTGGCTCTGGTGCCTCTTCTTCGGTTTAGGAACGTTGCTTTGGGGACAACTTGTTACTACAGTTCCTACTCGTAAAATACCCAAGATTCTTTCGTAAGTTTTGGTTAAGAGTTGTAGTTGTAATTTATATAATATATTTTTTCTTATATAGTTGGGGTCGTGGCCATCCTGAGGAATATACTGAAGCAATTGCCATTGGTGAAGAAAAGTTCGATGTAGATTCAGATAAGAAGCCCAGAGCTGGTCAGATATTGTGGATCCGCGGTTTGACTAGGTTGCAAACGCAGGTAAGTACGAGCATTGTGTACATTGCGATATTTGCGATGTTACCACTGAATTTTAGCACAAGTGGGTAAGAAGCTGTATTGTATTGAAGCTGAAAGCTTCAATATACAGCATCTGTCCCACGAATGTGCCTCGCATTATGTAAATGAGTGATTGATGAACAGAGCTCAGTCATATAGGATTTGATAGGTAGTCAGTCAGACCACATCAGATGAGGCTTCCTTCCCTCCTTATCCTTATCCCGGTCCAATTCTGTGGTAGTCTATTGATAAGCATGGTGCATTGACATCTGACAATGTGTGTGCAATTGAATCAATGATGTGAGAGGGTGAACCATGGCCGGAGAGCCCCAACTTTAAACTTAACAACACTGTCAATATAACTAGCACTTGCTACAATGTACAACAGGGTGTCTTAATTGAAATTCTGCAACACATTCATTTTAATAAAATGGCAATTAAGACCTCGTACTTGTAGTATTTGTAGAACGTATTAAATTTTTTAATGAAAAAATGTCGGCTACAGTGTTATTCAGTCTTATTTAATGAATTTTTTTCTGAATTTGTAAAGAAGACGTAACTAATTGAATCATCCTGATGAGTTCACCTTCGCTTTGAGTTGTTTTTATTTATCAGCATTCAGTTTCAAGCAATTTCTTTAAATTATTTTGACTGTTGTAAATATTTTTCTGTTGAAATATTTTTTTAATTTTAATAGTTTACAAAAAAGGTGTTGAAAATTTTTTTCAATAAAACACCTTGCATGTTATTTGAGATTAAGTATGATAAAAATTGGTTGATAGGTATGTGTGTTGTTTTGCATTTTACACTAAACACCGTTTGTTTTTTTTTTGTGAAGCAAAAATTAATATGTTGTGTGTTCAGTGTTGGCAATTTTGAAGTTTAAACAAAAGTTAACCCACCCACATCCTCATATCGCTGCTTTAGTTGTCAGTGTTCCTTGTAGCATAGACTTAATATGTATTTTTTTAATACTGTTTGTTACTTTATTAGGTTATAAAGTGTCTTGCAAATGCGACAATCATATTAATATGTTTGTGTTTTTACTTAGTAGTTGATAATATGAGATTTAAAAATCTATACGGCAAGACTGTTGATTGGCCAGCAGTGGATAAACACCCGTCCTCGTCGATTGTCAGTTTTGTTTTGTTTTTTTAAAAAGTTGGTGATATTTTAAATAGCATTTGCTTGAGTTTTTTATTATTAACACTACTTGTCCCGAAGTCGGGCATTACTCTACCCTTTTTATCCATTCTATGATCCAGGCATGCTTTTCAGATCATCCAGCCAATAAACACAGCGGTGCATAAGCATCAAAGCATCACGTAGTTAGCAAAGTCCCGCGGAACACGTAGCCTAGCAATAGCGCAATTAGGATAGCAATAGCAAATAGTATGTGCATGCGAAAACGTCCACGTTCGTCCGTCTTTATCCGTGCCCGAGCCCCGAGTTGGCTGTGTTGTCTTTAAGGTTGCAGTTGCACCATGCCCCGCAATTGCCTACGGATTTCTTCACAACTCCCGAATTTGCCACTTGCTAGTTAATTTTTTTTTCACTTCCCTATTTTAAATGTCTGTTTTAATGTGGATGTTGCAAGCGGTTTGCTTTTTAATTAGTATAAAAACTCAGTCTGAGTCTGAGCCGAACAGAGTATCTTTAGTTATGTCCGCGGCCACTTAAACAAGCCAGACAAGCATATTTAGTACAGCACTGTACCTGTTAAATGGGTATTTAACATGAATTTATTTATCAGCCGGCCGAACCCATGAGAGAAACTGAGGTATAGGAACGCTGTGGGTGTTTCAAGCAAATCCTGTCGCAGTACAAACAAGTACGTAGCTTGTAGTAGGCCTTTAGCTCATGCAATGACTGCGATGCGTTCGTTCTGCTGTGTTGCACTGTGGTGTTAGCTGTTTTAGAGCAACCCGACCTTGGATGTTGACTTTCCTGTAGTAACGACGATCACTACTCGACTTTGTTGTTTTCGTTAAATTCGATAACACCCATCACTATCCAGTGTTTGTTGTAAAAGAATCGGGAAATGTAAAACGGCCAGGGAATGCTTCCTCCGCGACAACACAGCCATCGTTATTTAAACGTAATATGTACAATTTATCGTGCACGGGATACGGTCATCTAAAATTTTTTAGGTTCGAAATTTTATTGATCTGATTGATAATAAATGATCTGATGATATCGGTGCTTGACGCTGCGCTTTTCGCTTGTTTGGGAGATTGCGTGCGTCTTTTGTCGGCGACGTGTTAGGGTGATAGGGATTTTTGATAGCTGCGATGCGTCTTTTTTGTTTCCTCTTCTTCTTCTCTTCTACTTGCTACTTGCAATTTCTTCTTCTTCGTCTATTCACTTTTGTTCACTTTTTTTTCTGTGAAACTATTTATATATACATATTATATTGTCTTGAATCTTTTTCACAATCATTATGTCTCTTTCTTCTGATTTCTATTGTAATAAATTTAAAAAAAAGTTTCGATTAAATTATCACCAGCGAATTATAAGAAAGGAAGGACGAGCGTGTCCGCTGTCCGGTCCCAAAGATATGAATGTAGGTAAAAATCGAGGGTGAGCGTGAGCATGGTGTGTGTGTGCATGCAGATCCCGGCCTTATGAGTACCCTGCTTCCCTGTGTTTGCAGCTGCGAGTAATCAGAGCTTTCAAGTCCACCCTGGAGGATCTGGAGGAGCGTCGCTCGGTACATAGTTTACACAGCTTACACAGTTTGCGCAGCTCGCGAAGCCACACCGGCCCTTGGCCGCCTCGGCCTCTCTCAGACATCACTTACATAGACGAGGACCCAACCGCCAACAAATTGTCGCCGCAACCTTCGAAGAATGAGCGCGACGACCACCGGCTGCTATCTCCCAACACCTTGAGGCTCCCACCCCACAATCCACAATACGCGCACCTGTCCCCTTCCCCCGCGAACAACTCGGACCTGCCCAAGCCCGTGCATGAAACTCGCATCTAGTGCCGGTCCTGGCCGCAGAGCCGCGGCGCGCACCGCATGCATCATATTCGTATCCGGTGTAGCTTGCCGTTGCCGTTGTCGTTGCCGCCATAGCGTAGCCGCAGCCGCCACCGCTCTGCCTCTGCCTCTGCTTCTGCCTCTGCTGCTCTGCTCTCTTGACCGTTCCAGCGTTCCCGACCCGACACTCACCACCACTACCGTTCTGGATCCATCACCAATCAAACAATTTTATTATCTAGTAGTAGATGTCGCCTACCACTATTGACATCCTTGTTATTATAACCCTTATACTACCCGACTATCCTTCTATCGTTTAGCTTAGCACTAAGTAGACTTTTTTCTTACTTGACCAAATCTGAGTATTTTGTATTATTTTGTACATAATATTTCGTCGTTCACTGTAGACTAGCTGTATGTATAGCATTTTAGATAGCCTTAGACCTCAGGTTAGTGGTAATGGAAACAAATATTTTATTTTTGAACTTGTTGAACGCATGCACACAACTGCGAGTCATCTGTATTGTGTGTCGACCGCCAACGACATGATCAGTGTTAATAATACATTAAAAATAAAACAACAAGTAATACGATAAACGATCATGCCAAAAGAAAAGAAAGTCTTTTAATATCAATATTTATAAATTACATCAATTTTTATTTATTATTATTATTTTTTTGTATTCGGTCAGCAGGCCACATTACTTAATACTCAATTATCTAATTTATAAGATGTTATATATGTGTAGTTATACGATTCGTAATGGTTAAAATTTACTGTTCATTTTTTACGTCGAATATAACGTTTTTTTTATACTATATAGCGATGTTTCTATGCTCTGTTCTTGATATTCGGCACTGAGCCACATGTAGATACATGTTTCGAGCAATCGTGTGTCTGTTGATTGTAACACTTTTATTTACAGCACAGCGAACATGCGGAAGTCGTGCCCTAAAAGAGCACATTGCAGCGGACTTCCGTATGCTCTTTACAGGTCTCGGCGAAGGGCGTCTGAAATAATTGTCGCTCACCATGATGATTATTATTATTACTATCATCATCATTATTCTTACTATTATTGATTATTCGTTTGACAGATTATATTTAGATGTCCGGAGAAGTAAGTAACGGCGTTCGGATCGGAGATGTCGTCCTTCGCCGGCGCCTGCCACTCTTCTCAGGTTACTAGTAGTATCTGATTCTATCTTGTTCTGTGCACTATCTATTGTATGTGTCTGTCACTGTCTATCGAACCACTCTTAACGTTGCCCTTTACTCTTGAAGGTGATAGGTGGTGAATTGCAAGAACGTTTGATTCCGGTTCCGTACAGCAAGAGCTCCACTGACCAAGCTGTAAGCCGCTTTCCTACATCTTTCTGTCCGCTATGTATTCGTATGCCGCTGTTCGCTCTTGTTAGTTTGTGTTTGGCTACGCTTCCACTGCTTCCACATTGTGTAGAGGCACAAGCTTTCATTACCACGATTGATCTATGCTTACCTCTAAACGTTTTATTTTTGCGATTTCAGTTCGAAATTTCAACGTTAACGCCCCTTATCAATATCGAAGCAGTGAAGTTTTTTTTAATAATTACTAATATTAATATTGGTTTTTATGTAGACATTTTTCCGTATTTCTTTGTCTGCTGATTGGTTTTGTTAACTTTTTTTTTGTTTTTATTCGCATGGTGCATGTTTATTACAGTTTTTATTATGTTGTTTTCATTTAATAATTATTAAATTTATTTACACCTAGTTCACAGATGCATAAGATCGCTCAAAACGACTGCTCGGCCGATTTTTGTTTTTGTTTTGTTTTGTTCATTAAATTTTACTCAAGTTATTATCATTATTATTATTATTATTACGTATAAATATTACTATTATTATGAGCAGGTGTGTTAGTAGAAGCACCAAATAATTTTCGGCAAAGTACCGCATACATTATTTAATATTTTTTGCACAAAAAAAAATTGAGTGGATAATTCTTTACGTAAAATATTTAACATTATTTAATTATTGTTATTAATAATAATTGATTGTTGGAATAACTAACAAGATTTTTCTTAAAAAAAAATAAATAAACGACGCATCATAGTCTAGATCGCGGTTGGTGCGCTCGTTTTGTTTTCGTATTGTTTTTGTTTTGTTATTTTTATTTTTGTGGCCTGTGATTGTGTCAAATTGAATTGTCGTGATTGTCATTAACTTTAATAAAAGGGGAGCAATGTAGTAGTGCTGTGTCATTTTATCTGTTGGCACTGCAGAAACGCCGTCACGATTCGTCCGCTAGATCTATGATGCCTGATGCTTTTTTTATATAGGTTATTTATTATTAACGGCCTCGTTGCATATATAGATAGCCTTGTTTGTTGAATTTTATTGTAGAGGCTTCCATTTATTTATAAATTTTACAAAGAAAGAAAAGTTGTTTCTCACTCAAATTACTATAATAATTGTTATTATATTGTATTATAATCTCTGAAAACTGACCAAGTGTACTTAGAATTGTTTTATATAATAACATACTAACAAGCAGCTGTTTTTTCGATGCAACATTTTTTTTTTTTCAATAAAAGTAATAAACCTATTACAACTTTTATTTTGACAAACTGCTAGGTTGTGTTTAATTCGCCTTTATTTTATGTGTTTCTTTATAAATAATGTTTTTATAAAGTTTGTGTGTTTACTAATACCCACGTATACATACATACAGGTGGGGCAAAATCACGTAAGCAAAGTAACCAATATCTGGTAAAGACTGTATGTATTTGACTATTGTTATTCGTGTGTGTTCTTAAGTGGTGCTCAGACAATTTAAACTGTGTTGATTTGTGAAAATTTTGCAAGTTCAATGTTTTAATCCTGATCACTCGGTATGACAAGATCCGACTGCTTGCTACCAGCGAATAAATGGACGATTTGCGCTTTTGCTTTCTGTGCGATTCGAGCGAATCGTACGAACTGATCGACGTTTTGTCGCACATTAAAGCATACAGCGCAGACGACTGTTTGTTCCTCCATATCAATGTTAATCATTTCAACTGGAGGCATCCAGAATCTAGCTTTATAGTCTGCAATCGAGTCAGTAAATGTAAAGCTTAGACCTGCCTCGGAGTATCCAATTCACGGCATGTATGATGGCTCTACACAAATACATTTCGCTCTGGCAGTCCTGTCAAATGAACTGCCTCTAATCACGTGTATGTATGCAGCCACAGCTATTCGTGGCATGTAAATAAAAATATTGCATGTTTGTGAATTAACTGTTGTTACATTGGTCGCGCGTCGGTTCTCGTTAATTCTCGACAACTGGGATACCTACTACTTACTTATTAATTATTTATCGTTGTTTTGACATAATGCGATCGAGCTGGTAGAATAGTGCGTATTGATTGGGAGATGGTATCTCTGTTGTCTTGATGTTTTTCGAGCACTTGTTTGTTATTCATCACCAAACATATTTTTATCACTTACGTAAAATATATATTTGAAATAAACGTCGATATTTGTGACAGCACTACCCCTTTCTCCTGATATTGGTATATGACAATTGCATGCCACGAATTATGCGATTATATTTATGACATCAGTCATACTCACATGCAGACCATTTTCACCGAGAACCGACTGTGAGGCCTTTAATTTAATGGCTCTGTATTGTTCTTTCGGCTGTGCTAACTGCTCGCCATTTCCCGGGAATGTTCTTATTTTAATTCTCCCTGTTTTGTTGTTTCTTGTTCATTTCAGATCCGAGTAGTTAATGCTTTCCGTCAGGGCCTAGATGCTCGGTACGGCGAACACAGCAATACTTCCCTTGCCGAGGTACTCCGCAAACAGACATCACTCTCTAAGAGGTTGTCTCAGACTTCTTCCATTGAGTATGCCGATAACATCCCAGATGAGTTGACGATCCCCGAAATAGACGTGGAGAGATTATCCTCTCACAGCCACACAGAAACGGCTGTTTAGCTCCCAGCCCGTTACCTCTTCCTCGCGCCGCGATCCCGTCCTGCCTGCTCTGCTCCAAACAACCAAATTCATACTCAATGACCCGCTGATCCAAACCGAACCTAACCGAATATCAACTAACTTGTACTTAAACACCTATAACAGCCGCGTACGAGCAGCTACAGGGTACTCCAAACAACTAAATAACATAAAGCATCTCAGCCAGCGACGATTCGCTTAAGTGTCCGGCACCGAACACCTTTGCTGGTTGCTAGTAGCCACGTACGATCGCGCAATTATATTCACATACCATATAATGAATCTCAACCTTATCTTGTCTATCATATTTATAATTGCACTGATTGTGAATTGCATTGCTCGCGCGTTTGTTCGTTAATTTGTTGTTATCTAGTGGACATTGAGTGTCTCGTTTCGTTTTGATTTTCAAAGACAGGATCCGTGCTGGCGACATGAACTATATTGATTAGCAATAAATGAGCGATCGAGAGTTCGCTCATAGCGTTTAATTAGGTGCCTAGGTGAGAGGCTCGCCACCAGTGGATGGGACTCTCACAAGACGAGGACGCGTGTTGTTATCCGTCGTGCACTCTAGCAAGGTCCGCCGCGTCGACTAGGAGTTATTAATTTTTGTTAAAATTATTTTCCTCCTCGTGCACCGTCCTCGTGGCTTGCTCTTGCTCAGCTAAAACTGCGCGCGTCCTCGTCTTAACTCACGAGCCGCCGTCGCCGATCCGCTGGACCTGAAGCGCACACCGGCGTGGGCGACCCGTCCTATCTTATTATTATTATTATTATCATTATTATTATTATTAAAGAGGAAAAAATAAAAATAAAAACTGTAGGTATCAGATGTTGTCTGCCAAATGTTGGAGGAGAGGCAATAACCACACGCAGTTATAGATTTTAGTCTTTATAAATATATAGTTATATCGTTAGTCGAATTACTGCTTCTCCTCGCCTTCTTCTGTTGTAATCTAGGTCTAACTCTGACTTAGTTATTACGTAGATAGTCTAGCGGTGAACACTAGATATACATAAATACATATTAAGATGATGATACTGTACGAGGTACAGCCTCGACCTCAGAGATTAATTTGTTTTATACTTTATCTAAATGTATTTTAATTGACGGAAATTTTGAAAAAGAGAGATTATTCAACTAAACTTGAACAAAAAAGAAACAAACAGTACAGTACTCTAAAGTTATTTATTACGTACGTACGTAGAGTTAGCAGCTGTGTATAATGGCGCGTCGGTATGTCGAGCCGTGACCAAACAACTCTTCTAGTCGGTGACGGTACTTAGTATCTTCGGCCTTAGTAACTTAGCAAGTACCTGCAGTTTGATATTTGTTATGTTTCGGTCTTGGTTCGTTGCCACCGACGAGCTCGCGCACACATTTATACACTACTCCGTATCGGATCCATCGGTTAAGATGTTCGAAAAAATTCGCAAGACACAAATATGTATATCAAAAATGATCGATTTGCATCGTACGGTTTTTGGGCGAATTGCGCACCTTCGCCGCCGTCCAACTTTAAATCGTCTCATTTTTGTACTTATTTGTGGTCAATAGAACAAACGAACATCTCGTCGGCTAAATTTCCAAGTGTTGACTTGTCAGTCATACCATCGAACCGTTCCCCTCGTCATTCTAGTCAGTCAGTCAGTCAGTCAGTCAGTAAAAAATATTCATTTGTAACAATTGAGGGTCGGCGACGGTGGTTGGATCTTGGAAGTGAAGTCGTTCGCGGACCGGACGTGCTCTTTCACGATAGATTCGTGATAGTGCGCGTTCCTATTACTATGTAATATAATTTACTTATGTTATAATTAATATCTATCTGTGGTTCGTCACGCCCTTGCCCATCAAACTCCATACACTTCTAGTTGATCAAACGAACCGCAATCATTTACCAATCATTACCTCGTTTGTTTTTTGTAGTTGTACACTTAAAGTAAAATTTTATTGATATAAATCGAAGGGGTGTTAGTTGATAGCCGAAATAGCGGGCGGATCTCAGTTGGCGCAACCGAGGTCCGCTGGTACTATACGGATACAGGCCAGAAGCAGTAGCAGACGCAGATATTGATATAAGATATGATAAGTCTCGATTATGCCGAATTTTGTCAAACGTGGCATTTTAAGTTGAATGTTGTTATTTGTAATTTATAATGGTACAATTAAATCGTTATCATGTTATGGTTGTTATTTTATACGAACTCGCCTCTCGCGCAATTCGCGCATACTCGCGCCACTGGCTGGTCCGGTGGCTCAAGATCGAACTAAAGGTGGATCGGAGTACGGCCGTGACCATTCTACCTAATTAAGTTTTATTGTCTGTCTGTGCTTTTATTTATATAATAAAGGTATTTTGAGCTTTAAATTAAAGAGAGGTGAATAACATGCTGTTAAAGTGTTTTAATGATTCCATTTCAGGATCGCCTGTAAATTATTTTATTGTTGTGAAAGGCCTTTTTTATTACATTTGTTCTGTCAGATATTTTTCAAGTTCATATGAATGTTTGTTCTTCAACGTTGTAATATAATTTAAAGAATTTACAAAATGCTATGAATATTTTCATATTAAACATGAATTTTAAAATATAATCACGCATATATAATTAACACTGCATTTTATTTAATAACCTCACCTCTCTATATATATTTTTGATTCACACTCACGTTTTTTTTACCATTTGTCTTTCATTTCTTCATTCAATTCAAATTGATACAATTCTCTTATTATTTTTTCGTTTCTTATCTATCTACATAACACAATCATTAATTTGTATCTGATTAAGAGCAAAAAGAAAACTACCAACAATTTAAATAAAACAATTAGCTAATAAGTTACAAAATACTAATAAAATAGAATGTAACATAAACTAATGGAAATGTTCTATACTTATTTAAATTGTAAACAGTTTTCACTGGGGATCCGGCGCAGTATGTGCGAACCCCAATTTTTGGAGAGCAGCCTTAATATCTTTGTAAACTGTTGGATCTTCTACAGTGCCCGAAATCTATAATAAAGTTGTTATTAATAAATTCGATTTATCATTTTATCTGTTTCTCACCCTAACTTCCTTATTTCGCGCTAAATCCGATATAGATTTCCTGCACGTTTTACCGGAACGAGTTCGAGGCAAACCTCGTACTGCAACAGCCATGCGAAACGCTGCGATTGGTCCGACCAATTCCCTAACCATCCTTAATAAATCGCGACTTATTGCTGTTTCACTCTTTTTGGCATCTGCGATATATCTTCATTATAAAAAGAAAAACAACAACACGTTATACGAACTTCTCTTTATGACATATAAACAGAGGGGGACTTCCCCTTTCGTATGTTCCGGAACTCCGACCACAGTAGCGTCAGCGATATCTGGATGGGCCAAAACCACGTCCTCCAGTGCTGAAGTCGATATTCTATGACCGGCAACGTTAATTACATCGTCGTCGCGAGCGGTCACATATATGTAACCGTACTCGTCCTTGTATCCAGCGTCCATAGTGTCATAATAGCCCTAAGAAACACTTATCAGAAACAGAACTTATTGCAAGAAAAGTTTACTTGAATTATTTTATGTTGTATTTTGCGTCACTTACAGGGTATCGGCTGAAATAAACTTGACAAAATCGTTCCGGAGCTTGGTACAAAGTCGACATTGTCCCCGGTGGTAGAGGCAACTTTATCACAATTCGTCCCAATTCGTTATTTGAAGCTTCCATGCCATCCGACCGCAAAATCTTAATGTCGTAGCCCGGAAATGGCATTCCTGCTGTATATTTCGGAGGACTCAAATTATGACCATAGCCCAAACATGTCGCAGTAATAGCATGACCGGTTTCTGTTTGCCACCAGTGATTCAAAACGGGAACATTGAATGTCTTTTCCGCCCACATTTTTGTTTCATAGTCGCAATGTTCTCCAGCTACGAAAATCGTCCGTAAACTACTAATCGAATATTTTCTCCCGAATTCAATGTCAGGATCTTCTCGATGTATCACACGGAAAGCAGTTGGAACAGTAAAGATTGCATTAACTTTATGCTCGTTAATTATTCTAGAAGGGAATAGGTTGAAAATGTTGGTTTACTTTCAAGGGGTTGCTACCTAAAGTATTGGCCTGGATCTGGGGTACGGTCAGGTTTCCCTTCGTACATAACACTTGTTATTCCATATAAAAGTGGAGCATAACAAATGTACGAATGACCAACAACCCAACCCAAATCACTAGCAGCCCACCAAACATCATTTGGACCCATTCCGTATATGACATTCATACTCCAAGTCAGAGTCGCAATATGACCACCTACCGGTCTCTGTATACCTTTCGGCTGGTCTAAAAATTTTGTCAAAATTATCAATAATGACCCACTTGACGTAAACCTGTCGTTCCAGACGTATAGAGAATATAAAGCGGGTCATTGGCCTCAACTGAGATACATTCATGAGGTCCTGCCATTTTTAACGCATCCTCCCATGTAATATCCATTTCAACGTCTATCGGAGCACATTCGACATTCCGTCTTTGAAAAATAATACACTTATTCGGCTTGTGCGATGAATATTCAATTGCATCATTCAAAATATCTTTATATCTGAAAAAATGAAGTTTTGGAAGAAGCCACAACAGTGGAGGTACCATTCGTACCGTACAATTTTATGCGGTTCAATCCCACAACTCGCTGCGATTATCACTTTGGGCTCAGCGTGTACAATCCTTGCACAAAGCTCTCTCGCTGCAAAGCCTGCAAAAAACCGTTTTCGTAAATTCCTAAATTCGGTACAACCGACCTCCGAAAACAACTGAATGCACTCCCCCAAGTCGTGCCGTCGCTAGCATCGCGATTACAGCTTCGGGGATCAGAGGCATGTAAATCAGCACTCGGTCCCCTTTAGAGACCCCTAATTTGGCCAAAGCCCCCGCGAGATGCGACACTTGATCGAGCAGTTCAGCGTAGGTTATTTTTCTAACGGTTTTAGTCAAGGGACTGTCATGGATGAGGGCCACTTTGGAGCCGCGGCCCGCCTCCACATGCCGGTCTACGGCGTTGTAGCAAGCGTTCAGTTCACCCCCTGCGAACCTAAAACTCGGTGAAAATGTTTGCAAATGCGATTTTTATTTGGAGTACCATTTGGTGAACGGGGGGTGGGAGTGGTCCATCACCTTGTCCCATGGTTTAGTCCATGTGACCAGTTTGCCCACTTCGGGCCAAAATTCTTCAGGATTGGTTATCGATTTTTTGTAGGCCTCTTCGTATTTTTTGCTATAGTAAGGGTTTTCCTTCTCTATTACGTCTGTAAGGTCAAGGCGAAAATTTGAATTGCTCAGTGTTTATTGTGTTTGGCTTGTATACATAAGTCATGCATAAATGGCAAATCTCAATCATAGTTATATAAACATTAAATTTTTCATTTTTTTTTGGACTAATAATAAGGTGTGCTTTGTGGAGTGTCTACACCAAAGAGCGATAAATGGAAAAAAAAACAAAAAATCTTACTTTCGGAATCATACACGTGCCGGTCGTACTTAATATTCCTCACAATGGTACTAACTTCGTTGACTCTTGATTCACACATCGTATTCTGTTCTTTTGGATTTAACATACTATGGAAAACTTAACACCACCAGGCACGCTTTATTAAACAATCGTTTTTAATACACAATAAGAAAATGCCTCGTATATATTAACTATGCTAACCCCCCTCCCTTTTTGTCTTTGGTATTAGTATTTAAAAATGTACATTGTTTATATTCCACTCCAGTAACCTTTAATTATAATAGTCCGGCGCATCCACCCAAACTTGACTACTTACCGATTGCAAATTTAATGTATACCGACTATTTTACATATTCAAACTATTCACACTTATAAATATTGCATTATCTTTTTTGTTAGAGGTTTTTTAGTACCAAAGTGACCGATTTTATCTTTTTTTTACATAAATTTAACCGTTGTTTACTGTTTCAGTCGTCAACACAACTTTTTCAAGAGACCTTGGGCACTTAATTTTTTACTTTTAGTGTAAGTATTTAATTAGCTCTAATTTATTGATGCTAATTTCTTGTTCCCTTAGTTTTACATGTGTTGCTGATTAGATATTTAAGTTTTTCTGGTTTGAAGTTTTCTTAGGATTAGGTTTGTTCATTCAAAATGTTTCTATCCCATACTAATTTGTTTTATTACAGTTATTACAAGGGTTAACATGTTCAAGAATTTTTGTGCGGACATATGACCATAGTTAGTGTTCTGTTTCATTTCATTTTTCGTTCTGTATCTTAATTAATAAATGTTTTTCGGTTCAAATTGACTTTTATTTATTTACCTTCAACTAAAATATGAAATATCATGTTTTTTGGTGATTTACATTTTATAACTGTTTTCGCCTTGGTATAATGTGCAGAATATTAAATTAATTTTTTTTTTTAAACCGAAATGTAATTAGACATTGTTATTTTGCAATTTTACATTCAAATAGAAAAAAATTAAAATTGCTTGTGTTAGACTAAACTTTAAATAAATTACAATAAATATAGTGAAGTTTACATATGCAATCGTAGTGTATATTTCTATTTTGACCACTTTCCTACAATTTTAAACAAACTAATTCAATTCTCAATAAATTTCTGGTACTTTTGCATACGTCTTTTGGAACATAAACATCAGAACTTAAACAATATTAAAATAAAAGATTTTTCTGTGTTAAGAAAATATTAAAATAATGAAAATTCGTTTTGATTTAAGTTCTTACTAATCATTATATCAATGATTATATCAATAATCATTTGTTCATAATATTAACTTTTTTTAATAATGTAGATTTTTGCAATTTTAAGTTGTAAATGACAGTGGTTTTTAACTTTTATTCAAAAGTTTAATGCAAAATTATTGTGGTACAACGGACGTTTTTCTTAAAAAAGTACAAAAAACTATAATCCAATAAATAAATATAATTTAGAGACAACCAAAATTTTACTAAAAAAGTATTAAAGCGAATTTTGGAGACTTGCAAAGACATATACCGAATATTTAAGTCTTCCTAGTTGTAAAATTGTGTTCATTAAACAATAAAACCGGATGTGTGTAGTAAAGTTCAATGGATTTGTTGTTTTAGGTGTACGTACGCATATTATCCAGATGTTTCCGTCCCAGAACATTTAGAAAAGTAAATTGGTAAAAGCGATTATCGCACTGGTAGGTAAATAAATAAATATTTTAAAATCAGGTAGAAATCCAATTTTTGGTATTAGTGGTGACGATCTAGTCGACTAAAGATGCCAGATTTTGAATATTTTGATTGGTGTTGCAAATGGGTGTAAGTAAGTGTTGTATATTTTTTCAGGAAGAATGTTTCTTTAATATGGTAGGTAATGTAAACGGTGTAAGAAGTGTGAGTTAATCTAGCGTATTATTGTTAGCAGACAATAATTTGGTCGTGTGTTTTTATTTACACCCACTTAATGTCATGGTAAAGGCAGTGCATTTAAGCAGGGGCGTACTAGGTTCCGCGGAACACGGGCCCTAACTCTCATGGGCCCGTGCCGGGCCTTTCATTTGCTCTAATTCAGCTTTATTTTTTTAATATTCTTATGTTTGCAATTTTTCAGTTATTTTATTTTACGATATAAATCATAATCAGTTTGTTGAAATTTGTACGTTCATCATTTAAAATAATTTGTTACTTATGTAAGTTGCTTAATTAAAAAAAAAAACAATGGGTACTTTGATTTCAATAATGATTACTATAAAAGTAAACTAAACTTTGGCATTAAGATTTATTTATGTAAATGGTCCTTAAATATTAAAAACATTTAGCGGGAATTCAATTTTCATATTACAATTTTATAATTGTTATATTTTTTATTTGATTAGTTTTTGATAAGTAGTAATATCACGAACATACGGGCTCGTCCATGTCTCACTACACCACTGCATTTAAGAGTAATTCCAGTAAAACGCTATGATAAAATAAATCAAGCTGTAATACGGTGTCATGAACATATGGATCTTTTCTAAGTAGATAATGGTGTACAACAAAAATTTGTTTGTTTAAGCAACCACTTTCAGAGTTATAGTAAACTTCATATTTAATAGAATTTATAATTCTATCGTTATGTATAATACTTTCCGGTCTTTGTACGCGCATGCAAATGCTGTCATTGTTTCTGACTTCTGACCTCTTCTTCGTAAGCAGGCCTTCTAAAGTACTTGTCCGATTGTTAGCGAACTGACCAACTACTTTTCTTTGAAACATCGTAGCCTTTTGGACTTTAATCTTGCTCCAAAGGTCTGTCCAAGTGACTAATAATCAAGAGCGAGTCTTGAGACGCAACGCCTTCTCAAAAAAGGATGTAAATGTGGCTCGAATACCAAATAAACGAAGGGATCAACCTGCGAGCATCTGTACGTCTATTAGTAAATAATTGTTGTTTATCGCTTAGAGAGTTCAATTAGGTATTCGAAGCGAGACTTTGTATTATTTAAATTGGCCCTGCCACTGATTCTTTACGTCAGAGGAGAACCTAAGCTGGCCCAACCTTGCAGCCGAAAAAACCTTTTTGTTATTTTACGGCCGCCATTAAAAAATATTGAGTGATATTGATTACCTGGACCTGAGACCTATATCACTTTATTAAAGCGAACATAATAAAGCTTTCTGTCAACATAATTGTTTAATTTATTAACAAATATTGATACTTTACGTTGATTAACTTTCATGTATCGATTTTGCTCTTAATTTTTAGTTATGTCACTCCAAGACTGCTACTACCGACTTTATAAATATGTGGATATCTATATCAGTTATTTTAACACACGCTGTATTTAACAGCCAATAATGGTATGTTTACACCGTCTTTGAAGATTAGCTGACCTAGTCGGGATTCAATTAAGTTCTGGACCTCCTTTAAGCTATACACACGCTGTGCTAAGAACAAATTAGGAATGGACTTTGAAGTCGGATACTATTATATGGATTCCATCAAAAGGAAACATGACCCTTTGTAAGGCTCATTCTTCTATTAGCTTAAATCATAACAAACTTTTTCTGTGGTAGAGACAACAAAAAAAAACAAGCTTTAAGAAAATATACATTAATAAACCAAGAAAAAAGCAATTTATATTCTGTAACATTGACATGCATTATCGAATATATTACAATATTTATTGCATCCTTTATTTCCATTTATTGCTTCTAAGTTGTTACTACGACAATAAAATGATTCTGAAACAATAAAATTATTTCTCAATTTATTTCATTAATTAATAAGGACTGCGGGACAAATATTTCGAATTTTCATTTATCAATACTTTATTTCCATTTTTGTGGTTCATTAGACTTAATTGTAATTTCGAACTTCCTTTAATAATTCTAAATTAGCTGTCTAATTTTGTCCCGAATTTGGCGGCCTTGACGAAACTGGCAATTTTAAACACAAAGACTAAAATAACTTGATAGTAAACACTTAGGTAGCTAATCTAGGATTTCATTGCAGTATTTGTGCATTTGTATGGGTATATCTAAGATCTAATTCATTTGTGTACGGAATTTGCCCTTCTTGCCACGATTTGGATGGACAATAGCCAAACTTGGGAAGTTTCACTCAAGCAACAGGAACCTAGTAACACAATATGTCAATTTCGCCTAAAACAGCTTTAAAATACTTACACCAAATTTTAAATAAAATTTACAAAAAGCAACATAAAATTTAATTTGAGAGTAATTTAGCGTTGGCAATTCCAATAATACACAATAACTTAATTCTTAAATTTAATTTAAACTATATTTTTTATCTGGTGCGGAGCGACCAGCGATATTTTCTTAATAAACACAGTGTTTTCTAATAAGTAGAAGAGTCCGAAGATCTTTCTTATGTTTTCAAAAATTTTCCGAATGAAATAAAAAATCAGCCTTAATAAATAGTGTTTTTTCATTTTTCTACAAACTGACTACCAAAAAGATTCTTAAATATTTGTATAAGTACTTAATAACATTACCTACACAATTACAATCCAATTAATCATTATTAATAATTAGCCAGGTTTGAGATATGCGTTATTTTAAAATTGTACTCTTTTTGCTTTAAATAATTAAAACTCTTTGTTTTCTGGAAATAAATATTACAATAAAACCTGCTGTTTGAGATTTTTATTTTTTTGAATTTCTCCTTTTTCCTTTTCCTCTTGCTACCTACGTAGCATTCTTTAGAAAAAAAAACATTTATCTAAAGTCACCTAAATAATATGTATGTATAATTTTTTATAGCTTCACCCAAAATGTTTTTTTTTTGTAGAATCATACGGTTTTAAAAACTTTTCAGATTCCAAAAATTAAAATACGACACAAAAGTAGTGAGATTTGAATCTGAAACTTTGAAAAATAAGACATGTATGTATGTAACATACACGCTTGATTTGTAAAAACTTGGAGACAATTAAGTAAATTTACCCGAGAGCTCCGATTGGTCTTTTACTAGTTTGTGATTAATCGAAATGCAGGTCTTGAAGTGGCAAAGAGGGTGTCTCATTGTTTGCAAACAAATAGATTTCATGTAATTAGCAATGTGGTATGTTCTTCTGTAGTGGCTGGTGATTGAATTATCTTTGATATAAGTCAGCATAATCGCGGGGCCCATACTGTATCAATTAGCAGATGATGGGTGCCATCACGTCAAAGATTGTTAAAAGAATAATGGGTTTATGAAAACATGATGATGCGCAAGTGGTGATAACACCAGGGGTGGGAAAGCGCAAAGAAACGTAGGCGCTTGGCGGCCGTAATATATAAAAGAGATCTCATCTCGTCCAAACGGCACATTAACCCTGAAATTTCCAGTGGTAGTTCCTCACTTCCAAGTAAGTGGTCCTCCGAATTCGGCAATTTTTTTGTGTGTGCGACGCATCAAGTGGTAAAATTTTTCATTACGCGCTTTCATTAAAGCCAAAGTTAACAAACAAAAGAAATGAGTTAAGTTTGTGGCTTTTAACGAAGTTTTTGTTTTTTCCAAAAGTTCGTTTCGCGTTTCGAGAAAAAATCTAATTTGAAAATTTTTAAAATTGGGACCGTCCGTGCCATTTCTGTTTACAGATGATGCGAATTTGTTTTACGTGACGGTAACGGAACAACAAAAACGTGATGTTGGCCGTATTTAGAATGATTATTTACATTTTAAATCGAAGTAGATTAGTGGTGTTTTTCAGAATGCAACAATACACGTTCGTGGCTATTGTTTTTGGAGCGGTTGCTGTGTTTCTGATCAACGCTTCCACGACGGCATATTACATCAGTTGTCCTCCGAATGATGCCCTAGAAGCGTCTTCTTCTGTACGACACCTATGCTCTGCCCTCGAACAAGCTGTCAGCGATAATGTCATTCAGGATGAACCATGTAGGTATATTTTAGCTCACTTTGAAAAAATAAAATAAAAAATGAACAACACTGAAAAATATCGCATTACATGCGCTTATCCATTAAACCTTATTGAATATTTATGAAGACTGGAAACGCGGGATTAGTGTGTTGTATTGAAAAATGGTTTTGTTACAGACAGGAGACTGGTTGGAAGAAATGTGAACCCTAACACGAAAAGGCAAGATGTCGACCATGTCTTTCTCCGCTTCGGGAGACCTTTCGGTTTATAAGACGCGCTATCCTCAGCCAATAACGCTTCTTCTCTACCGACTTGTTTCAATAAATTAATGTTTCGTTACTTGCAACGATATGATTTGAGTGAACTAGGAATTCTTGTGACCGAATAAAACAGTATTATTGTAATTAAATTAATAACAGTATATTTATAAGTATTCGGCTGACTATTATTTCAAAAAACTATTTTAAGCTACAAATATTTACCTTACAACAACATACATTATGAGTGTAATCGATAATAGGCATAATAAACAGAAGCCTTGAATGTTTACGTAAATCACATAAACTTAGCTACTCACCCAATTCCTTGCTATCATTAAAATCGTATCATCTTTTGTCTCCTAAAGGGTTCTCAGATAATAAAAATCAAATAAATAAGATGACTTTTATTTAACAATTTTCCGAAATACAATCAGGTTCGTATTTGTCATGTTCAGGGACAATATTTGCTAAGAAATTGTGATTACTAGAGAAACTCTTAAACGTTTCAACAATCAATCACAATTCCAAGCATCACAAAAATAAGGCGAGTTTATTCACAAAAATCAACAACTCTCCTGAAACAAACTATATTCTAAATGACAAATATACTAGAAGTGAGTGATAAATTGAGCGGCTATTGAGACAGAAAGTGATAAGTCGCAAACAAGGGTTTAGGGCTCTTCCTTGAAGTACGAAACGAAAACTACATCCCCTCCGACGTTAATAAGGCATTGACCCTGAAACGAATTTTTTAATCAAATTTAATTTGAAACGACACCAAAAATTTCTTTTTCACGTCCGAATGAGCTACAAGATTTAACTAAACTTCTTTGTGTTCGAATAAATGTTTAGTTTTTTTCATGGTCAGATTTTTGACACACATGCAATGTAATTAAAAATACAAAATAAATATTTGAAAAGATTTATTTCTGTAGACAATGAAGGTTTGAAACCGTAAATCTTGCTGTGTTATGGTAATTAGTTGTAGATGTGTTAATTGTGGTAAGTAATTTTGTTGTAAATTTAATCTTAAAAGCAATTTCAAGTTGGCTCTGAGGTTGTTTTCCAACTTGAAAATACTTTTTCACAGTAACCTAAAAATGTAAAAATTTGAGATATTAATACGCGTAATCGGTTATTTCCGGATTTTAGTGCAGCAGTATCCGTTGTGACAAATCACGCGACAAATGTCATAATTTTATTCGTTTTAAATTATTGGCGCAATTGAAATGCCTCATGAATATTCGGAAAAAGACGCAAACGTATCTATTGATCGCGTCATAATTTCATTGTCATTAGGGAGACAAACGTATGAATTATGTTCATATTGTATGTATATAACACCCAGAGACTAATAGAAAATTAAATAAATAACTCAAAAATACGGACTTTGTCATTACGCAAATTGTTATTTTCCTGAAAGCTTCGATGTAATGGAACTGCAACCGTGGGAGATCGAGTTAGGAAAATTTCGTACGACTCAACAAGTCGCCACTTCCCTTTTCTAATTAAAACTTCGGTATTTCCCGATTAAATAAAAATTGTGTGTTGTAACACGATAGTCTTGTAAAAAATACATTGAAGACAGCTCTTGATATTGAAATAAAATACCTGTTTTAAGTAAAATACACTCTTCATTTATCATAATGTCAACTTGAAAATGAGATTTTTCGCGGCACTACTGCCAATTTTTTTTAAAAAGATTGGAATACCGCCAAATTTTCCTTCCTACGCAGGGAAAAGTTTTATTACCTAACACTCTAAATACCTTTATTCCCATGTGTTGTTTCATAAATTTATATTTGACTCATTACAACTGAGCAGTTTTACAAACTCGAGCTTAATCCAGTAAACACTACCACTAGCGTCGAGAGAAGTTGTTTCTCTCTCCACGACTACTAGTAAGGCCCCGTCAGCACACAACACTTTTTTTTTTAAGAATTCTACCCTGTTTTTAAAGATATATTCGTATAATTCAATATTTCAAGGAATTAAAAAAGTTACATTTTTAACGATTTTGCCCTGTTTTTCGGTACCTTTATTAAAAAAGTTAAAATTTTAAGAATTCTGCCCTATTTTTAAGAAATATAAAATTCAATTTCGGCAAAAAAATTACCTTCTGAAAAACAGTTAAAATTTAAGGATTAGCTGTTTTTAAAGGTATATTCAAAAAACAAATATTTCAAGGATTCTACCATGTTTTTAAATTAGTTTCACAACTACAGGATGTGTCAGAACTCGCGCCCTAGAGAAAAATTTCAAGTAAGATAAAATACTAGGAACATGGAAAAAATGTTTAAAAAAAAGTATGTCAAAAAATTTTGACATTTATTTTTTGACGTTTGAATTTTTTTTATGTCTATTTAATGATAGTGATCATCTTGTATATGTTTTTTTATAATTAATTAGTAATTACTAAAGGTACAAAAATTTTGCCAATAAAAGCCAAAAATAATATTAAACAGAGATACAATTTAGGATACAGCTTCCTTGTTTCCTCTTCTAATAGCCTGTAGCAAAAAGACTTCGGAAATTATTTTTCCAATAAAAATAAATAAGAGTCAAAAGTGCAAAATTTAAACTCTGTTAACTTTTTATAGGTAGATTTTTTTTTAACATTTTTTACATGTTCCTCACATGGCATTTTTCTCTGGGGCGCGAGTTCTGGCACACCTGTATATAAAGTCTAAAAAAGTCATTCCAGAGACGATATTAAAGCTAGTTTGTTTAATAAAGTTTTCAGTTGTTTGAAAATACCTAGATTGGGACAATGAATATTGAAAGTACTAAAATCAAATGGAGCAGCTATCATTAACATATTTGAAAATTCACTAGGAAATAGTTCATTAATAATTCCGTGTATACTAGGTGATGCTAAAGCTAAAGCTTTGCAGGTTAATATCTCTCTTATTAAAAAACATTATTAAAAAATATTTCGGTTATATAAATGGAAGGCAACATAAATTTGAAAGAGGATAATGGAATATCTACAGTTTGTAGCATTTCAAATGAAGAAATTTGTTTTTTCTTATGAACCTGTGATTTGCACTTGAAGCGAGGTGAAAAGGAACTAGCAAAAACGGCTGCGTATTTTAAAACAAGCGCGTATCCTTTACTGCTCTGTGATCTTAGCCATTTTTTTTTCTGTTGAACTACAATCAACAGCAAACAATCGAAAATGAACGGTAAAAGTGTGTAAACTCACTTATCTACAGCATGGTTCACATTTCTCTTGTTTCATTAATTTTAGTCGTGTATTGCCCGAAAGATAATCCAATCGAAATGACCGTAACTTATGAGGAAGAACGAAGAATGTTTGATAATTATTGCCAGAGTTGCTTGTTTGTTTTTATTAAAAATTAGTGAATAACCTCAAGTTTTTCATTTGTAAAATAAGTAAGTTTAAAAAAATCTTTTTATGAAAAAAAACTTCTCTGCGGTGACTATGCTGCTGTTTTTCTCATTGTAAGAACCATTTACACTGTACTTTGTATCAAGTAAAGTGAAATCAAATTTTATATTTCTTAAAAACAGGACAAAATTCTTAAAATTTGGATTTTTATAAAAAAAAGTACCTAAAAACCGGACAAAATCGTTAAAAATGTTACTTTTTTTAAATCCTTGAAACACTTGCTTTTTTAAATACAGAGTAAAATTCTTAAAAAGTGTTGTGTGTTGACGGGGTCTTACTAGTAGTAACACTTGATAAAATATGTAAATATGCGGTGTCACGGGAAAAGTAGATTGTTTTTTTTTTCTTCAGAAAAATATAGATATCTGCAAACATTATTACCCAATTATGAAATTAAATAGTTTCGCTTTTGAACTTCTTGCAAATTAAATAAATAACAGAAAAATTGAAACATTGTATAAATAGTTGAGGTTTCGTTAATCGTTAGTTGTGGTGGCGCCACATGTCGGGTCTTCTTGAAATCGTAAAGTCAATCACATAACACAGCAAAGATCGAGTCAAAGTACCCTAAACAAACATATACTTGAATTAGACAATACGCAATTTGCATCTTTTGAGTCCATTGTTGTAACACAAAAAGTACTTACTTGATTTTTGTGAAGATTATGATTTAAAACACATTCTGTCATGAAATAAGCCACCATTGCGTTCCCACCTAAAGCTGTAACATGTGCGCGAACAATTGCCAACACTTCGGTTACAAAACTGTGGATGAAACCACTCAATCCACCCTCCTATAACATTAATAAATTGAATTTGATCTGTTAAAATTTTTAATGACTAACTTCTCGAATCGATGTTGTTTCTCTAATAAAAAAGAAATTCAAATTTCCTAAATAATGCTCTATTTTGCCACCAGGTACATAAGATAGTGGAGTAATATCAACCCCGTGTCGCTCTTTATACGGCATCTGAAACATTTAAATAATAAGAAGAATACATTTTTGTTTTAACTACATGTCTCTGTTTCACAGTCTGAATCCTGTTTCTTGATGGAGACTTTTGCCGTAGTCGCATGCTGTGAGTATTTAAGTGTGTCTGAGTGACACTATTTTCAGGTATTTGATCCTCCTCCAAATTGAAAATCATGTCGTCTTCTAAAAAAAGACAAAATCAAATCTAAATGAAAACAATTGAAACACTACCTAACCGTATCGTTTCGTGACGGTATTTTTTCGTTTGAATCTCATTTTTTGGGGATCGCCCAATCCCAAAGCCATCCCTTTAACAAATCATCAGTAGTCGTAATTTACGAACAATCGAATACTACCTAATACACATAATTGAATTTCATCTGTTTCGGGTAAATCGACACGAAATTGCAGGTCGCACAAGGCGCAAGGTACCATTCTGCGTAATTTAAAATATACACTTTGGAGTAATCGGTGTAAGTGGACGTCGAAACTGTAAGGGGGTTGAAATTTCGCTCGGTAGATTTGTGTGAACATTTGGAGGTTTTTAACGATTTCTAGTTCTTCTAAACCGGGGACAAATTCGGTATTGACTACATGGAAGCCTTCAGGGGGGCGTTGCTCCATTAACATATTTACAACATCCGCGTCTTCAGGGTCGTCAACCTGACAAAAACAAAACTGTATTCGAGTGACTTAATTTATTAAATAGTGTTACTTCAAGAACGCAGCAATCTTTATTGCCCAATGATAAGTCAATAGATGTTTGTTCTTCTTCGGAGTCGTCATCTGACATAACTCGGCCGTTCTGACACTCATCCTACGCATTCAATTGTCAATATTTTGAAAACCAGGAAATTGACTGACTTACATTACTTTTCAATTGATAAATCTCTCTATTTTTTTTCACAGTTTCATTCAAAAGTTTTTGTAAGTCTGCTAATTTTTTTTCGTCGGAAGAACGATCCGATACTAGTTTTGGTAATACTGGTGTGGGTAAAGGTGTGAGAAAAACAGCAGTGCCGGTTGCAAGTCCCACTAGTGTTTTTTCGCCGATTGAAATTCGAATTTTAAGGCCGAAAATTCCGTTCATTCCTTTTATTTTCAATTTATTGATAAGTAGGCGGTGCAATTCGTACTCTAGAAAGGGCAAACCGTCGGAAATTTCTTTCGCATTCGACTCACCCCTCAAATCTTTTAATTGTCTGAAAGAAACTAGTAGAAAAAACTAATGTTACTATTTGTGTACATACCTACAAACAAATGACTGTATGAAACAACCCCGCCCTATGGTTGGTGCCCCATCAGGCAGTTCAATTGTTGTAATCAAGACATCGGGGACCTTCCCACTCCGACAAATCCCACATTTTAAAACTGTTGCTCTAATTGGAACATTATTGCTATTGTAGGGTAAGTGACACAAAGCGCAAGATGGGGTAAGATGTCCAGAAACAATATCGCGTTCTGGACTTTCTGGTAACACTTTTTTCTATAAAACAATTTTTATTTTAGAACAATCGAAGGATTGTGGCTTTATCAACTTCCACGCGATATCATAAATTGGAAAAACTTAACATTTGTTAAAAAAAATCGCGTGGAAGTGGACTCGGCCAAAAAGTGTATTACGTTCTCTAGTGACTTTTTGTGCTCTTTTTCGAAGTCGCTCCGATCCAAAGACGTGCTTAATAAGTCCTTGTTATGCTGGCGCGTAATTAAGGGGAGTCCCCCGATGCTATCACCCATTTCGCCCGTGTATTGGAAACCTATAACTGCAGCAGTGCCGCTCGCACTCAAAACACAAACATCCTCGCTAAAATTTTTTCGTTATTTTTGTCCTCATAATTACGAGTCTGATTACCAAATACTTGTAGTCTCCGAATAGCCCAATACTGCGTTGCAATTCAAAGCTCTAGCGTGCGACCGAATTTCCATCCGGATTTCTGACCACCAAGTATCCCTAGATTCGGGTTCTTCAAGATTTGATATCCTTTCTAGTAATTTCACCGAACGTGCACTGACTGCACCTCCTTAAAAACAATAATTATGATTGATTGATTACAAGTTTCTGTTTTACCCAATTGTGTGATGAAACCTTGAGGATACTTGGTCATTGTTAGAAACGGGTATTCGAGCATGTCAAAGTTTTCTTGAGGGACTGTGGCTCTTAAGAAGTTGCTTTTAAATAAATGTCCGTTGGCTGTTGATCTGTCACTTCCAGTTAAACTGTTCCCTGGGCAAGGTTTACGACAAATAAGTGCTTGAGTGGTTAAGTTTTTACACCACATTGATTAAAGATAGGTTAAAGAATGAATGTCTAGTCTAACGTTGCCACATAAAATGATTAATGTCTTTTGAAATTGAAAATGAGCATGTTAGTGACCCCAGTTGTGAAACATTAAACAGTAAAGTCAATGCAACAGTTATTTCTGGCAAGCGCATTATACTCACTTTTCCTATAGAATCCTATGGTAAGAAATAATCAACCAAGAAAAGAAAAAAATGCTTTAAAATGATTTCTAAATCGTGGGGTTTTTATTTCGACTGACTCTAATTATTATAGTGACTTGAAATTGGTTAAAACAAAATCAATTCACCTTTTGGTGTGATGCTCAGATCAGAATCGGACGATCGCCGGTAGATACAAGGTACGCTGTTTAGTTTCGCAGGAGATTGTACCATTTTTGTCCCAAATGATTCGGCTCGATGGTGGCCTGGTTCAGGTAGATGTTCCGGGATTGGTGAACTATTATGCCTAAGAGAAGGGGTTAAGCTTGCATGCATATTATTGCTAACGCTAATGCCTCGATCAATTTCTGTATTGACAGCTAAGGCAGTGTCAGACTCCTCGGTTACATTATTGTCATTAGTACAAGTTAATATAGACGAGGAAGGGAAAACGGGACATTTATTATCTTTTTTTTGAGTTTTATCAACCTGAGACGTGGCTAAAATATCCTGAACCGTTTCCATAACAACATTTCCTAGGGCCGTACCCAATAACCCATGCTTCTTAACAGGATCGTCACTTTTTTTACTGCTTTTATCCTCACTTTCGGAACTCTTACGCGACCGGTGCAAAAACGAGAATCTTTTTTTATGTAACTCGTCACTTTTGACTTTCTTTAAATTCGACTCAGGATCGTGCGATTTCCTCCGACTCAAATGTAAAAAACTGAATCTCTTTTTTCTCAACTGTTCATTTGAATTTAACACTTTGGCTTTATCTAACGCACTGTCAGAAAAGCAACTCGACTTAAGTTCTGTTTTACTAAACAGACATGGGTTTGATTGCCTTCGTATGTTATACATCGATGTAAAGGGTGCGCCGAGGACAGTTTCGCGCTTATAAGAGCAATCATCTAGAGATATAGCAGTAGAAGATCGCGGCAATTTGTTTAATTGGACGGAACTTAATGAAGAAGTGGGTGAAAAAACACTAAAGGCACTTGATTTTGTTGCTATTGAAGACGGGGACATTGGTGGTGTATAGGTTCCTATTATGTTAACTTTCTCTAGAAGAATTGTCTGCATGGCGGTTTTAAATAGGCCCTTATGTTTGATGTCACCAGAGATGTGCACTGGTGGAAGTATACTTTTTGAATTAAAGTCAGTTAAATCCATCTCATGAATCGAATCTTTGCCATCCGATTCTTCATCAGTTTCAATTTTAGCAATCGGCGCCCGCGAATCTTCCAAATAATTCTCGGGAATATCTTCCGCGATGTTGTCCTGTTTCGAAACATCCGGAAATAAAAAAGGGTTAATTGTTTCTTCACTTTCTTCCTCATCTAAAGACAACGTCGATAAAGACATTTGTTTAATATAGCTTTTGGCAACTGTATTATTTTGTTCTAATAGTTCAACATTCTTAATGATGTTACTAACTGTCTCAAAATTGATATATTTCGAATCTGAATTATCTTCGTCATCTTCCGAACTTAACGACGGTGAACTTGACGAAGAAACAATACTCGAGTGTGACTCTAAAGGGTCTTGGACGCTAAGTAATGGCTCAGACGCGGTTTTTTCTAAAACCGAAACTGTTTCTATTTCATTATTTATCTCTACATCTGCACTTTCTGAAGAAACTGAATCTTGTGTTTCTAAAATACATGTCAGACTGTTGTGAGCGTGTATCACTGACCGTGCTAACACTTCCGCCATAACACTAGAGTCACTTATTGTTCTTTTGAATTTCAAGTATCTCTTTTTTTCGGGTGCTGTGACATTCTCCTGGTCAATTTCCTCCCCGATCCCTGAGTCTCCCAATCTCGCTTTTAACGCTGTCATTTTTTTAGATAACATACTCTGTGAGGAGTATTTGAAATTTCTAAATTTTTGACTAAAACCATAACCGGGAGTCCCTCTCATGTCCTCTTGTTTGAGTAATGTCCTAACCGATGTATGGTGGATAGGTTCGTTCAAAGTCGGATTAGATTGTGTCGATCTTAACTCAGGCTGGTATATATGTTTCGGTAAATGTTTGTATCTCGGGTTGTCTATATTAAGGGTCGGGATGGGTGCGATAAAGGGTGATGAGTGTTGTGGAAACATGGATTTGTGTTCGGGATCGGAACTAAGGCGGAAGCTTGCTTGGGAGCCAAGGAATTTTAAGTAACTCTGTGCACGCCTACATGCAACAGGATAAAAAAATATATTATTCCCACGTTTCAGTGATTAAGTATGTCGTTGTTACTATACTTACTCCTCATTCAGTGTTGAGGCGATGGTGGGATGGGGTGCGTCCATTACTCGGGCTAGTGTGACTGCTGTTCCGATCCCACGAGCGACAATTCCTGACTCTCCCTCCAAGTCGAAACACTGACAATAACCGATAACGGCATTTCCGCCCAAATCTAAAGCCTTAACGCCGATTTTTCGCTGCAACTCTCCTGATAACTTGAAAAAAAGGGTCTGACGGGCTTCGTTAGAAGCTCGCGGAGTACGGATTTTATCAATCCATTGGTATTCAGGATCGTCGTTGACTATAAGCTCTTCGACAAAACCATGAACTGTTTGAGCAAAATATCCATGAGGGATGGCTTTGGCTGAAATGAGGGGGTTCAGTAGAGGTTATAAAAAAAGCGAGCAGGTGTGTACAACAAAAAAATTGGATTCCACATGATGATTGTCTGAATCGGTTAAAATCCGAGAATAGTTCTACTTTAACAACGATATTAACTTCTCCTCTGATACCATGCATTGTGTCATAGACTGGTATCCAGCCAGACATAACTGAATTTGATGGGTGTTCATGATTACCATCACCATTCCACCCATATCTGACTAATAAACCAGTTGCTGGTAGGAGTAAAGGGTTCAAATCTAAGTACACTTTTCCTATAGCATCATTGGCTGAGTAAGTATCATGATCCATCAGTCTAATCTGCAAGGGTTCATCTTGAAGTTCCGAATCGTCGACCTACGAGCAACGTTAGCCCATGTCCCACCAAATTAGGCGACATACCTCAAACCTGTACCACTCCGAGTTCCAATGGGGGTGCAGCGACTTGCGACAAACATCAGTTTTGTACGTCGTACTGCCTAATTTGATCTCGACATAAGCATCAGTGGTGTCACTCGACCTGTCCATCACAGGGAGGTTCCGCCCCGATATTATTTTCACTTTAACTTTCCCAGGCATGATTTTCTCACAGTTTCATCACAATTGAGCGAGTTTGAGGTTAAGTACAAGGAGCATTTTTTTAAGTAAACTAAAGCAGTGATTTGAGAAATGACGTCGTTAATTACATATTTTCCAAGATTTCACTTATTTGCCAATGCTTAGGTGGTATTTTTAGATTTTAGAGGTTAGTTGGTGAGGGATGACAGGTTTGTCAATCGTGGGTTTGTGGGCCAAAGTGTGTGAGGGGCAAAGAGGAAAGGAATTTTAGGCGCAAAATTTAAATTATTTTGTTTAGTTTGTTGATATTTCTGATTAAATTTAGTTTTAGTTTGTTTTACTAACACCGGGGATTTATTGACAGTTTGAGTAACTATCTGATGATGTCTTTACGTCTGCTTTTTATTTTTAGCTTGAGTGGTGTTTGCCTACTCTGTAGGGTTATTTAAAAAATATTAATAAAAATTTTGTTTTAAGAAAATCAGTTGCTTTAGTACTTTTTTGTAATTGTAAGAAATATTGTGTCAACATGATTATAAATTAAATATTTAACAACAAAGTGGGAGAAAATACAAAAATGATATATGTAAACAAGTAAAGAAGCAAACGCAACTTTTATACAATGTTATTGTATAAATGCCCTACAGACGCAATGGTGACGGTAAAATTTTGAATATGTGTAAATTTTTTAAGTGAGAAATACAGCTACAGGTCTATAGATAGATTGACAGATAGATTTACAGTTACAGGTTGCAGATAAATCTACAGATACAGGTCTGTAGATAGATTTGCAGATAGATCTACAGCTACAGTTCTGTAGATAAACTTACAGATAGATCTACAGATTCAGGTCTGCGGCCCTGCTTGGCTTGGTTAGATTAATTTCTAACACAATAATAGTTTTGAGAAATTAAATAATTTATAAAAAAAACTTATTTTTCTGTAAAGTTAGAGAACGATTTTCGAAAAATCTCTTGTTAAAAGACGTCTACGCCCAGCCTAGCTACAACGATGTATTTAAATTTCATAAGTTCATAAGCTATTAAAGTAGCCCAGTTGCTGTTGGTTTAGCAATGAAGTTGTTTAGGGACGAGAAATGAAAACAAGTGGTAACAATTATTCTGCGTATTTTTATTGTAAATGCATCTGTCTGGTACATTAACATTATAACAGGTAAATGATTATTTATTGTATTAAATAGTCAATAAGTGTTCCAAGCGATTATGTGCTGAAACACGGGCAGGCAGTGCTATACGGTACAGATTCCTATATTAGTAACTATCAGTAACAACGTTATTTTACATCTGATAACTATTAGCACGTGTAGCTAACTAATGTACAGCTATGACCCGTTATTGCGTATATAATAGTTTCGTAAAAAAGTGTGTCGCAAACGCGTGTATTAAAATTTCAAAAAAACAATATTAAAACTTTGGAAGACCATTCAGTAATATAAACATCCATGCATCAAACCTGACCGAAGAATAATAACTTTTAATTATTTAATGAAATAGTGACATTTTAATATTGTTTCATCGAAATTCCAAACAAAATAAGTCAAAAATGAATGGAGTAATTAATCAAAGACGTGCCTATAGTGATCAATCACATTACTGTATTACTGTACATATTTATAACATTTATTTAAGGGTCTATTGAATGTTTGATGACTGCATACACATCTGAATTTGAGCAATTTTTTACGTTTAGTTAAAATGAAATAAATGTGAAAGTAGGCCTATCAAAAAATGAGTTTGAATTCTTGTAGTAACAATAACAATAGTAGAACAAAACATAAAAGAAATAATGTAACGTGGGGAAAAAAGTGCTTGATTAGAGTCATGTTCGTATGTATGTATGTACAAGTACAAGGAGTTGGTGTCAACGGCTATCCTATCGGGCTGTCTGCTGTCGAGGGCCTGCGCAACTATGCTAACTAATAGTTAAGGGATTTTTCAGTTGGACTCTGAAGTCTGGAGTCTGGACTGTTTCAGGTAAACCAGGCCGCCGACACGACGTTATGCAGCACATTACAGTATAACACTGCCCAGTCTCATCCATTCTACTCTAATCTAAACATACGACAGTGTTAATATTTGACTGATGTCGCTGGAGCTCGCGCACGGGTCTATTGTCCTCGATAAAGGGTGGTGTGTTCGTTATGATGGTAGTCGTTTTGTCGAAACAAATCCGCATCGACATTAACTAACGGTCTGACCAGTAATGTGTGAGGGCTCCGGTTGACTTATCATCTGGCAATTGAGCTGTCTACGGATTCGAATCTTTGCCACCGTTAACAACTGATTCTCAGTGTACGTAAGATCGGCTAGACCTAGAATCAGCCATCATCCAAACGTGACACTACAACGAAACTATATCGATAATACACCATGTGTTTGTTTTTTATATGTCAGGCCTTCTTTATCTCTAGCACACGCGGAATCATAACGATTGTCACTCGGCGATATAAGGAACAAAATAATCATTTTCGTACGTCGTGTGTTTATTATTATATAACAATCACCAAGCGTTGGCGCTGCAGTGTCTCAAAAAATAAAAATAATTCGGGCCGGACTTTCAAAATTGTCACATTGCCCCAGTCACTATTTACCGAACACCAAACCGGTAGGCCTTTGCGGTTCTCACATGGAAGCCACATGATTTGTTAGCCAGCGATGATGAAAGCCAAGGTTTTATTTGCCGCGGTAAATTTCGATGATTCTGTCTTGATCTACGTATTCGAAGATGTGAGGTGCATCCATGAGGATCCCCACCGTACCAGCTGTGGTTACAATAAAGAACATATATAATTGGAGTCTGTCTATCACCATAGCCACGTACTTCCAATCTTCTCTTGTCTGAAAGCAACTTTTTTTAAAATCACCAACACCGATTTTTTTTACTCACTTGAATATAAAGATCTTCGTTGCGTAAATGTTCTGCGATAAATTCAACAGCTTCCGTTGCTTTCGACGCTTCCGGTGATAAAAGAATAGAATCGGAGCTTTCGCTTTCTCTTCGACAACTCTCAGATCCTACACCTACACCCAGGTCCGAATTTAATTTTCGATTAATTTTACAATTCGGATGATGTAAATCGGACAATTCCATAACTTCGACTTTACTTTGGGATTCAATAGAACTAAACAGATTTTGGATAATTATTATCACGTCACTTAAATTGAATGTGAATGCGTCATTTGATTTTTACCTTATATGTTTGGGAATATCTGCTGGAGAGCCGTAAGGGTGAGGTGGCACACCCATTCCAGGCATTTCCATCATCCATCGCAATCGTGTTTTTCGCGGTCGCTTCATTAGCAACATAGCCGGTAAATAATTGAGGAAAACAGAACGGATCCACGAAGGCATCCTAAACATAAACCACATTTATAAATTCCCTACCGAATCAATTTCGGTTAAATACTTAACCTGTGTGTTCTAGGCCCTCTGAAATTCCAATTGATTATTACTACCGTAACGAGAATACTAACGGTGTTCATGATAAATGTGAAAAGTAGATATTTTGCAATGAGCGGTAACACAAGCGAAGTTGGTGGCAGGATTTTTGAAACGAGCAACAAAAATACTACAAGTGACAGTAAAATACTAATACCCAACGTCACCTAAAAGAAGGTAAATCATCAAGGGCATAGGAAAAAATTGAGAATACCTTTTCCCCGGCTTCTGCTGGTAAATAAAAGACAAGTACACAAAGGAACGAGATGAGTACTGTAGGAAGTATTAAATTGACTGTATAAAATAGAGTCTTGCGTCGTATGATAATATAAAACGTGATATCAGTTTCTGTGGGGTGGTTACCCTCATATATATTGAGGTAGGCGGGCACTTCAATAATGTCCCACGTTCCAGATTTCCAGTAATCTGACAGGTCTACGAAATTTTTGTTATTGTATAACGCCAGTGACACTTGATCACCGTTGAAAGTCCAAGACCCAAACTTCATAATACAAGTCTGTTGGTCAAACGGAAAATATGTGACGTCTATAGTACAAGAACTCTACAAGAGAATGCATTAAAATTCAACACTGCGGACACAATTTATGTTCACACCTGATAAATTGCGGGCGGTACCCACAACACCTCGCCATTGGGGTAAATTAACACATTAGACTTGTATCTCACTTCGTAGTTGCCGTCAGCACTAAAAGCATTAAAAATTAGTATTGCTTTCCCTTTTTGCCAAATGGAATTTACTTATTGAATAAAACTATATCAGGTTTCCATACTTTGTCGGGCGGTAACCTGAGTACGGCAATTCCTCCGTAATCAGCTTCATCCCACTGAAGCTGATAGTCGTTCCATACCTAACACATACGAAAGCGATTTACAAATTATGCATGATAACGACGGATCTACTCACCAATCTCAGCCAGACGTTCGACTTCATGATTTGATTTTTTTCGTTCTGGAAGCGTGAAAGTACTGAATTAGAAAGGAAGAAAATGTAGGGATGTTGGAAACGTACCACGTTAATGAGCTGAACGAAAGCTAGGCCAAATCTGACGTCAACTTTTTCCGTCATGTTTTGAACGGGGCGTATCAGCTTATTGTACCCTCTGAAGAGGTCTCGAACTAATCGTTCTTCATCTTCGGAACATTTGCCTAAGAAAAATGGAAAAGAAAAAAAAAATGAATGTGGGTGTAGTTAGAGCCGTTAAATCGTCGAATAGTCGTCATGTTTCATGCGCATAATATAAAATGCGAAATTTCAATGTTTGTATATAATTCGTAGTGATAAACTCGCGTTGCAGTCGTTGAAGTAAGTAAGAATCCTTTGTTTGAAACAATCGTCAGAGGGGAGGGGCTGTGTTTACATGTCACTCAGCATGGCAGTGGGTGTGCCGGCGGCGGCAGTGGCGGCCTTCCGCACTCACCTATGAGGATGAGACACGAGATGAAGAGCAGAGTCAGCAGATGAGCCGCTGTGGCGGTCCAGGTCCACATTGTAAGGTGGTGCATGGCACTCGAGGATGCTTACAGGATCATCGAGATCTGGCGCGGCAGCTCAAGTCCATGGCCTGGGCGGACGTTGGAGCCACTAGGATCGTGTTTCCGCTTCCCGGACTTGGACGTTCTTTACACGTACCTAACATCCTGTTTCCGACGCAACATCTCTTTCACTCAACGTTTTAAACAAGGGTACGCACACACGCTCCGACTCATTCTGAGAAAGTCAGCGTGGACGTAGCGCGACACCACCCCCTCGGAAATAATTATCACTATCGTGACTAGATGGCAGGCATCGGGGCGCAGGACCAGTCTCTCCACCAATCCGTGCACCTTCCCACCTTATTATCGACCGGTGAAAGGATATTAAGCATGCGTCTTGGCCGTCGCGACGTCAGAAGCGTCGGCACGACACTTATTCTCTTGGTCTTCGACTTGTTTGATAAATCCGGGGAGTTTGTCATTCCAGGAATGTGTCACAACCGTCGACAATTTCAAAAGATTCTTCGCGAGCGATGCCAAAAATTTAGCGCACTTTTGAGGGAATAGGGCTCATTCAAAAGATTCATCATTCGAAATGAAACAAGACAACTTTTGCATTTGCAAGTTTAATTGAAATTCATTTAACAAAGTACAATCCATTGTGATACAATTTACAACAATTTCGGTAGAAAACAGTACTTGTCGCTTTGATGCGATTGAGGTTGTGACGAACGGCTATTTTACCGGTCGCAAACTCAACCGACAGCCGGATCTTCTGCTGTCCCAAAGGCCCTCTCGTGTCGTTAATTAGCGACCAATAATGGATTGTCGAGTTTCTTTAAAATAGTGTTTAATCCGATTAGCATTTTTAGTGAATAATAGTTCTCTGGGAAGTACTTATTTATATAACAATGGAACGCGAGATTTATTACTTATAATTATGTATATCATCGAAAGAGATTTGCACGCTGTCTTGTGGTTTCGTACAGTGGCCTTTAAGTGGCCACCATGCGAAGACACCATTCCGTTTTCTTTAAGCCATTAAGAGAGATAGATGACGCTAAGCGTTTCCGCCATTGCGTAATCAACGATAACAATCAAACTGCCATTCGTCATTCATTAATTTGCCTAAAACCTAAAATATAAACGGATAAGGACTCGCACTCGCAATGGTTTCGGTATTTACCTCATTCTTTTGCTATATTAAGATGTAAATAAAGACTAAGAATAAGAATTATAGCCCTAACTGACGAGATATTGTCTTGCTTGACAGTGGAAGAACGTTGGCGATGTATTGTTGCGATTTGTTTGTTTCTCCAGCGACACAATCCGCGCGCGGTTTTATTATCCGGACTCCCGGACTCGATTAAGAGTCAATGTCAAAATTTTCGGCGTTTTAATATTATTTGAGCAACTTCCTTCATTCGACGAGGAGTCCGGATATTGAATGAATTTTTTTACAAACAATTTGAGAAAAAAGTGTTTTCAATGAAAAGCAGGCACCTTTGCGCGACTTTTGCAACACCGGAAACACGCACGACGTTTTCCCACTAGAGACATGAGTATTTTTTATACACGACTCTGTACGTTACATGACTTTGAAAGGATATGTTAGAATTTCAAGTGCTTTTTCACCAGCTATGCTCCTACGTTAGGTTCTGTATGTACAGGATAGAGAAGTCCATAGATGACAGTTACATCCTACGTAGCATGGTAGACGGACAAAATATAAAAAAAGATGAAGCGGTTTCTAAAACTTCATCCGAATTACTCTAATCATATCAACATTTCGTTTTTGTTTCTTTTATAAATTTTAATAATGAATTTTTTAATAATTATTAATTAAATTATTTCAAATTCCACGAGAAAAATATAGTTCTACACGTCATACAATATAAAACGCCATTAACAATGTGTCAAGTAACAATACGAAGTGGGGAACAGCGACAGAAACAATCGTGTCCCTCTCTTCGCGGACAAAACATTGCACGTTACTATTGTCGGGTTCGCAAATGGCACGGGTTCTTTCGGAGTCAGAAACAACCAAACAAGAGACGAATTGTGAGTCTCCAATCTCCATTGGCCTGTTGTCCTTATCATAGTCCAAGGAAAGTGAAACGCTGCGAAACGCTTCGCTCTGCTCCGTTCAGCCCCAACGCCAATTCACGATCTCGTCTGACTAACTCAACATTTAACTTGATTTATCACAGTATGATTGTGTTAATACCCTAAAGAACACGATACAAAACCAAATTTCCGTATAAAACGACTGCCAACTATTGATGGGTTTTGGTGGCGCGAGCGTCGGGATCGATACGGATACGGCATATAGAAGACTAAACGCCCATCCGTGATGGAAATCATCAGTAGCAGCTATTTGATCTAGCTTCAGGGAAAGTCTTGCGAGGAGCCAGGGTCGGGGTAGCTACGATACGATGATGTGAGGTGCTGAGAACAGCACTGCTAACGTGGCGATGATCGTGAACAGAGTGAATATAATAAGGCACAGTCTGTCGACCACCATGGCCGCGAATTTCCAATCTCTGGTGATGTCCGCGGCCTCGTCTTCCTTACGCAGCTGGTCGGTGATGAAACGAATTTCTTTCAAGATCAACGCCAGCTCGTAATCTGCACTTAGACAAGAGTGGTTCGACACGAGCGATTCGTGGAGTCGACCTCCGTTTCCGTTGTCTTCGTTTTGCCTAAAAATGAAAACAATTGAATAACAATTATTTCAATTTTCTTCAGAGTCAATTACCTGTAGACTGTTCGGAAGAAGGTGGCTGTCGGTAGAGGCGTCGGAGTTCCGCCACCGCGATGGTTGTGTCTAAAATCGTCGTCTATGTCTAACACGTTCGCAAGCAAACTTTTGGAAGAACGCTCTTTCAACTCCACGTCTTGAAAGTGCAGCGGTTTGCGATCTGTTGCCACAGATGCGGGTCGACTTGGCTGTTGCCCGTACTCACAAGTGCCGTGTGGTCTGTGCATACGTAGAAGCCATGGTAACCAAATCAGGAAAACAACCTTTATCTGTGAAATCAGAGAAATATAAGGCGTAACAATTTTTTTTATTTTTTTTATATTTGTTGTTTACCCACCCATTCTGACATTTCGTGTGTGTCAGCATTACGATGGTGATAATTGAGTATAAGAATGGTTGAGACAACCGACGATGCCACCATGAACATGATGCAGTTGAAGTAGGTGCCTAGCAGTGGAACTGCATCTGAGGTAGCAGGCATCGTTTCGGCAACCATATTTAAAAACACCGTCAAAGATAGTAAAATCGTGACTCCTAATGAAAGTTTCTCTCCGGAGTCTGGAGGCAGAGTGAATCCTAATACCGCCATAGAAGCAATAAGCACGCACGGTACAATCAAGTTAAAAAAGTAGTAGAGTGTCCGCCGTCGAATAATAATGACGAATGTGATATCGATGTACGGCTCAGGGCAGCAATTATAGTAGATTTCGTTCCGTTTGCCAGGAACTCCTGAAATCAACCAGTTGTAATATCCGTGTCGTGTTCGAGTTATTAGTTTTGGACTGTGGCTCACCTAGCAAATCCCATTCGCCGTTTGTTATAAAGCTGCTGATATCCCCTCCCGCATCGTCTTGTAATTGTAGATCGAGCTGAAATCGAGTTAATCATCCACCGGATATAGCCTACCGATGTAAAAACTTACTTGTAATCCGTCATAAGTCCAACTTCCAAATTTCATTTCGCATCGCTGGTCGTCGAACGGAAACCACGTGATGTCTATTTTACAAGTGCTTTTAAAAATTCCGGGAGGCACGTACAGACAGCTGCCGTTGTTTCGTACAACCACATTTGTGGGGTACGTCCCGTCGAATCCTTCATCGGCGCTAATCACGAGATAAAAAAATCAAAATAATCCTGTTTCCAATATTATCTCCTTCCTACCTGTTGTACATAAGAACATCCGGCTTCCACAACCTATGTGGAGGTATGCGGAGGTCCTTGACGCCACCAAACTCGGATGCATTCCATCGCAAGTTCATGTCATTCCATTCCTGAAACGGACCAACGTAAATCGCTGATCTGGAAGGTGATAGGCCACCTGTCAACCGATGTTAGGGTGCGAGCGACCCGCCCCCACGTTCAACGATTGTCAAATTATTCGCACACCGATCAACTTATCGCCATTGACATTTCCACTTCTCAAAACTCAAACTCACATGAGCACACCAGAATTGTGTTGTGTTCGCCGCCACAAAGGACCCACTACATAATCACCCTAACGATATCTACATAAAACTCCGAGTAACAACCCTCCTATTATACTAAACAAAAACAACCACCGACCAACTCACCAACTTCAGCCAAATGTTAGTAACGAGCAGCTGGTTTTTTTCGTCCTGCAATTATTCGAATTATGCGCGGAAAGTTAGTGGTTTTGTCAACCTACCACATCGATGATTTGCATTAAAGTTAAACCGAAACTGAGTTGCAAAGGGTCCGACTCGTTGGCAACCGGTCGTTCCAGTACGTTGTAATGGTCAAGCAATTTGTGAAGGAGTCGCTTCTCGTTGTATCCCGCCAAAGATTCTAAAATCATGTAAACCCATATTGCAGTAATTGCAGTCATGACCTTGATTCAAACTAAGAATATAAATGTGTAAGAAAGCAAGCAAGGAAGGACGGAATGGCTAAATTCCTGTTGGATTATATGGCCCAATGTTGAATTAACTTAAAAACATTTAGGTTGGCAGAGCAAAAAGCTAAGAGTTCAAGCTAGGTGTTTCATCGTACTTGGGCAAGGGTCGACAAAAGGGCAGGGTGTTTGAGCTAAGTAGGACAATCATGACTAAGACCAAGATCAAAACATCCTACCGTTCGGTAGCGACAGGCAGATGTGCAAAAGGACAAAGAGCGTCAGTGCTCGTGGACCGCAGTAGAATTGACATTGCTGCATGCCACTGTCCATGGGTAGCGATATTAGCAGTAAAGAGCTCGCGCCAGTGCTGTGTTCCAACGATCGTTTAGATTTGAGTTTAGTTTTTGGTTTATTGCGGTTTCATGTTAGAATCGTTTATTATTTAGTTGGGTTTAGCTTAAAAGCATTATTTATTAGTACACAATTTGTTTAAATGTTCGGTTCATGAGTTTAAGTTTAGCGTTTATACATATATACCTATGTATAACAGTACTGACGATACTATACATACACATGTATATACATATAGTTTAGTTTTACCGACAGATGGTTTAGATTTAGTTACTTCATGTTTACTAGCTCGTGCCTACTTTGCACATTCGTATACTAAAGCCATTGCGAGTCGGATGCTCCTCCGCCAAAGTGCTACTGCGCTACCGCGAGCCCACTGCCCGAACCCGAACCCGAACCAGACCAGCAGGGATGCTGTATGACACATGGACCGCGCACGAACCACCCTTGCGCCTGCTTTTCTAGTTCACTGTCCTCGTCACCGCCTGATTCCTAATAATACTTCCACTTCAATGGCTTTACGCACGTTGCAGCTTCTTACGGATGCTGTTCTTGCAGATCAATGAGTGTTGGCGCATGTGTACATTCTTGTCGCAGCGTGACGGGATCGCCCAAAGATCTACACTCCACACTACTTACAAATTGACATTACCAATGCCATCGCTACTACTATTTCTCTCAACTCAACTCAACTGCACTTTATTTTATTTTTCTGGACCAACCACTTATTGCATTTAGACTCATCCATGCTTCTATACTTTGACAGCTCTACTCTAATATATACGCCTAGCTTCGAGTTTGCATTCATTAATATCATAAAAGGCAACACTTGGTGACTCGGGAACGTTACGTCTTTTATTAAGCCCAATATGGGAAGACAGTTACGTCAGATTCTCTTTATTTATAAATCCTCCTCATTGTGATAAATTTAATAAATTCCATAATCTACATCCTGCAACAATCAATATAATTGTATTTGCTACTACAGGAAGTCAACATGCTTCTTCGATTAAACAACCCATCCTACTATCAAACAAGAATTATTATTAATTCGACAAAAATTAATTATGTAATTGATATTGATTCTCCTATTGAACAAATAGAAAATTGTAACTAGTCAAAAATGGTGGAGGTGCCGGGTAACTAATTTTGTCTCCATCTCTTGTATTTTGACTTTTTATTTACATTATTATTTACACTCTACCCGTAAAAAGTAATTACCGTTAATAACTCTTTTTTATAATAAAAAAAGTAATTTTTGTAAATGAAGGTTGATAGACTACGAATAATAAACCATATTTCAACGTCTTTTGTCCACTCGCGTGACCTTGACCAAGCGTAATTGTGTCTCTGAGTTAAAGTACTTATGATTTTTATCGTGATTATTATCTTAGTGAAGAGCGAAAATTAAGAGCGTTATCAACTTTGCATTTTATATTTCTAATTTTTTTCAGAGAACGTTAATTTAAACTTGACCAATGCGCAAGTAAGGAGTGCTGGACAGTGTCATGGAAGAAGTTGAAGTGAGGAGCAAAGTCAACGATTTGAAGAATAAGTCGAAGGTGCATATTTTTCGAGAGACACTGGTCTTGCTGAAGATGCTCCCTCAAAGTAGAGCTGAGTCGATTGGAAAAGATGGACAATCTCTAGAATTACATTCTTTGAGTAGAAAAATCCACTTGCGCATGTTTCTAAACTTGCAACAGTAAATATTTCTACGCAATTATCTTGCTTAATTCGATCATTTGAGTTTACGACAATTTAAATAATGCCGAATTCATAAGCTGAATTGCGGCGACGCTTTGTTGAATATTCGATTTGCTTTGCGGAATCATTACATTTCTCTAGAAATTTATTCAAATGCTAGTCTAAAGCTTAATGAATTTCGACTCGATTTGTCTATAGAAACAGCTTTCATGAGAGTTAATTTTAGAAACTTTCAAATGTTTACCTAATTCGCGCTTCAAAATGAATTATAGTTATTCTGTGTATTTTTATTTTTACACTTTTCTACGGACGTTTTGCCGGATAATAAAGGCAAAATTCTGCCGCAAGATTCATTTTCTTCTCTTAATTTCCCAGTGAAATATGATTTAATGAAGAAGTTTAAATTAGACAATCAATCAGATTCTGGCTCTAGTTGTGAAAGAAACTAATATTTTTTCCATCGACACTTGGAGAAATTAAAGACATTTTGATTTCCGCTAGTCACTGAATTGAAAATAAGATGGAACGATAATATCCGTCTTATAAAAAAATTAATTAAAAACCGTTTAAGCCATAAGATTAACCTTTCCTGTCTTCCCGCTACGTTGTATTAAAAAATATATTAAAAATTGAAGACAACACAACACGCTCGATCCGTATAAGTGATTTTTTCATATGCATATAGGTACCCTAGAGTAGAAACTTTTAATCAAATTAAATTTGGGGATAGATAAACGTTCGATTCATTTAGAGATGCCGTCATTTTTATGTAAATTTCCAGTTTTATTTCGCTCTCAATACACATTTTCATTTTATTTCACTGTTAAAAAAATAATACAATAAAACGTGATCAATTTTGAATCTACGTACATATTTCATAAAAGTCGTAATTCTTGTTTAAACATTCATCACGACACGTTTTTGTTATGCTTAACACTACCTACATTATTCACGGACGATATCGAGATTCTATTCCTTTTAATGAACACATATTTTACGGTAACAGGTATTTTTCATTCTTGCAATTTTTATAATTGTATTAATATTTACTTAATTTAAGCCAAAAATAATGAAACTTTGTGGAATGTATGTAAGCAGGTTTAATACTTTTTTCATTAAATTTTATACAATAATATTAATATTAGTATTAATTAATAGAATATGTTTGCAGCAAGCGTACCTATACACAAATGATAATTTTATACAGGGAATCGATGAATGAAATTAAGGTTTTTCTGAGTCAAACTCCACAATAAAACGCAGCCATTAAAATTGATGAAACCTTAATTTCATTCGTTAAATATTTGTTTCCATTTTAAGAAAAATGTTTCTGCTATTCGTTTTTTTCTGTTGATTGCAATATCTATAGTGGCAATACACTTTAGACTTTGAACGAATGAAAATATGCATTTAATAGCAAGAATGAAGGAGTGGACGTAATGATTCATAATTTTGTCATTCTCATTTATTACTAATCAAAAAAACTTTTCTATTGAAAGCAGCAGCGACTGTAGGTTGTATATCTTTAATAAGAAATCGTTATGACTACATATATCTATGGTTGCGGTATTTTGTCTTGATAAATTTTAAAGTTGATATTTTCATTTGTGAAAAAAAATACAACCTTAATACCAAATCAAATCACTAACTTTATTTATGCAAATTCAAAATTACATGGCTAAATATGTAAATAAATAGTAATAAATAAATTGGTTTAGAGCTCTTATCAAAAAATAACTATTTACTTTTTACTTTTAAGATCAGTTGTACAGGTGACTCAAAAAGTTACGCACTAGCTCAGTATACATACAGCGTGTGTCAGAACTCGCCCCAAAAAAAAATTCAACTAAATTACTAGGAACATGGAAAAAATATTTTAAAAATTCTATCTGTCAAAATTATGACATTTATTTTTTGACCTTTGACATTTTTTATGTCTTTAATAATACTGATGATCTTGTATATGTTTTTTTTTTATAATTATTTAGTAAAGGTACAAAAAATTTACTAATAAAAGCCACAAATAACATTAAAAAGAGTTACAATTTAGGATACAGATTCCTTGTTTTCTCTTTTAATAGCCTGTAGCAAAAAAACTGTAAAAATTATTTTTCCAACAGAAATAAATAGAAACAAAGTGCATAACTTCCACATTTTTATAGATAGATTTTTTTTAACATTTTTTCCATGTTCCTGGTATTACGCGAGTTCTGGCGCACCTGTAAATGCAGACATTAGAAAAGAAAATTTAAGAGTTATTTTTAATAAAATATAATACTAGCAAGTTACAAACTTATATGTTTTCTTAAGATCTCCAGTTTACATTATTTTCTTATGTTTCACTCTAAGTGATAATTTCATATATCAATTGCTTTTGTATCTACTTAGTTGTGTTTATCAATATTTAATTTTTAACAAATTATAATACAGCAAATAATTATCGTTTGTGTATATAGTGTGTCCCCAGATAGATGAAACGACTCTTGTAAAAGAAAAATGTTTAGATTTATTTTTAGTTTTTTGAGGTTTAACCCTGCTTGGTTAAAGACTAATTTCTAACATGATTTTAGTCTTGAAAAATCATGTGTATTGTAAATTTTCAAAAACAAACTTTTTTCCTATATAGTAAGTAAAGTGCCTTTTATGTGGCAAACACGACAAAAATTATTAATAAAAGTTGTTTAGAATCAACATCACCAAATCACCAAATTTGTTTACCAAATGTTTTACAAATTTCTACAAAAATTACACCATGATGGTATCCTAGTGCTAAAAAACGGGACGACACTATTACTTAAATTTAAATTAATTTTTTAATTTAATTTTGATTCATTCTTACTGCTGATCAAATTACATTGCTTTTGTTATTGTTAGACAACTTTGCTACATCCATTTTATTTAAAATTTATTAATTGCCAATAATTTTAATGTAGGTACTATCTTTCATTGAGTTGGTACGCAACTTTTTGAGCATTCTTTAGAAGAAGACAATAACTTAATTATTATTAAAGATAGAAGAGCGTATATTTTCCTATAATTAGGCATTTTTTATTATTTTTAGATGTAGGATATAACTCGACTATAAAAGAAAAATTACTTTTTTCAGATTATACATATAGGCTGTCCCAGCGGGTTGAAAAAATCCATTAGTGACCTTTAAATGGTAAAATTTAAAAAAATCATATAGGACGTTGATAGATACTAATCTAGTCCATCGCCTAAAATTATTTTCAACTATACAGCGTGTCTCAAAAATAAGTTACATTACAAACTTGTGTTTTTTTTAATGAAAGACCAAATTGTTCTTAGCGTTTTTGGATGTAGATTTTTATGGCAATGTTTTTAGGCTAAACTTTGATTGGTCGATTTTGCTTAGTTTTAAAAATAAGACGGTTTTTTTGCCGAAACCATGCACATTTAAATAATTTATTACACAAAAACTAAGACATCTAGAAATATTTTTTTTACTACCGCAAAGAAGAAGGTTCAAGCTATAAGGTTGTAACATTTTTTAGTCTGTTGCATTTACAAAGATAAAAAAATGAAGGCGTTTATTAAAAGTTCAGTAACTTAAAAAATTTAAATGAAACACCCTATTTATTGTTTTTGCATTTAAAAGATTATTAAATTGTCTTTCTAAAATTATTTACTTTTAGGTGTTTATAATCAAAAAGTAAAAAATTTAACGTTAAACATTAAAAAAAATACTCTTGTTTCAGTAGCCAAAAAGTGCACAGTAGCACAAGAGATGGAAGAAATATAACTCAATAATCACATTTGTGTTAAACTGAATCCATTATTCTTTATTTTTACAATAAAATAATTCAATTTCAGTATTTATAACGACTTTTA